CGTCGTTTCCCAAGACGCACAAGCTGCTTCTTCAGCCCAGGCAACCCAAGAAAAGAGGGAAAGTGAGCAAATCTGTGTGACTAACAAAGAAAAGACTTGAAGGAGAAGAGCTAAGAGAAAACACGTGCTAATGCAAGATAATGTGCGCCGTCGCATCGCCATCTACAAACACGGGTGGAGGCCAACGACGTGCAATTCATGGTACGAGTAAGAAGATGCAATCGACACTTGTAGCATGACTCTTAGGGCCGTTTTTGCCATGGATGACGTATTTTCATATGATAAATGCATTCCCTGGTTCATAGATCCGATTCGAACGCACGCAGTACGGAGTCAGCTCCATCACGGAGTGTATTCCGCATGCCAGATAAATGGACGGACGGCCGTCATCACGTATGCGCAGGAAGTGAGAACTAAGATCGTGAAGGGGGGAACAGTTCGTCCCACAATACGATTTATGGAGAGGCAATGAACAGATGCTCTGGGGGTCTGAAGATCTTTTTTAACGAGGCTAGCTCTCTACCGCGCTCTTCAGCGTCGAGTGACATGATAGCAAATCCGGCGTTAACGATGCGAGCTACTGCATGAGGGCTGAGGGATCCTTGGTCAATACAGAACTAATGGATAGACGGGCGTACGTGCAAGGGCAAGAGGTGTTCCTGGCAAGGGTTGATGCTATTCATGGCTCCAGGGCTGCTCAGAGACCCCCCCTTTCATGTGTGAGCATCATCAACCAACATACAGTAACTTGTACGAGAGAGGTAGGAGAAGGAAATGCTGCCCTCATGGCGCCCTGGTCTACCAGGTTTATCCCCACACTCGCCTCGATGGGAAGCATGGCCGAAGTGAAAGTGGGAGAGAGAGGGTATGTAAATGAGTAGGCTGACCAACAGCCAAATGATATGCAAAGTGGTTACACTGATACGGCTTCGTCTCCATTCTCTCGGTGACAATGGGCTGCCGGCCGGTACCTTCCGGGACACTCGCGGTGAGGGCCTCACCCTTTTTCTTCATCCAGGCCACGAACAGGAGATGCATATGGCGACTCAGGTCGACTGGACTAGCTGCTGAAATGTCAATCCTCTTCTCCAAGATAGGCATGACACGATCCAATAGAGCAGTCTAAGCTGTTGATACATCACTATCCTGCTCGCCGCACCCTATCCACCGCCACGCACTAAGTGGGCAGAGTGGGCAGAGGTTCCCGGTCACGTTTTAACATTACTGATAGAATCGGAGGCTTGGGAGGGTTCAACGAGTCTTGTGCTAGTCTTTGGGGAACACCGGAGATCAGATACGACAGTACAATTTGCCAGTTAGTCATAGTCTCGTTCCAATTTATGGCAAGACTACCATGCAAACTAACGACCAACAGCATAAGCTAGGCTCACCCACAATATACGCGAGCGAGCCATATTCCTTGACCTCGTTGATTCTTGCCTTCTCGACCACGGCCACGATGCTCAATTGGGAAAACTGCCTGCTCGATTTAACTTGATTTCATCAAGGTATTATCTTTGTACTATATCAGGCATCCGAGATGCCCGCCAGGATGAGGGCTCACGCTATGAATAAAGATCCAAGGTTTCCCCCCGTCTGGTGCGTTTCACCTCAACTCTAGTCTCAAGTCTATCCTCATATCAGCTTAAGAGAATACTTGCTTTTTCCACTCCCCATATTCTCCAAGTCTTTGTTTGCTTTTTTCTAGCAAGCCACACTGGCCTAGATCTTCTCAAATATCAGTTTTCCACATTTATTTCTGTTTGGTGCTATCCAACAACTTATACCAAAATGGTCGTCGCACGGAAAAGCCACGCCGGGTCAGGCTACCACACGGCCGCTTCAGTGTACCGCCGGGTCTTCACGGCATTGAAGCAATTCCTTCCAAAGAATGACAACCCAGAGGATGGCTCTTTGGCCAAAGAGCCAAAGAAGCTGGCTGCTCAAGTGGCACCCATCTGCTCCGACATGCTCGCCCAGCTCAACTATCCTGGAGCACCCAAGCTGAAGGCCGAGGCAGTCGAAGGTCTGCTTGCCTACATGCATAAGCGAGCCATTGAGTTCGATGTGCCGCTCAATACCAAGATTTCTGCAAAGGGATTTCGTCTAGGCTACGCAGAAGGATTGGTGCGTTTCTCTCTTGTTTCTAAGTGGTCGGATTGGCGCGCTATGGTTGCACAAATGTTTGGCTAACGAAAATGGAATAACAGCTCGCCCACCCTAACCATCCTGTGCAAGTCCAGGGGTATGTCGGTCTATTCACTTGGCTCGTTGTTCAATACGACGACATTGTTGGCCAGAGCAACGAGATGGTCCAGGAGGCCCTGCAATTCCACCAGCGCTTCTTCCGAGGCGAGCGGCAGCCAAACAACTTGCTCGAGGCAATTGCAACCCTGCTCCGCGAGGCAGATGACCACTTCGACACTGTCCTGGCCAACATGCTGCAGATCTCCGTGCTCAAGTTCCTCACTAGCAACCTCTTGGAGCGCCACGACGGCTTCCAGCACATGGCAGTTACGCGTGCCGGCAACAAATTTCCGGATTTCTACAGGGACATGTCGGGAATGAACGTGGCCTATGCCGTCTTCTGCTACCCCAAGGCCCAGTATCCCGATGTCGCGGCCTTCCTCGAGGCGATCCCCGACATGGCCCGTTTCATTGACATCTCCAATGATGTGCTCTCGTGAGTAACTCCAACGCAAACATACCATGACAGGCTCCATAGCTAATCTCCCACCTAGATTCTACAAAGAGGAGGTTGGTGGAGACACGAGAAACTACCTTCATAACCGTGTCGATACTAGCGGCAAGCCCATGCTGGCGGTCCTCCAAGACGTAAGCAAAGAGTCGATTGAAGCCGCAAAGCGAGTGAGCGAGATCCTCAAAGGCAGGGGTGTCTATGAACAGTCCTGGAATGAGAGTGTCCAGGGCTACATGGCCATGCACACAACTAATCCCCGATACAAGATGTCGGACCTTGGCCTGGGCGAGGAGCATCCCCTTGCTCCTTTTGAGCATAAGATTGGAGAGTTCTTTGACCGCGTCAACAACAGCTCATGAAGGAAGGGATGGAAGGAAATAATTGCATCCATGGCGCATTGCATTGTTTTTGGAGAGAAGGGGGGGTTTTATTTGCCGCGCATATACGACTGCGTTTCAGTAACCTTTTTTTTTTATCATGCCATTCGGCAAGGCGTTGAGGCTGTATGACGAGAAATGAACGATGCTCACGATACTATACTCTTTGACATAGATATAATTACACTACAGTATTTCCAAATATATTCCGAGACATATTAGTTGCAAGAAAACGAATGCAAAACGCTCTTAAATTCTCACTTCCTGTTACAGCCTGTGTCGCGAATCAGGAAACGACGTAACATCACATCTCACTCCAATCTTCTTGACCACTCCACTTTAGCGACGGCTTTAGTAGTTTATAATGCACATGTAATTCGTGCAGTCTTTTGCAGCCCTCGTACAGAGTCTAGCACGGAGATGCGATGTTTATGTGAACTAAGATATAAATTAAAGTCGCCGATAATGGGCCGTCAAAATCAATCACCCTTCGGTCAGTTTTAAATTGTTTCAAGGCATTGCGGATAATATGCCGGATCGAATCTTGTAAGCGTTGGTATCGCCTCGGTATTGATTTTCCACAGTCGAAGTTTGCATGCACGTGGGAAAGGAAACGTCCGCTTTGTTAATTTGTCGGCCTCTTCAATGATTTTAGTCATAACTTTGAGGCAAAATCCGAAAAGAACTGTGAGTAGATTGTTCAAAACCCCCACTGAGAGTCTCGGCTAGCAAGTTCGCGTATGCATTGGAATATTGCGCGATGGGCTGACCACATGCCATTCAATAGTGGAAACTCGACGGCTATTCTCCTCAGCCACTCTTTTTCAACTATCAGCCCTGCAATGAAATGCACATATGAGGCCAGAATACACAGCCGCATGTCCTAAGACGCCGTGCAGTACGATAATGCTACGTTAGAATGCATGTTCTCGCCAAGGGACATGGAAAGCTTCTGAATCGCTTGCCAGTTTGCAGGGATGTATCGGCCAAGACATTTTGCAGAGGCGGTGGTGGTTTTTGACATGGTTTGGGGGCGGCAGGGCTCCGTAGAAAAAGAGAGAGAAAAAGAACAACCCCTGTCCCCCCCTGCAGAAAACATGGTCTGTATGTAAGTCCGGCAATGTACGAGTACATGTATGAAATGTGCGCCTTGAAGGAACACCAAGTACCAGGCATGGGGACCCCCAATGAGTGGAGGCGTTCAGTCTTCCGCTCCTGTTTCGATAGAGTAGTAAGATAAGCTGTACATAGGGTGCCCCTGTAACCTGTACATGTACATAGGCAGGTTTCCTTTCGCGCTAAGAAAAGGAAACCTGTACAACCTTTTACACTGACTTTCTCTCTTTACTAGCAACCAGCCTTATTTTCATAGTAACTTTTACACCTAGTTACTTTTTTCAACAGCTTTTTTCAACAGCCTTTACGGCAGCCTTTACAGCGCAAAAGCCTTTATAACGGCTTTTGTAATAGCTTTTATAGTAGCTTTAACAGCGGTCTTTATAGTATATAGCTATTGTAGCAGCTGCTGCAGCAGCTTTTTGTAGTTAATATAAGGTAGTAGTTGCTTGTGTGTGTAAGAGGAAAGCTGTACTAAATCGCTGTAAAGGTCGGCTGTAACGATAAAAGGTCGGCTGCAAAGGAAAGCTGTACAATGCATTGTACAGGTTTCCTTTTCTTAGCGCGAAAGGAAACCTGCCTATGTACATGTACAGGTTACAGGGGCACCCTATGTACAGCTTAACCATATACTCGTTTAGATAGGGGCTGGGCCATGCAAATGGAGTACGACTATAATACCAATACCATCCCGCCTCTCGTACGTGGCTTTTGCCGAGGCGTCTGTGTGTCATCTCCACATGCTGCGGTCGCTAACAAAAACTACGAGTATATACGAGCACGCACGATAAGTCCGGAGAGAAATAAATGAGATGGACTGTTCGCAAAGTCCAACGGCGAGCCCGGATCGGCAGACAGGCAGGCCTGTGCAGCGACTCGAAGACAGGCACAGGCTGGGCAATGCCTAGCGAATGCTCGAGTGTTTTAAGCTCCCGCCAGCTGTGTGAGGAGAAGCCAAGGGTAGGGTAGGGTAGGGTAGGAAAGGGGCTGGCTGGCATGGGCATTTTGTTTCCTTTTTTCTTCGGCACTCGTCGTTTTTTTAAGCTCTATTTTCTGTTTCAACATCGCTTCCCGGTATCCATGCAGCTTCTAGCTGTGGGTTTAGGGTGAGAATCGTAGGACTTCTAGAAGGAGATGCATTGACGGCTGGCATCTTGTTTCGCATAAATTTGCTAGGAGCGGGAAGATTCTCGCCGGCGTATTGATTGACGTCCATGCGATGAAAGCATGAGCGATTTCAAACCGCTAAATCGCGGAACTGCCGCTGCGGGGCGAGCCAGATAATAATACAGCGTTACATGTGTGGGGAAATATGGGCTGATTCTTGCAGGACGGGGGGGGCCTTTTGGGGGAGAAAGAAAGAGAAAAGGCGGGATTCATTTCAGTAGCTACGACGTGGAGTACGGGGTGTGTCCTTTTGAAAGGGGACTTTCTATTGTTATGAATCATTGTGTGACCAATTTGAGTCTCTCTCGCCTACTCCTGCGATGCTGCGATGAAGCTAGAGCCGTCTTACTGACGTTTACCGGGTGCGTATGCACTGGCCTTCGGGATGTGGGAACCTGGATCTCATCGCATGAAGCGGCTCCTGATCTGACATGTATTTGGTGGCAGATTTGCCATGTGCCTTGAAACTTTGTCAGCCTATTCGGGTATGCCCAATTACAACGTTTATGCATCTCATTTTCCTTCCACTAGTAATAACTAGACTGAACCAAAATCGACATGGAATAGTCATCGCGGAGGTGATATTTTCCGTTGGAAATTCAACAGGCCCTGAGACGTCCGACGTGACTCAAGAAGGCAGGTAAAGATCAACTTGCCATTGGATCGAAGATGAGCGGTAGCAGTATAATGCAAGACACTGCATACTGTACCGTGTCTGACATCTGACATCGATGGACACGTACGTTATACAGTATGAGACTGAGCAAGGAAGTAGTAGTCAGCCTTGGAGTGCAATTTGCCAAATTCATGCGACATACCCAGGTATAAATGCTTGGGGTCTTTGCAACACATGCCTTGTTTTATCTTGTTTTCTGCAAGGTTATCTCAATTTCTTGAAAACTTGCAATGTTACATGAAAGTACGATGTGATGTGCTATTTCTCGTAGCCAAGTGACTACAATACTGTATCTCGTAATATAAAGATACATCACGTAGAAATGACTGCTGATATCGACAATGAGCTCATATTGTATATACAGAGCTATATCATTTCGCATTCAGCTGCAGTGGCCAGTTGTATTTTCTCAAAAATGCTGATATTGCTATGGCCCTACTTGGGGTTTTAAAATACATGGAGCTATCACCAATTCCATGAGCTTGTTTTGACATCTCACGATGTTCTTCAGGAGGCGTACCCTAGAATTTGTACTGTGCATATAAGTTATAGGGTTGATGATTTTACTAAGTGTATTAAAATAATGATGCTTTTTTTATCTGAATACTATCTTTCCGCACTTTATAGCGTCTATTTGTGGGCTGGTGAATAATTTGTCTGACTTGTTGTATTTACTGAACTAACCACACTTTTCTTTTGATAATCATTCAGTTGTATCCTCCATTTATGCCTTCTCTGGGCGATTCTCTTCGATATACGCTGCAATGTTTGGTCGTGCCTCAAAGGCTTCACGGAACTTTTGAACTACTTCAGGTAGTTTGGACTGGATGTAATGAGTTAGCACCATGAATCAGGTAAGTCATTCATCCAAAAGTATAAACTTACTGGTAGAGTTCCGATTCGTTCATCGTTATCAATTGACTGATAGACGGCGAAGTCGGCGTAGGATATTCTGTCTCCGAGGAGATAAGGACCATTGTTTGCAGAGTAGTACTCTGCAATGACATTGTAATATTGTGGTACAAACTTGTTCCTGTACTCATCTGTGACACCTTTCAGGCTTGCTACCCATTGAGTCTATATCTCATTCATTAGCACATGTAACCGACGGTTATTCCATTATAGATTTGACTTACCCTCCAATCATTGTAAACATCTGAAACAGCATCAAGCTGAAATTTCTCATGATTGGTTTCGCCTTCATAGCGGCCGATATCTCGAGCGAGATATCGTAAAATGGCAATATGCTATATGGGGAGAAGTATGTTAGCGCATCCTAACATTTAAAAGGATCTCGTTCATTGAGTAACTAACCTGGTTGATAACAATACCATTGATCAAGAGTGCAGGCACCTTGCCAGTTCGAGTAATGCCTTCTTGCTTGAGTCTCTCGCTCGTAGCTGGCCATGTGGCATCATAAGGATGTCGGATATCGTTGAATTTGATCTCTGCGTCTCTCATGAATAGACTAATATATGTGTTAGTTCGGGTTACAAGGGGTCACAATAATAAGGTTGGTTGTGGAAGAGAAGAGTTGCTGAGTGGCGCACGACTTACCGTACGACTTCGCCACGGCCCATTCGACCAATGTCTAGGTAGTGGAGGGTGGGGATAGATTTAGTAGCCATTGTATATGTTTGTGATTGTGTTGCTGTAACTGAAGGGATAATGATGCGAGTTGGTCTATGCTGGAGCAGTTGTCTAGAGACTTGGAGGCTACCCGAAACTACTCGGAATATAATGGCTTTTAATACAGGTCGACAACTCACTCTTATGGACGGAAGGAACATGGCTTTGTAATAGTGACCAATCTCTCTGACAAACTAATAATGTGTTGCTCGCATTCTCTTTCCAACTAGTAGGAAACGGAAACTACTTTGTGTTTGCGCTCTTTGTGCGCTCCGAGTTGAGTCCGAAGAGAGCTGAAAACCAACTCTTACGGCTGACTCATCCGGAATCAACGTCCCCGCGGAGATGCTATGTACTGTTTGGGTATGTGCTTTGCTCGATTTCGCAAAAACTAGCCGCGCGATGTGCCGCGCCCAGGAACTGGCGGTCCGGATTTGGGCAGTGGACGCCGCACCAACATCATCGGGGAGAGATTCAGATTCTTGCAATTGACTACTGGGGCGCATTATGTCATTGAAGCTTACATAGCTGGAATACTCGTACGTGCATCGGGCGCGCTGACGTAGGAGCAATTAAAGGGTTGTTGCCTTCATATTGTGCTAGCGGCTTGAAAGGGGAGATCATGAAAACTACAAATAGCGAGGCTGTGACGCGGCAGTGAAACAGCTGTTTTGTCACTGTTCTAGTGTTCTAGTACGCTATTTTTCCACGTATGGTGAAGATTCCATTCGTGGCGCAGTTGATAGTATTCCATGCATAGGCAAATGCGTCCAAGTGCTGACGGGCCTTGTCTCGCCCTATGCTCTAATCTTCTAGCCGATGACAAATCTTTCTCGAGTTTGCGGTAAGATGACGACTATTGGGAGGATGATCTCCTGAAAAGCACTGGAATCTGGTCTATCTGCTTTAATTTCCGTATTACCACATCATTGATAATTGTTGGAGGTAAATATGGCCCCGTCCCACGACGGCAGCACTCCGCTTCCCTGGAGGTTTGTTAGACGCGATTTCGCGATCCTCACCTACCTACACCGTCATCTGGAAAGCAACACAGTAAACGCGTAAATCGGTCATTTTGCCGCCATGAATTCAATGGCCTCTATGGCTGACCGAAAGGCTGCAGCATCTGATTATATACCACCTCCTACGTTCAACATGCCGGCTCGTCACGAAGTGCATGTGCCATCAGATTCGGTAGCGGAGCGAAAAGTGCGACGAGCCATTGAAGACTCGGCATCGAGAAACGCGGAGCTCCTCGGCGAGCTTGAAGCTACGGCACATGCACCCGGCCTATTTAACAACAACCAGGTGAAGATTGAACATGTTGACAAACGACTGGCTGATCTCGAGCCCGAGGTCGAGAAGGCCATTGCCGCCGCCAACCTGCAGCTCAAGCAACACAAGAGCTATAGAGACTCGGTGGCCAAGAAATTCGTTTACACCGTGCTGAAGAAGAAGAGTGCCTTTGAGGACAAGGCCATGCGAGAGGAGAAGGCCTACCATGAAGTGCTTGAGAAGCGTCACAAAGCTGAAGCAAAGTTGAAGGATCTCCAGGCAGATAAAGAGGCACTGACTGTTGAGATGAAGGATTTGCAAGAACTGGTGGGACGACACGGCACTGCACACAAAGAAATCGACGCCCTGTACTCGCGCATTTTCGATGGCCCTACGGCGGGATTCGCAGACGAGGATGAACAGGAAGAGACACATAAACTTGCAAAGTTGGCGCTACAGGAGAGGACAGAAGCACTCAAGGCGGCTGTTCGAGGCATTAAAGCCGCCCAAGCAGTCAAAGTAGCCATCGAACGCGCATCATTTGAGAAGCAACGCGCAGCCTTCGAGAACCACTCCGATATCTTTTCTCAGCGTGGCGTTCATACAGTTCTGAAACGTTGCGTCGCTTATATCAATCGCGGACTTGAACTCAGCGACGAGGCCGTCGAAGCTATAAAAGCGACACCTGGGCCGGACTTGGTACAAGCCAAAGACAATCTTGATCGGCTTTTCCACACTGCCAGAGCGACAGCGCAAGAGCGCTACACGAACAAGTCGCAAAACGCCGATCTTATAGAAAGACTGGGAGCTACGCTGTCACAAGCGTTGTTTGCCCAAAAACAGTACGTTGAAGCCATGAAGAAAGTCACAGAGTCACGAAGAGAATCGATCCGGAGGACAGCAAGAGCTCTGGAAGATGAGCGACGTGCCTTGCAGCAGCTCCGGCAGAGCGCATTCGAGACTACCGTTGGCTTCGGTGCCGCGGCTCCTGCGTATCACGAATGCTGTGATCGAGCTCCTGGGTTTGAGCAGGATTCCCACCAGCAAACCGCATCTATCACTGAGCCGGTTGTTGTGGAGCTTCCTGAAGAAACAGAGGCTCCTCCTGACTATGTGTACGACCAAGATGGACAAGCGCCTCCGGCAGCAGGGGGAGAACCTGGATTAAGCTCTCAGAACCACGGCACTCCTCTTCGTGGAGAAGCTACCCTTTTCAACCCACGAGGTCTGCAGGAGGTTACCTAATTGGATACGGAACGTCGAGGTGTTGACTACGGCATGAGCCTTGCCTACATTGTCTGTCATTTACTATACTCATGAGCCTTTTGATTTATTTTACCGCCCGGATTGCCTGTTAGCGTTTGGAATGTGCAATCGGTTGCTGCTATGTTTGTAATGGCGAGGATGACTACTTTGAATACCACGGTGCTATATGGAGTTACTTTTCTTGTTTGACTGTATTAGGGTAGCAGCGTCTTCATTGGGCAATACATATTGAGTTTAACACACGCCCCTAGCTAAGCATTCTTTAGCTCTCGAGACTAGCAATGGGATGGCTGTGACATTAACTCTTCTATTTTTACTCACCGACGTCACTGGTGTTTGCTTTTGTATCTCATTTCCTTTGCTTATGACACTTTATCCACATATGGAACTTCATGGCATCCCGCTCTATTCACTCTCCCACATCTTGCCTGACATGCTCCCTATAGCTCATTTAAGGCAAGCAAACTCTTTCGTTATCACAGGCATGACTCTGTAGCATAGACTCTCCCGTGCGGAAGGCTTACTTGCTCTGTAGTATAAATCTTGAGTCATGTAGCTATGAGCCGGCCTCTCGGCTAACATAGTCTGCGCTCTTGCGCCCTTAATCCAACAACTGGTGCGTATCAAACGATATTCTTTGACATGTAATACCTATTTGAGTTCCCGATGTCCCAATTTGGCTATATCTCAAACAGTATGTCAGCATTGCGCACTGTTGAGCAACCAGCTTGCACGCCAAGTCCGAGATAGGCAAATGCTCAATGCTAGCTACATTCTGATGTCTCTGTTGGATCATGTGTAAGTGTAAAAGGAAATTGCTCTTGAACTTCTGAAAAGAGTCCGATGTAGTATTTAAATATGAAGGCAAAGCCTCCACTTGGATGTAGACCCAATCTCAATATTAAACAGCAAGCAACGAAATATAGCGCTAAAATGCCGTCTATAGCAGGTCACAGAGTCCTCGTCCTTGGAGCCTCATCGGGAATAGGCTTTGCCGTTGCAAAGCTAACCCTCTCAGAGAACATTGCGCATCTTGCAATTGCATCCTCAATAGGACGAAACTAGACAATGCCGTCAAGGCACTCATAAAAGCAGTACCTGGGTCGGAAGATCGGATATCCAGCATTTTGGTCGATCTTGGTGGCGAGGACACGGAAACACAACTCGAGCAGGTTCTCGCGGACGCTGTTGCTGCTGCTGGAGGCCCTCTCGATCACATTGTTCACAGCGTGAGCAATAGACGAGGCCCGCTTGTTCCTTTCTCTCCGGTTGACTACAAAACCATTCATGGACTGTTTGTTCCGAGGTTTGCTCAGTTGGCGCTTCTCGGAAAGTTGGCCCCTAAATACATGAATGCCAAAGGCACCTCGTCGATCATTTTCACTTCTGGTCATGTCGAAGATGTGCCAATGCCAGGCCTGGGTGTTCTCTCTAGCGTTGGCGCTGCCATTACAGGTATGGCCATAGGGCTGGCCGTTGATATTAGCCCGATACGTGTAAATGCGGTTGCGCCCGGCATCACTGAGACTCCAATGGTAATCGAGGAGACGGGCGAAACAATGGCGTCTGCAATATATGACCTTGCTTCCAGGCAATCGTTAGTCGGGAGACCCGGAACAGCAGATGAGGCTGCCGAAGCCTTTGTGTATTTGATGAAGGACACAAATGCCACCGGTACCTCAGTCAAGTCATCGGGAGGATCTATTATTCGCTCGGCTTAACACGGTGGCTGGCTATTGTGCGCGGCTCACATGTCTCAAAATGCATAACCTGGCCGCATCGGGACCGAGTTCCCATATGGGAAAGGCAAGCTTGATGTAGTGCCCGCATCAACCCGCGCCTTGTTACTGCAGTTGTCCTGTAGCTAAAATAATCTGAATCCTTCGAGTTGCATTACTCGGCTTTATTTGCGCTTGTTACGTTTATACGACATAAATCTCCGATTGGTATAATCTCAAGAAGAGCGGGAAGAGAGAGAATACTCTTCTTGTGCTACTGGGAAATAAGAACAAGAACGTAACAAATATGATCTATGTCTATTAAGAGCGCCTTATACATGGGTAAAATACATGATATAATACAAAAGCTTTTTTCTAGTCCAAATTCCATCTTTATATGACTTCTTCATGGTTCCTCAATCCTGACATCCTCAGTCCAACTTCCCTTGGGCTGGTTGTACAGATTCCATGCCTCCTGGGCAATGTTCTTGGCATTCAGCTTCTGATTTTGGTCCAACACATATCCTGCAACACTCAAAAGGGCAACATGAACTCCTTTAGGCTCAAATTCCAGGCGGAGAGATCGAGTAAAGTTCTTCTGGGCAGCCTTGGACATGGACAGCGAGACAAGATTGGTCTCGGGTGTCTCAGGGAGATGAGAGCTGGTGACAATGAGTGTGGGTTGGGCTGAGGAATCTTCCGCCGCCAGCACAGTAAGCTGTGGGAAAGCCCATTTGGAGAGGTTGTTTAGGGCAATGGTGGAGATCATGAAGTCCCGGATGAGCTCCTCATCGGTGACCTCCATATGTCGGGACTGTGCGACGATGGCGGCGTTGTAAAGGACAACTTCCACGGTTCCGAGATCCTGGGTAATTTCCCTGAGTGTCGCTGTGAACTTAACAGGGTCGATGACGTCAGTTGAATAGGTCTTTACAGTTACATTGCCATTGGCAGCACTTGTAACAGTGGCTGCATCTTTCTCAAGCTGAGTGGGATTCCTGGCAACAAGAGCGACTTTGTTGAACTTGTTGGCGGCGAAAACAGCGGCTGTGTTGGTTCCAATTCCAGGGCCGGAACCAACGATGACGACGACATTATCAGATCGGGAAGACATTTTGCAGTATGTAAATCTTCTGTTTATTATAAACTTGAAGAAGCTTAAAGATGTAATGGGTTTCAAGTCGTGAGAGTGTGGGTTGTTGTTAGAGATGAGAGGTTGTTGGAGTTGTAGTATTGCTTTCTATGCTTTCTTGTACTTGTCTGAAACAAACTTCTTCTTCCCAGGAGCGCTCCATTCCTTCTATTTATCTCAAATTCCTTCAGCTTCACTTTCTAAACTGCTTGATAAACTTCATTAGGTATTTTCTGCCACGCAGCCACGGAGAAGATCAAGCGCGCCACAATGTGCCATTATTCAGCTTGGATGCACTAATGACGATATGTTGTTCCCTTAGACCCTGCGCCGTGAAACATCTCCGCGGAATTTTAGCAATCAATCGTGCGATCGATACTGCCCGGAAAAGGGACGGGAGTCCTAACCTCGGCCCCTAATGCCGAAAAAGGATTTCATAAGGCTGATGCCGTTGCTCTCTTTTCCCAATTGTTGAATTCTCAAAACAGAAAAGAAACCCGCCGGTGAGTTCTACTTCATTCTTTGCAGTTTCCTTTCCCCGCCAGAGCCAGACTATGTCATACAGGATCTGTGGCTTCTGCAGAGTTCTTACAAAGCAGCGCTAAGAGGCACTCCTGGCGCTCAGCGAACCCACGCAGGTCTTTCAGCTGGAAGGCGGAGATGACGATAGCCGGCAATGGCGAAACCTTAACTTCCAATGGTGCTGTTTGTATAACAACTCCGGCGGGCCAAAACCTCATATTCAGGGCGTTGCGTATACTGACTAGTGCTGGACAGGTCGCTCATGCATCCTTGCATAGACCAACACTAAACCGAGAATCAACAATTATTTCGCTCGACAAAGTTTATACAACCTTCAGAAACTGATTGAACCATGGCTGCCCAGAGAACTGCAGAATTGAGACGTCTGCTTGCGCGTCCTTACCCATGGGTTAAAAAGTCTTTTATTGTCGGGGCACCGATGCGCATCATGGCCGGCCCAAACTTGGCCGTTGCCGTGTCTGCTGCTGGCGGCTTGGGGTTTCTAGGGCCACAGGTTAAGCCAGATGGAGTACTGGCTGATCTTGATAAGGCCAGGGAACTGGTTGCAGCTTCTAGCTTACGCCACCCCCTGCTCCCTATTGGCGTGGGCTTTCAGGTCTGGAACGGCGATCTGAAGATTGCAACATCTGCGGTTGAGAAACACAAGCCGTGTGCTGTCTGGCTATTTGCTCCGAGAAATGGCCAGAAGGAGCTGGACGAGTGGACGACTTCTCTTCGTGGGGCCTCTCGTGATACCCAAGTGTGGATTCAGGTCGGCACGCTGAGTGACGCGATTGCCGCTGTCAACAGCTTAACCCCTCCAGATGTTCTGGTTGTTCAAGGCTCTGAAGCAGGTGGTCATGGTATGGCAAAGCAGAGCACCGGAACTATTGTTCTGTTCCCTGAAGTGGCAGATGCCGTGAAGGAGTCTGGAATCCCCGTTGTCGCAGCGGGAGGAATCATCGATGGGCGAGGTGTGGCTGCTGCCTTGTCTTTGGGAGCTGCTGGCGTCGCTATGGGGACTCGATTCCTTGCCTCTTCAGAGGCACGCATCGCAAAGGGATATCAGGACGAAGTAGTTCGGGCATCTGACGGTGCGAAAAACACTCTACGTACTCAGCTATACAATCATCTGCGTGGCACATTTGGCTGGCCCGAGCTGTTTTCACCTCGAACTCTCATCAACCGTAGCTGGATCGATCACGAAGCAGGCGTTCCGTTTGAGAAGCTCCAGGTGCTACATGATGAGGCGGCCAAGAGTGGTGATGCTGGTTGGGGTCCAGAGGGGCGACTTGCAACTTACGTCGGAACGGGCGTAGGTCTTGTGCGGAGCGTGCAAGACGCAGGAGTGATTGTAGAGAGTGTGAGAAACGAGGCGAGGGATATTCTTAAGGCCTTGACCGATGATATTTAAAGAGCATTAGCATGTATTGTACTCCTGATTGGTGGGCTATTTGGTTTGGAGACTACACTGAGTTTCGGTAGTTTAATGAATTGGCAGACATAGTGGTATCAACTCTGTGTTCTGCTAATAATTTATGATATACTTGGAAAGAGATAATGCGATTATCTTAGTCTCAACTTGTTTTATTTTTGCTGTTGACAAAATTTGGTCCGCTATGAAGCCAGCTTCAGACCCTGACTATTGATAGACGATTGCCTGGTTCATGTATATACTTGCACTTGTTTCGCCTTTTACTTGAAGTTTGTCAAGGCCCCTCAGCTTCATGTCTTATGTGTCTGCTTATACTACGTATCTAGTATCGACTTTCCAACTAGCCGTATTCCAGATTGGAGGCTGGCTTGGGCCGGAGTTGTTTTAGCTGGATTAATATCTAATCCTAGACGTACTGCGTTCTATTGCCGTATGAAAGCTGTTTTCTAGCTGGTAGCGCGCTGCTCGTTGTATCTGTCATCATCCGCAAAGGCTATCACGGGCCGTAGAAATAAGATACTACTTTAAGACGTTTTCAACAGAAAGCATTTTACAATGCAACCAAGTACCAAGGCCGGAGGGGTTGGACTCCAAATAGCACAGTGTGTGAACATATATGTTAGTGTAGTTAAAATCCAGTTCCGTCCATCTTTCCTACCACTAGCTTCTTTACAGCCATTTTGGCACTGTTGAGGAGTGACGCAATTGCGGATTTTCTATCACCTTGTCGGCTCAATTATTAAGAAACCATTACTCGGGCTTCGATTTGAAGACGCAATTTTGCAAGTAACACGCGTTTTTTATCTACCCGTTGGTTCTTCACTTCCACGTTTGTCATGAAGGATTGGAGCCAAAGGGTACCCCTCGCGAAAGTGACTCAATCGCCGGTGGACTTGCGGACTTTGGCATCACGCTCTTTGCGGATGAACGAGATCTTCACTTATAAAAGACTTGAAGCTTCTTCTTCGCACTGAAAAACAAAATTCAAATCCGCGGCACATATTTACAATCTTTGAATCAAACTCGACAGTTCGCGACGCCATTCACCATGAGCCAATCCCCGCCCCGCCGGCGTATTCGCCAGCTAATACCACAGCTTCATCTGGGAAAATGGCCTACCGGTCCCCTAAACTCCATTACTGATGTTCCTGGTGTTCTATCACACACAGAGTCCATTCATAACCCTCCCGGAAGCGAGGAGAAGTCTCCTGACATCAATACCGGTGTCACGGTTATTTTGCCCCGGCCTGACTGGTACAAGTATTCTAGCTTTGCCGGTTTCTTTAGCTTTAATGGCTGCGGAGAGCTGACGTCGTCCCACTGGCTCAATGAAACAGGGCTGTTGGCGTCACCAATCGTCCTCACCACTACGTCCTCTGTTGGTGACGCGTACCGTGGAATCCTGGAGTATGCTGTTCAGTATCACTCTAATGAAGACAAAGAAGTTGATCTGTTTCTTTTTCCAACCGTTGCGGAGACTTTCGATGGTTACCTGAACGACCAAAGCAGATTCGCCGTCACACCGCAGCATATCATCAAGGGTATTCGAAGCGCGACTGCTGAGGCTGTGAGGGAGGGTAACACTGGTGGCGGAACAGGCATGATTTGCCACAGGTTCAAGGGTGGTACTGGTTCGAGCAGTCGCGTCGTCAAGGGCTTTGACATCGATGGAAATGCAAAGTCCTACACAGTCGGAGTGCTTGTCCAAGCCAACTATGGTTCTCTAGACAACCTCCGTATAGGAGGCGTCCCAGTAGGCCAAATTCTCAAAGAGCAAGGGCAGACAACAACAGAACAGCTCAAGCCGGGAGAAAAAGAGCCGCGCAAAGATGGCAGCATTATCGTCATCGTTGGCACTGATGCTCCGCTTCTTCCCGTCCAGCTGCAACGTTTAGCCAAGCGTGCTACCGTGGGCCTGGCCAAAGTTGGTGGATATGGAAGTAACACATCGGGGGATATCTTCCTTGCCTTTTCCAACGCCAACGACATTCCAGTTCAAGAACTTTCCATGTCTGGCGCTCGTTCTGCTCACCCCCATGTTCCACAACTCCTGGGTGTGAAAATGTCAACCAATGATACCATTGATGGGTTGTTTGAGGCTGTTGCTGATGCAACCGAGGAAGCTATTTACAACGCACTCTGCATGGCTGAGACGACGGTAGGCTTCAAAGGGAGAAGGGTTGAGGAGATGGATTTGGTTAAGGTAAAGGAGATTGTTGAGAAGAGATTGTAATCTCAAGTTCGCCTTGTCATCAGACCATACGATGGAAGGTTTGTTTTTGGGGCCAAATAATGCTACTCGACTATTTACGGTTGAAGGGGAAATCTGTGTATCTGATAATAATAATAGGGACCTACATGCTATAATTATTTCTTTGTCGTGTTTTCCCAACAGGATGAGTCTTGCAAGTGAGCCGACCACAGAAGAACACAGATCACATGAGGCTGCCGTGTGACTCTTTCCATTTGACAATTCTGGCCAGACCTTCCTGTCCTCGTATCCGGAGGAAAGGAGGCGATAGAGGGAGATTGACAAGGAGGGGGGGGGGGGGGGGGGGTTATAAGGTGGGACAGGAACTAGGGCTTAATGACCTTTGGCGCTTGTGATACACAATGGCGGCCACTCCTCAACCACCTTGCCAAGAGTCCCTGATCTAGCAGCTCCCTCATCGCTAAGAGACACCGACAAATTTACCTTTTTTTTACTTCCAAGTGCAAGGCAGCTTGTTTGTTGTCTTCATGCTGTTTTAGATCAATAATATGTAGCAAGATATTTCCGTAGTTGAGGAGATTAATGAACACTCTCAGATATCGACCTTGATGACCTGGTAAGCCTTATGGTCTCCGTCAGTCGACTGTATGCGGCCAGCCTTGTACAGCCAATCAGTGTGACTCTCAGATGCCGGTTGACTCTTCTGTCAACGAGGCTTGAGCTTTTCGTTTGATGGAACAGTGGCTGACCAGGGGTGATAATCGAAGGGGGTAACTATACATTCACGCCTACACCGTGGTTGAAAGTGACTTATGACGTACATCATATTCCCTCTAAATACTGAAACAAAGAAAAATAAGAGCTTTCTGAGGCGATAGATTTCTCAACGTCCTTGGCATCAGGCGGCCGGGCCCTACGGTAAAGCAGGATCTAGATGATCTAGATAAGCCTCCTCCCCGCCGCCCTGTGTAACGGAGTCGGCCCAATCGGATACAAATCGCTACTCTTTGACGCCGCTTTCGAGTACTGTGGTGATGATAGTAGGGCACTTTCCCTCGAGGCAGCAGCATCAAGGGGAGGGGTGACTTTGGACATTCGCTGCTGTACGCCGATATCGTCGCGTATCAGGCATCCTTATGGCTTCGTAATAAAGAGAACACTGCCCGGTTAGGTCTTTGAGTTGATGAGTTGGCAAGAATAAGGCGTCAGAATATCCGTTTGTTTGCTATGGCGTGCATAGTTTTGCGCCCTATCAGAATCTTTCACGATGTAGGCGTCTTCCAGCTACCAACGGTGGCTGAATCATCTGATATCTGCCAAGTTCAAGCCGGAGCAAACACGTAGGCCAGGCCAGGCCAGGCCAGGCCTTCATTCCTTTGTTGGAAGTGTATCTCCTGTGCGGATATAAGAGGTCTCATTCACCATGGACAAGTTGAAACCCAAACTCTACCACTCACCACTGCAACTCCAGCCTCTTAATCCGTCCGCAACGGGCTACTGGAAAGTACTTCTACGTCTCTCATTGAATTTATCAATGGCCCCAGCAGCCCTCTACCCAAACACCATCAGGAGTATGGACTTCTCAACTGAGGTAAAAGTTGGCCTCGGCGTCGGTATACCAGCCATTTTAGTAGCCGTTTTTGCCGCTTTCCTCCAGCTTTTCTCTTGGCGATATCCAGTGGTTCGTGCCATAACGGCGCCATGTGCGGATGCCGTCACTAGTACTTCATCAGTGGATGGACATGAGTCCGAGTAATCATGACCAGGAAAGCTTTGTTCTTGGTAAGCTCAGCCTCCTCCCCAGATACCTTGTCCTGTATATTCCGATATTGACTTTCACTTGGTAGCTTGTGACGAGGGCGCAGAACACTGTTGCACAACGACCGACCGTATCTGAGGAGGGTATGCATCCTGGACCGTTCGACCCTTTAAAGCAACAGACATCACGTCTCGAGAGACATTTGCAGCTAACCTGGATGCGGTACTTAGGTGACAGATGTCGTGAAGTTTATTGGATACGTATCAAGATTGCAATGGATCCTTTTTTATGCTTGCTGAGAGATGTGGGAGATTGTCACCAGGAGGATTAAGTAGTGCCTCTTTGTAAGTTGCTTTTCGATAATACGATTAGGATGAGTGTCACTAGGAAGATTAATTAGGGCTCTTTGTTTTTCTTCTTTTAAGTTGATTTCAGATGATACGATTAGGATAGCTGACATTTATACGATTCGAATTTTGTGTCCTCGTTCTAAACCAAGAAATTCGTCGCACAATGCATCCATTCCGTTAACAACCTTGTCCCAAATGGGCGGCCATTCATAAATCCATCTTGCAATACGCCCTAACCCACAACGAGTGTAGCATCCTGGCTGATCTTTTGCTAGGGATAAAATGAGATAGACATAAACAATCTGATCGATCCCATCTTCGTGACCATGCTCAGAATGATACGAATACAGTGGCAAGATAAAAAACGATCCCTCTTCGTATTCTGGTTCATCAAAAGATATCATCATCTCCAAGTGTTCTTCATCAAGAAACACTTCCAATTCGGGGTTTATGGTTATTTGGTTGAGAGGTCCTTCGATGGTAAGAACTCCAGACGAGGCGGGCCCTGTCAAATCAGATGTAGCAGGCGTTATTTGCGCATCTACAATTGCTGCTTTCGTTTTTACGGCGCCAAACCACCCATCTCCATGACTATCGCTTATGCTTTTGAACGGCTCGAATTTCACTGTGTTGTCAGTGGAAGCCCAGGACCACGAAGGTGCTCGATAGTTTGTGGGTCGACATAGATTTGGTTCACATTCCCAAGCCAAGTTCACCACAGGTTTTTCCTGTGTTTTCCAAATTCCAGAAAGATAAGTGGCTCCGGATATTTCCTGTAGATATTTCGCAATGCCAGACAATGCAGGCAGTAAATCGGATTGAAACGTTAGACTCGCAGCTGTGTAGCGCTCAAGAACATCTCCCCAAGTCTCCACTAAATCACCTGCGGATAAAGTCTTGTGAGCATCGGCCATGAGCCTCTTTGGTACGTAATAATAAGTCCAAAAATCAGGAAGGCCTTCAGGGAAACTCTCGGACGCTATGAGCTCATTGCACTCCCAAATGAGCTGTCGACTCGTAAAGTGGGCGGTCCTTGGAGACAGAAGTCGTTCTTGCAAAACCCAACCTCTCTAACGATTTTCTGTCAGAGATGGAAAAAGTCAAGTGGGAAATCTGTATTCACTTGCCTTTGTAATTGCAGCAAACTCGATGTCGTCAGCTACTTCGAGCTCTTCTCGGATAAGAAGCAACTCCTCACGTTCCTCTGGGTAGCTGAGAGAGATACCGGTGTATATACCTTCTCTGTTGTAGTAAAGACCACCGGTGGAATCTGAAGAGGCCGTTGCAGATATGTTGCACATGGCATTTCGGTATACATTGGCCATTAGACTGGCCTCCCTCTCCCAGTCAGCCTTGTCATCTTGAATAATGCAAATGCAGTCAATCCAAATGTATCGAGCTCCAAGCTGTTTTGTTGCGTTGATTGCCTCTTCAAATGTCTTAGCCAGAGGTGGCAACTCTTTCAGTAGAGCCTGCCTATTTGCCCTTTCAAGCTTGAACACGGTGGCAGCATTTCCCCAGCAATGACTTAACGTCACATATGAACCACGTGGGAAACTGTTTCCTGTCTCAATTAGCTTGACGCTACTTCTATCCGACTCTGGAGCTCCAACATCTATCAGTCTTGTGGGATACCACTGTGGTGAGGCCACCTGTTGAGCATTGTTGTTGCCACACATGTCATGATCTTTGATACACGTTTTCAGAGCATCAATTACGAAGGGTTTAATATTTGAGTTCGTTTTGCCAGCTGGAAGATGCTTGACAGAGAGAATCGGAGAAGGGCCTAGATTTCAGTGAAGATTAGCAATAGCTTCAACGCAATCGACATTGGAAGCGTAAAGAACCTAGGCCTTGCAAAATAAAATTTCGTTCCACTCTGTCAGCTTTCCCTTTTAGCTGAGGGGGCATTAGTATTGCAAAATTAAGTCGACATGCAAATTCAGGGCTTTTCATATAAGTCAGATCGAAAGAGGAAACTTTGTTGCCTATTGAGCCCACGACTGTGTCTCGAATTTCTGAAACCATATCCTCTGACATATCTTCAAATAGCGTTTTGCAGACGAAGCATCCTTTATCGACAGCGACCAAGAAACTTTTGTAATTTGAGTGACCATATTTCCAGTGACGCTCTAGCGCAGAGGCTTGTCGCAAACCATCCGCGTATCTATCACTGCCAAGCCAATCAGGATATTGGACGCCACATGATCGGACACAATTTTGACAGTCTTGGCAAAGATAAGTGCCTGGTTGAGTCGTTATGGTGAGACCTGGCTCTTCCATATTGATCTCTCCGGATATTTGGAGACAGAGAAAATAATATTAAAGGCAAAGGTAATAAAGAGGATGAAGAGATGAAGAGATGAGGGAATTATATTTATGTTTGGTGAAAATCAGGCAGCACCCAGCTCTGTGTCTGCGGAGTAAGGTGCACAGATCCCATGATTCGTGCAACAGTCATCATGTATTTACCTAGCGAGACACACTGGAACCGTTCACATGCAGCGGCTGTGATACGGTTTATCTCAGCCGCAGTTAGTGCAACCTAATATGTACTAGTAAACATGATCCTTCTACTTGAGAGCCAGAGGGAAAGGGTCTAGTTTCATTCCTGATTATTCCTCGCGTCTATCATAACAGATTCAACCCGGATCATTTGATCTCTACAAGGGAATTCGTTTTCAAGTAAAACACAAATCCTCTCGCATTAGCGGCGAGATCCTTACGGATGTAAGGAGATTCTCTGATAAACTTCAATTCAGCTCGAACGCTATTCTCGAGACTATAATTATAATGTTGTGTCCCGTTAATATTTGGGAATTATATTATAATACTTGCGCAGAACGTGAAACGACTTACTTCTTCCGTCATGCATGTAAAATTTGATGTTGTCGATTTCGCTATCAAGGTTTGAGGTTTGGGCCTTGATATTGTTTTTGATCATCTCCTCTGATATTCGGGTAGTCCCACAATCTAATCCGATTAGATGACATCTGATGTATTACAAAAAGACGCTGCGTACCTTCGTGGTGAATGATAATAATGTCCCGCAGCTCGTTATTGAGAAGAGCTTCCAGGTAGAGCAAATCGTTAAGATACGGTCGCACATTGCCACCCATTGTTCTTATCACAAAAGCTTCTATGAAAGAGTCAGTCGAAACCATTAAGATTTGTTCATTCATTTTGCCCTACCTCCTTTCCGTAGTTTAAAGTGTTCCTCAGGACTAAACCGAAAATCGCAGCAAGCAACTGTCCATCGGCACCTTTCGTTAGAAGTATCTCAATATTGGGGGAATACTCAGCATACATATGGCAACGGTGGGTTTTACAAAGTTTTTGGGAGCTTCTGACATAAATGGAAGAGGATCCGCTGACTTGGCATATTCCCTGTATCAAGGATTAGCTTTGGGGGCTCTGTTGGAGGTATCAAGTCATACGCGCTGCGCAGAAGCAAATCTGCGAATGTCACCTCCTCAGTGGGAAATGTAAATGGGGCCATCTTGATTGGTGGAGATTTGAGGACAAGACGGCCGTTTGAAGAAGAAGTGTGCCGATATGAAGGTTCCACCAGCTCAAAACAATAAAATAGAAGCTGAATAATTTAAGACTGATACTTAATATCTGGTGTCTAACGAGGTCTTGGCTACTTGCAAGTTCTACTTCTTCTAAAGACAACTGGAGACATGCAATTACTGTTAGAATGTCCTGACAAATTGACAACGTCAGGATGCTTTACCGACGACGGCCAAGGAATAGCAATGCCCATTCTAGGCTGACAGTCGGCAGATCTCACACGTCTGCTTGATTCTTTACTTTTCCTTCGCTACGGAGTGCACAGTGACAATTTCGATCACAGTAGGAGGGCGCCAGAACTGCAGGGGACAGTCGTCAGCATATCGGTATAGCGCAAAAATGACGGACTAGCGCAACCCAAAGTAGTATTTGCTTTTCAAACCATCGTTGCCCAACATATACAAGTCGTTCGTGTTCCCGGAAGCATCGCGGAAGACGACTAAATGACCTCAGTAGTCTATTTGGGCTAGCTATCATGGCTTTATTGAGCATAATTGAACCTAAATCCGCCTAAGTCCGCTCATGATGCGAAACAAGGACTTGCATGTTGGCTTCAGCAATGGCGGATTTGGAAGTTGCTAAGCTAGAGTCCGTTAAAATCGTTATGTGAAGTTAGGTTCGTTTTTACTAATTAGACCGACGAACCTGGTTATCTTCAACCTGTGATGAAGTAGCTTGGTAATCGGCTACGTATAGATTGTATTGGTCTCATTATTTTGGGCCGAAGGGTCGTCTTCTTCATGTACTATTTAATCCATCACAGACCCTCATCATCAATACGGCCATCAACCACTTTCTGCAACAAAATCAAACCCAAGCTACTTTACCATCTACCCAACGTACTACAAAACCTGCTACGCGTCGGAATTTTTTATCACAGACTGCAACATGGCGATCAATGAAGAGACCGTGTTGAAGTACGGCGTCCTCGTCTACCCTGGCTTTCAGCTCATAGACGTGACTGGGCCTGTCGATATCATAAACGTCGCCAGCAGCCATATACCTGGCGTTACTCTCGACATAATTGCCGAAACTCTGGACCCAGTACCTACAAAGCCATCTTCAAAGCCTCCTGCTGGACTACCGGTCTTCAGTACTTGGCAAACTCTTGTTCCTACGCACACATTCGCCACTGCCCCCCTCGATTTGGACGTCTTGATTGTACCAGGAGGGGTAGCTAACTTCAACCCCGAGGATGTGACAAAGCCAAACTTGGAGCTCATGCGCCCAATGCTAGATTTCATCAAGGAGCGCTATCCACGACTGAAACACCTGATTACGATCTGCACAGGCTCGGGGATTGTGAGTCAGACGGGTTTGTTGGATGGGAAGAAGGCCACCATGTTCAAAGGCGCGTGGCCCATCATTTCGAAATGGAGAGACGAGGTTAACTGGGTATCGAAGGCTCGATGGACAAGGGATGGTAATATCTGGACAAGCTCAGGCGTCACTTCAGGCATGGATTTGACGTTCGACTTTGTCGCGAAGATTTATGGTGAAGAGGTGGCTCAACAAGTTGCGGCGGAGATGGAGTATGTGCGACACACCGATGCCAACATTGACCCCTATGGCATTGACATTGAGTAAAAACTCTATGACCTGATAGATCCCGTATAGTGTATACAAATAGAGAGAAGAAATACGATTTTGGTGATAAAATGGTTCACAGATACGCGCATATGCGCCGCGCTGAGCGGATCGAGATTGGCTCTGCAAGAATACATGTGTAGGCATCTCTCGTACGTATAAGATTTTGAGATCATAGATCCGATCGCACATGTATTTTGTGACGTAGTCCGACTTTTGTAGACGAGGAACGATATCCGCTGTTCATGCTCTCTCGTTCGACTTCTATTGAGTACTAGAATTGTTATCCAGGTTCGAAACACTCAGATAAAATCCTTGAGGCGGCAGCGTCATTGGTGGGTTATCGAGCTCTATTGCCGTCAAATACTTAGCTATTGAGACATATCTGATTAGTCGCCATGTGAAACCGATGAATGGAGCCTCTCCTGACCTGCGGTGTGCCATCTTCTGCTCATGTAAGTCAATATTTGAATAATTGACTCAGCGTTTGCCTTGAAGGTGATATTTTGGCTTCTCTGATATAAATTCAGTTGTATTGCAGCAGTTTGATACAAGGAATACGGAATGAAGTGGGACATCATTATGAGATTCGATTCGTTCTCGGCGCTTTTGAGAAGGTGCTGTGAAAGTGCTGCCATCTGCGTAGAAACAATTTCCAAATTTTGGAAGTCCCAGCCATTTTGAAGATCATTATGAACAACTGGGGGAACGTATAATGCATAGAGAGAACTAGGTAGACATGGTGAGCGAACAAAGGCAAGATCATCGAGGCTACGTGAATATGGATACCTGATACACATTCCCAGAGCTCCGCAATAGGTGCTGAATTCTAGTTCCTCGTCGATCAGGATTGGTAGAAACGCCTTCAGAGTGCGCTCAAGTTGAGCGCGCTCGCGAGAGCGGAAGTCGACATCAGTAACAGGATGATAGACGTGCTGAATCACACGGCCTATGAGGTGCGCTACTTGACACTCTCTCGCAAACGGTCCCACATGAAATGGAGCTGGAGTAGAGATCGTCGCCGTAGAAGTTTCTGAACTAGCCTGTATTTGACTGATTAGAGATTCTCCAATGGAAATTGGGGGCTTACAAAGCCAACGGAGACACTCACTGTGGACGACACTTGTTCATTGTTTGAAGGCAGATGAGTTTCTGTTGTGGCATCTTCGGAAGCAAATATCGCATCTCCGCCACATAGAGCAGTAAATCTGGAATGAATAACAGAAGTTACTTTCAAGGCAACGTTAGGTTTCTGGATGCAGCATGGGGGAAATCGTACCTATCAAGGTTATGCACAGCCCACCATGTCCGCTTCCTTTCTTCCACATCGGTATCTTGTGAACGCCAGGAATCTCGGCTCAGGCCAAGATTCCGAGCCAACCTTGCACAGCTACCAATCGAAATAGAAGCTGCTGGATAGATCCCATGGCCAATCTCGTATAGGGCTAGAAGCAGTCTAGACTGAATGGCGTCCAGAGTATCAAAGCCTGCAGCTTCCAGAAAGCCAATACTGCTTTTGGCAACAAGATAATGTGGCGATGAAATATCCCTTGTTCTAGTATTTTGCTGCACAGGATTCTGTTGAATAAGCTTCATACACAAACAAAGTGTGGTAAAATCTATTCCCGAAGGAACGAATAATCGTGACAAGTTCTCATGGAACCTCGATTTTGAGATGATGGGTAGCCTGTGATGAACGGAACTAAAGTAGGTACTTGCAGTTTGGCGCACCTCATCCGGCGTTCCAAGAATGCTACGAGCTTCTTTCTGCAGCGCTGTTCCAAACGTGGCATTGAGACTCTACCAGTCGTCAGCAGGGCCGCGAGTTTACAAGACCCAAAGAGAGTGTGACACACTGTTAAGCTAGAGCGACTAGGGCCGGGCACCTCCGGAACGATACCATGGGTCGAATCCTGTCCTGCATTACCTTCATACAGGCAAAGGCGGCCGAACCTATCGAAATCATTAGCTTCTGATATCATAGTTCTATAGCGTGACGGAAGAGTTTGTGTGTCGTATCCTTACCGAAGACAGGTGGAACAAATAGGCAAACCGCGGTTGCATTTTCTTTTACTGTTTCTACATGCTTTGCACGCGTTTACAGGGGATGCCATGGAGTCGGATGATGTTGTCTCAACCTGATACTGACCGCCCGAGTTGCGAATGAACGAATCAAGGTTTCTTTGGCTCTGTTAAAGCGGATAGCGAGGCATAAGACAAGAGGATGACTAATATGGAAGTCTCCAGGGTAGGTGTCAACAAAGAGCTTTATTCCAGTGTCGTTCTAGAAAATAGAGTAAGGTTTAATTAGGTATATAGACAGCGTACATGAGTTTTTCTGTGAAACTATTTGTTGAAGTTGATTTGAACTTGAGTCTCCCTAGGATGCTGTGAGGCCCGATACAGTACGAGTTCATTCAGTATGATTATGTGGTTGATATGCATGAACTTGACGTGCTATATCGTATTGACAATATCATACTTAATATGGAGCACAACATGAGAAGCAGAACATTATTGCACTAGAATGATAGATTTACATCTATACTGCTTAGATTACTAGTTCAAAAGCTATACATCAATTACTCATTCTCCATTGGTGTGTGCCCTATGGGATACCCACCGAGGTATGGATTTGAGGATACCAATGCCGCGGCCAGTCTAATTGTTCTCTGGATCCGTGTTCTCGTGATTGCTGGTTCCGGTGAGTTAACATTCTGTGTCTCCAAATCTATTGGCGTCTCGTCCCAGATATTCTTTGCGTGAATGTCCATTGGATAAGGACTCCAAAGACAGTGGGTCGTTAAAATTGTCTGAAGGTCCCCAAAGCTTCCCAATACCGCGCGATTCTTGGCAATTATCTCCATGTAAATGTTCCAAAAGATTTCCTGGTATCCGGATATGCCATCTGAGCTTAGAACGATGAGTATCCCTACCCAGACGTCCAGATTTGCAGCGTGTAAAACCGCCATATTTTCGTGGTAATGATAGAACAAGTGCTCATTCAGTCGCTCAAGGACAGAAATGGGTCCGCTATATCTAGCGGGACATGTAGAGCGACACAAGAATGCTGTAAATTGCATTAAACAGAGCCCAAGAATAGCGTCGACGGACTTCAGACGGCCTTCGCTTTCGGTTGTCAGGTACCAGCGGACACACATGCTAATTATCATTGAGTATATGGTGTTTAGGTCGATGGTGTCGAAAGGACTAGTATCTGGTGCTTCAAACCAGGCACGAGTATCCTGCAAAAGACACTCCACGGTGCGGATCAGGTCCAGCAGCTTGCTGTCTACGCCAATGCGACTACTTTGTTGCCACATAGGCCCGGGCTCGCCGTAGAATCTGGAAGACTTGGGATAGTTATGAAACAGCTGACCAATTAAGTCCGGCGGCAGAAGCTTGGCTTTTTGAAATGATATAGCGGCTCTTGGAACAGAATGTCTGTAATAATGAGCCGCAGTCGGATCAAGCGTGGCGGCACAAGCCGAGTTGCTAGGAGCCTATTTGGATTAATAACTTACCTGATTAATAAGTGTTGCAGTGGTTTGAAAGAGCCTAGCCCGTGGACTCCTCCCCTGAGACGTATCATCTCTTTCAACCCTTGCATGTGAGCTTGCCTCTGATTGATATCGGGCTTGAAGACGCTGGTGGCGGTGAATATGGGTAAGAACATGTTTTCTTCCACACAGAGAAGATTAAACACCGCGGCTATATTTTCATCAGATATAGCAAGAGTTGAATCTTCCATGTTGTGCTGCACTGCAATAATGGCTCGTCCTCTATGGTGCAGTGTTAAGCCGGAGTAATGGTCTCTCCGTTGAGGTTGTACTGCAGCTAACTGGAGCGCTGTAAGCGATAAGATTGCATGCATAAAGGCCGGATGGCTGAACGATGGCTGCAACCAGTCCCGATGTATCTGAGAGACCCGTATCTTGCCCGTAATGGGAGTCATCTCGGAGGATATAGCATCCATGACTAGAAATTATAATTGAACAAATTAACATACTTAAACAAGAATCATGCTTCTCTCTGCTGAAACGGGACACAACTATAAGTGGCTGAAATACACTTACAGAAGGCCAAGAGGTCACCGACACTGGCATCTAATGGAACTGCAAGACTCTCAAATGGGTCTATCGGGCATTTCCTGATAGCAGACGTGGGCAGTTCAGAAAAATCCCGGTTACGAGACTTGGCGCATATGCAGTGCTGCCTAGCATGAGACATGCCACGATGTTTTTGACTCTGCCCAAATAAAGCAGAAGGCTCCATGTCCTCAGCAGGGCCTTCAACTGCCATGCTGTCTCCGAGGGTTCCGTAATCATCGAGCATCCACTCATCACAGCAATTCAGATAGAAGGACTGCTCTGTAGGTATAGAGTGGAGGTCACTCTCAAGATCAATTGTTCCATGAGCATCTTCTTCACAGCCCCCTGTATGAGATTCTCTGCGTTTCGGCCATTCCTGATTGGCGCGAATATTGCGCATTAAAAACCCCCTTACTTGGCCTAGGTATTTTTGCTCTGCAGATGGATCATTGCTGGTGTTGATGAAAAGATATTCTTTCCCTGAACCCATGGTGACTTAACTCCGGTTGTAACTTCGCTTGATGCCCGAACCTATGCATTTATGGGGACAGGTGGCTGTCCTCGCCCGGTCGGATCGGTCTTTGCACCAACAATTGCCCGTCTTGTATGTTTACACTAGACACGAAATCCCATGTTAGAAGACTTATTTGGAGAAGTATTTGGTTACATACCCTGAGGAGAACTCACAGTTTCGTACAGGTTTGGAGGCGAACACCGAGAAGCATACGGTGGTCTGTGGAAGAGAGGGGGCGACAGAGCAGATGGCAGATAGGGGCAACTAATATCCTGAATCACCATTGTCTCTATCAAGTACAGCATTCTCCATAAGGAGTATGATGTTATTGAAGCAAACCCCACATCCAAGGGGACTTGGTTTGATCCGAGGTGTGACTGGAACCTCCTCTCCATACTAATTTGGTATTAGAACCGCGTGAAACTTTTCGAAAAGCTAATGGCCTTTTGCAAAGACGATGGATATCTCTCTATCAATCAAGAGACATTACGATCAGCAGACATGGCCATCAAGAACATGACTTCTATCTATATCTCGATGCTCCTTCCTAATGACCAGAAGCATGCACACTGAGAATAGACTAGATGACTCTTGTCAAATTGCGTCAATAAAAATGAGAGGTTTGAATATGTATTTAGAGGCACTTTATGCGATCTGTACTGGTAACTATACGAACCGTTAGTTAAGCATCTTTCGGTTTGGAATGGAGCACCTGAATGCTTCGGAAAGAGAGAGAATAGAGGAGAAACAGAAGCTGATTTGTCAAGATTAGGAATCTGTTGAATCTGGACCTTCACACTGAGCAAGGTTTGATGACTCGCACGGAGCAGACTCCAATTGGAATGGGCTTTTGATTCAGATGCATAAGATCTTGGTTTTTCTTTCGTCGAGTGGACCTGTTGTCGCAAGCCTTAAAGCCATACAGCGGCCTCCTTGGACAAACAAGTAGTACCAGGTCTAGCAAGGATCGGAGCGTAGCGCAGAATAAGCGGACTAGTGGTCTGCACGAGTGAGACTTGCATATGGCGAGCTAGCCTGGAGCAATATAAGTCAACCGGGGCTGGGAATTATTACTCTGGAGAGGATTGTCGTATCTGACACCCGCGGTGGGAATTATTAGAAACTAATGAGAATTCGAGAGGCTGTTGTACTCCGCATTATGAGAATACCACTTAGACAGTACTATATTCTACAACATTAATCTATTTTGCCAATGACGACATAGGCCCGGTTAAACCCAGCGCTCTCGCTATCATACATGCCCAATGACTCGTGCTCTATGTCTGTTATGGGGGAGGCATTCCCTCGTGCTGAGCAAGCCCCTCGATAGTAGAGATCCATTTCACCCGATCTTCAACAAACATCTCGAGGGCCGGTCGAAGATTGTCCAAAGCACTCCTATCGTCTAGAATCCCGGGCTGGATGATTCTCATCCCTTCCTTACCACCAAAACCATCTCCCCATCGATACATTGTGGTTCCTGGTATTGTTAGCGCTTGCCTATAGCTCTTCACACAATCAATGTAGGCATAGAGCATTGAACCGTTTGGTACTACGGCCATGACTTACCACAGTCACCGCAAAAGCAGTTCACGATCTTTTTTCCGCTATCTGCGATCTTCGATATTTCTTTCGGTTCACCAAAAACTTTGAATTGGGTACTCGGAACAACATAATTGTTACTGAACATGCTGCCGGTGTAATGGCGGCAATTCGAGCAGTGACATATTGCCTATTGATCTTGGTCAACTTTATCCCAATCCCACCTTCTCATGCAGAGGGTATCCTCCATTATTCTTACCGTGCGCTCAGGTTCACCAGTATACTCGATCCTGATGTTTCCACAATAACAGCTTCCCGTCGGCATGTTGGCGTACGTGAGTAAAAGTTTGTAGAAGTTGTAAAGATACGTGAATAAAATTGGCTCGATGATATCTAAGTCTGCTCAGCTTACAGATGGCAACGGAAGCATCGAGTTTATATCATACTCTTTGCGAGAGCTATCACTAACTATGTACAGCGTGATATCATATGTTCGAGCCACAGCTGATAAATCGTAGCCCGGTCATCTCCTGGCTTCTCGCCTATTCAAGCTTGCGCTAGTCCACGGCCATGAACACGCTAGTCCACCATTTAAGCACTAACTGTCGCCCAGCGGGTTGAGTTCAATGTTTAGTGTGCATATGTATTGAGTTATACGGAGATCTGTTGTGAGCAAGCCTTGGCAAGATGCTGATGAAGAGGCTAGAATGCTGGAAGCAATCGTAGTTACGTTATGTCCGTTGACTGCAAGAACGATGCTCGGTACGATCAGCAATCACCTAATTGAGCAACGTAGTAATGCTTTGACCGCAGGTCCCGATCTCTCCCAGACTAAACTATAAATGTTCTGTGGACTGGGGGAGTTATGAGTCCAATGAGGCGATTTCACATGCTTTGGGAGCTACATCACATTCAATACTCTTTTCGAGATGAATTCTATTGATCAAGAGCCTGAGACGGCGACATTTGAGCTTCTGCAGCTACCACTGGAAATCCGGAGACTGGTATACTACCAATATTTATTCAATGGTAATAGCATGTGTCGAATATCAACTGCATACCAAATTCCAACAAGGGTTGTGGCGGAAACCGATGCTCCTGTGAACCAGAGTCAGGTGAAAGCATCGTCCCGTACAGCTATAGCGGCGAGTCTGAGATCTACTGTCAACGCAATGCCGCTTCTTTTGTGTTCATCTCAAATGTAAGCCTCCGGTTGAGATGATAGAGAAACGGATTGTAAAACAACACTAATAGCTCGTGGTTAATCTTCTCAGCTATAATGAAGCAATTGATGTCCTATATAGGGGCGCTTCGTTTTACTTTGACGATCTAAACGTTCTGCGAGAATTCCTAGACGTTAGGCGCGATGCCGGGAATGAAGACTTGATTCGGTCTATTTATTTCAACTGGACCAGCTTTGTCTGGCTACACCATGGGCAGCAATCCGTAGTACAGCAATATCTGAATGAGCATTGGTACCCGTTATGCCGGCGACTGGACGAAATGAACAGCTTGAGGATTTTTGTTGTGTCAATCAAACTTGCCACGAAGCAAACAATAAAGCGAAAGTTTGAAAGAAGTAATCTCTACCAACTACTGACGTGGCTGAGCAGCCTGAATCTGTCGCAAGAAATTTTAGAGGGTAACAAGTCATAGAAGAACAATAGTTCATTTTATGGCTGCTTATTTCGTTCATTCATGATAATAACTTTCTCCTATACTAGTACAGATAGAATTCCTTATTGGCAACAATTCATTTTATAGAAGCGTTATGCAAAGAAACTTGGAAACGAATTGAGCTCTCAACTATAATAAGGTCACGAGTGGTATAATACAGCTGGTATGAAGTCATTATTCGTCATGATAACCTCTTTTTCATCTTGTTCGAGAATTCCAGAGGATTGGTTACCGTAATGGAATATCATCTTGCTTTATGTCCTTGTGTTTGAACTGTTGAGAATTAGAAGATCTCGTCCCAGTAACTATGCGACCATCCTCTTAAGAAACAATTACCATCGTTCGTCCAACATCGGCTTACGCCGTCCCGCCTAGATTTCCAATCTAGATTTAGTGCGCTTCCGTAGCTCAGTTGGTTAGAGCTTCGTACTAATACTTCAGCTTCACGCCCAGTGTTGGTAATGCGAAGGTCGCAGGTTCAAGCCCTGCCGGGAGCAAATCTCCAGTGCGCGCTTCTTTTTTTTGGATTCGTTTTTGGAAGATCCAGATACATTAGCGGATGCATTCTTTTTGTCCCTTCAAGAAACAGGTCATCTCCCATTGTCGTCTGAATGTTTATTGTACTAAGGCATATCTCCGCGAAGCCGAAGGTGGGTTGACCTAGATGTGCCTACATATGCTCTTCACATCTGTGTAAGTGTATTCATGGCCGGCATTCCCCCCTTCTCTCGACGGTTAGCTCAAAGTCTCTTAATGAGGTAGTTGTTGGCAAATTACTGAAAGCACCAAGAAGTACAAAGCTCGTTTCAGAATAGCAAGAAGATGCATTCATTTCTCAGCTACACGAAGCGCTGAGAACCCGACTAGTCCCTTGGCCATGTATCATATCACGTTGCCCAAGTTTGGTCTACAGTACAGGGGGTTTGCCACTTTATTCTTAGTATTAACAATCTTTAGACTAGATTCGAGATATTATTCTGTCCCCGCCTCATATTACTCGAGGTCCAAGGGGAACTGTTACACACGGACACATTACTACGGCGCACTCATCGCGAATAACATGCTAGTGCTACAACCAAGGAGCATCCGAGTATCAGAAAGTTTGCTCGTAAACCATTACATCTGAGTGGCATTAGGTAACATCGGCCGGCATAGCTGAAACTGTGTAACGAGTTCTCGTGAAGCTCAGTGAGACCGCTTAGAGACTTTGTTGAGAATCTTGGTCATATAAGTCAACCATTCTGAGCCACTTCGTATTATAGTACAAGAGCTCATGGTAAGTAGCACATATCAAAACATTTATTGATACTACACTGGGAGTAACATCGACGTAAGATTTTGTCATAGAGTTGAGCTATGAGCCATCATTCTTGCATACCCATACAAAGAAGACTCTCAATAATACACACTTAACGATTGTCCCGAAGGCAATTCCGAGGAATACACACGTAATGTCGACCTAAGTAATGAGTCAAAGCCATTCAAGAACACAGAGTCAATATAGAGCTTACACAACTGGGACTTGGGCAAAGACCGAGTCCGGCGCATTATAATTTTGGCTTGCGCGGATAGCTCCAATGTAAACTGCAGCCATTTCAATTTCAGTGTCGGGATCCGTGCGGCCTACGCCCCGAATCTCCCAAATGGATACGTCAGACTTGGCTCCAGACTTCTTGTCATCCCAGATGCTGTTCGAAGCAAAGCTGCCTTGCTTGACAAGGTCCTGGCGCACACACCAGACATCGCTTGTAGCGGGCGCTTGGGTCAATCCGGTCATGGCTACGTCTCCCAATGCCACGTATCCATTTGGAGGGATTGGGCGCCAGAATGCTCCGTCTTTACTGGCGCCGCTCTTCTGGTCATTCTAGATGTGAGTGTAGCCGGTTGGACTGGCGAGTGGTGGCAGACCATTAGGGTCAGAGGGAGAGCCCTGCCCAATGAGTTGGGCCACATAACTGCCGTTGATGTCGTTATAATGAGGGACACCGACACTGCCAATGGGTCTCAGATCTCCCTGAGAGTTTGGGTGCCAAAAGCCACCGTTATGAGTAGCACCGCTGCCTTTGCCATTCCATCTGGCACTGAATGACGAAGTTGTTGCAGTGATCAGTTCAGACATATTTGATGATGGGAAGGAGTTTAACAGAAAGTGAAACTGAATATGTAGGTGTTTTGGAAGCGGATGTAGTATTTTGATGATTTGTCCTTTGCAGAGTGTTCAGGCGATTTATATATCTACGATATGAGCTCTCCCCTCATTCTCTGTGCAACCGGACTTATGTCATATATATATATTATAATGCCTCAGATGCTATGCAATGCTATCCTTTTCAGGCATACACCGACAAATTGACATCATATGTGTTCAATATTATGTCCGATCTGTAGTAATATGCCTTGGCTCGTTTGATGTACATGTTATGCGACGAGTATATATTATCCTTGTTATGAGTATTTGTAGTCAGTATATCGGTAGACACGAATCATATGGCTTCATTTGTACACCATCTTAATCTGTATTCTTATGTCACAGCACTTATAGCTGGACTGTCTGTAACTCAGGTTATAATATTCTTAGGCTCTGGAAGCCGATCGATACCTTGGGTGAATGAATGAGTAACTCTCGTTTTTCATATGTGGGATAAAGAATAGAACAGCTGTATTAAAATAAGGCTCAATTATGTTCCCCTTCTCCATTTTAAATCCTCGTTAAGTTGGGCCTGTCTGGCATTGACTGCCTCGTTGGCGCTCTCATGCTGGGATTTAGCGTGCTGTCAGTGTCAATTGTCGGAAATGTCAAGGTCTCGAGTTTAAGCCCTGGCAACCACCAAACAGTTGCTTTTTTTGTTTCCGAATGCGTGAATTGCTCGGCGGATGGCGTTCTCCTTTTGTGTCTCGGAAGTAGGAATAAAAAAACTCGCTTGTTGCGGCACCAAGCAGACCCATCCTGGTTACTGTGGTAGCATCTTCCACTTGTCCAGTTTAAACCATGTGCGCCTAAAAGTTATCTGTATTTACTCAAGCTCTAAGAACAGCCGCAGTTTAGAGAAAAGCCTGTTATTATCCAAGATTCATGGGCAACGCGATAATGACTAACAATGGAGCCTCCCCCTCCGCACTAAATGTGATGTCTCGCAAGAGAGGGTTACACTGGGTTCCATATTCTTTGTTTCAGCGTACACGAGCTCGGAAATACCCAGACCATTCGGTCCCGAGTAGAGTTTCGAGACATGATATCGTAGTATTGACGATGAATGGAAATGAAAGACTGCTTATAATGACATGAACTATATAAATCATGGAACTTGGCCGAGTGCATTTCTCAACCTTTGAACAATGTGTATACTCGCATTTTCGCAAATAAAACCCCAAATTTGAAGCGCCATCCATAACAATGCAAGCTGTGAGTCTCACACTCACCATTATTTCTTCTGTCTGTACGGCAATGCCAGCTGAGCGGTAAGAACGTGACTGCCTTGTCATACCTTAATTACACATACTCAATTTTTTTATTAGAAACAAGACGAATAGCTGTTGTGTGAACTACGATTCTGCCGAGTCCAAGTCTTTGTCGTATAAATTCCGACATTAAGACGTGGAGCGGCTTTGCCTCGGCCACTTGCTTCATTTTTTGTGGAACAAACATCCTGCGGCACTGGCTTCGCAAATATGTACATTCTGGGACATTAAAATTTGTGTAAAATTATTGATTACTCTACAACGAATAATCTATTCATACAAAGTCTTTATCATTATACAATCCTAATTACATCAATCATACGTCTATTGGCGGCGACGTGCAAAGCTGTCTGGGTCAGACATTGCGGCGGCAGCACGCACGTTCAGCTTTCTCTTGCCATGATGACCAGGTGCGCCTGTGTGTCCTTTGCTGTGTCCAATGATGGCCCATTCTGCAACAGTGGCTCCAGTGCCGTTCTTTCCTACGACGTCTGCATGATCGAGCCCTTGGTTGCCAACAATCAGCAGCGACGCATATCGAGAAGCAGCAACAGGCTGTGACAGAGTGACATTGGTTGTGTTGCCAATGGGAATGGCGATGACATTCAAGTCAGTGGTCTTGATATCGTATGGATTGGACTGCTTGATGTTGGTCAAAGAGGAGACAATCTTGTAGTTAGAATTGTGCTTCTGTGACTTCAACACTGTAGCTGGGTCGCTGATGGCCTCGTTGTGGAAAATGACGGTGGCGTTGACGGGAGGTGCCTGCGCCCAGTCGAAATGGAAGCCCGAGACCAGAGATCCAACGTCTTCTTGATCAAGAGACACAGTAATAGAACTCAACTTGTCAGCAGAGGCAGGCTGCCACTTGGTAGAGGTAGCACCATCCACGGCCGCGATGGGGAATTGACCAGGTACATAGTCGTTGGGTGAGCTTGCAGCATGGCATTGCACCAAGTTGCCAGCGTACGTTTGTTGAGAGCCAATCTGCTTGTTAGGAACAACGACTGAGCCCTTGACAGGCAAATGATAGGCCGTAGGGCTTTCTTCAGGTCCAGAGTGAATGGTGATGGTCTTGCCAGCAAAGCGTTGGTCAGCTCCATCAAGCGGAGCAACACCGCTAGCACGGCTGATAGTTGTGTGAGTATAGTTGGACCAAGCCGAGATAGGCCAGCCGCGCCAGTAAAAGGTTCTGTATCTCAGATAAGGAATCTGAGGAGGCAGGTTTGGCTCAATGTGGATGAAGTCATCGGGCACCAGACGGAGACCGAGATAGCCGAAGAGAACAACCTGGTTGGCACCACCGTGGCCAGTAAGGAATGGGTAAGCCGGGTGAGTGCCGCCGTTGATGCTGGAATCATCAATGATCTGCTCTGAGAGCTGGTAGAAAGGTGCGCGAACGTAGGGCTTGAACGCGTATTGAGCATAGGTGTAAGCCGAGCATCCTGATGGTGAGATTTCATTAGCCACAATGGAGAAGAAGGCGTAGGTCATGGCAGGTCCATCTGGAGACTGCTTGTTGGCGTACTGTATAAATGTTAGCATCGTGCTCGCTGATTATGGGCATTTGCTTAATCATTGAAGCTCACATAGTCGAGATCATTGAGGGCATCCTCAGTAGTGTAGTTGGTCGTGTAAGACAGAGGGAATGTGACCATAATCACATCGGCTTGCTTGACCACTGCACTGCCGTTCATGGTGGTAAACTCTAGGGTGACTCCATTTTCACGAAGAACTAAGGCATTTGATGCCATTTCATTCCAGGTCTTGTTCTGCTCAATGCCAAACTGCTTGCGGAATGTGTTTGCATTCTGGAGAGTCTCTGCAATGAGAGGCATGGTGTATCCACCGGCGTCGACGTGGTTCGCGTATTCGTCCTACTACATGTTAGCCAAAGAAAAAGGAAATGCAGACAAGAACGGGGCAAATTACAGGGTCAGTCATGTTGGTCAATGTCCACGCCGTTTTGTTGGGCTTGAGTAGGTTGCCATACAGCTGGGCAATGGAGTCATAGACAGGGAAGAGGTTCTTCTCAAAGTCTTTTGTATCGCCGTTCACAACCCACTGGTTGACAAGAGCCAATCCGATATCTCCATTCAGATGGTACTCGTAATCCCAGCAAGGGCCGGTAGCAGTGCAGTTGCCATAGCGGCCACTGGTCCACGGGAACACGGCGGCAGATGCAGAGAAGAAAGTCTCGTTCTGGGAGCCTGCGTAAGAAGTCTTGACGTTTTCCTTGGCCTGGCCGTATCTTGCCAGGCGGTAGTTTACGATCCTCTCAGCAGCTTCCGGATGCGCCGCAAGCAAACCAGGCTGCATCCAGAGGTCAGCATCCCAGAAGACTTGTCCGGCATAAGAGTCAGAAGTCAACCCGCCGACAGAAATGCTGTCAACGTTAACTGGGGCCCCGTTGGCTGCCTTGCTACCATTCTTGCCCACTGTGTTTTGAAGCAGGTAGTAGGTGTTTACGACTGCAATAATGGCCGAATCAATGATGTAGTTGTCGTTAGGAAGCTTGCCAGTCTTGGGATCGGCGAAGCTGTCGACGGAGCTCTCAGGCATGACATTCGCCCATTCTGTGACATGGGAGTTCAGAGACTTGGAGTATCCGTTTTTCAGCGCCGTTGCTGCTGCCGACTTGGCGATCTGCTTGGGATTCTTGAAGGCATCAGAGGATGCACCTCCAACAAATTTGGTCACTCGCACGGCACGTCCTGCTGAAAATTTAACGGGAACAGCCTGTGCGATGGAAGATGCGTTGGTGTGCACGTATGGCTTGTTGTGGACAATCTTGCGGCTCGACAAGTCTACACCTCCAGAGCCGGTGATATCGGCGTACACGTAGGCGGTGACATTGGCGACACCATTTGGTCGCACGGCTGAGAAGATGGCGTTTCCATCCTCGCCTGATTCGACAAAATCGGTGCGTACTGCTGCGAAGCCGTCGAGAACGTTGACAATTGATGCTTCCACATTCTTGGATGCAGTGACTTGCAAGTCAACAACAGCCTGGTTAACATAGAGCTTGTTGGCGAAGATGCGGTATGAGATGTCGAAACTCCCTTTGTTGCCCTTGGGAGTCCACTTGTATGACCAGCTCAGGACTCCTGCCTTGTAGTCATAGGTTGATCTGAAGTTGGAGATGGTTCGGTTATCAACTGTTGCATCAAGGTAGGTGTTACCACCAAGATCCAGGATGAGGCCACTCCAGTGTGGAATACCACTGATGGCAGTGTCAGAGCCGTACTGTGAGATCCAGGGGAAATTGGTTCCGTTCATAACGGGCTGGGAGTCCCAGAAACCGGCGATAGTTGCAAACGACTGTCGCCTGGAAAACAGGGGCCAGCCACTGATGACATCGCCATTCTCTTCAGTATCAAGCTCAAAGAAGGGCCCGACGCTGGCAACGTTGATGCCAAGATAGCCGTTGGCAATGGAGCCTCGAGACTCAAACGCGCCCTGCTTCAATTGAGTGGTGCTGAGGAGCCAGTTGTCTTCGTCCCACGTTACTCCAGCAAAGTCGGTCTTGTAGACGTTCTTGCTAAACTTCACTCCTGTGCTCGAATCGCCATTTCTGCTCAGGCATTCTGAGACGCGATCATTTGATGTCGCGCCATAGGCAGGGTGGACAAGCTGAAGCAGTGGCAACAGCGCCGTCCCTGAAAGAATCTGAAAGGGAAGACAATTAGCATTATTCTGTTTGGCTGAGTGCAAATGATACGTGTAAGGGCAGGAGGGGTACACACCGTTGACCGCATTTTGCAGCTCGTCAACTGGCTTCACGAGCAGACACAATGCCAGTGAAACAACCTGAGGTAATACACGTCGCGTCTAAGATGTCCACTACAGAGTGTCGCAATTGCATGCAGACACGAGCTGAGGTTTCATCGAAGCACTGGATATGCGGCATCCTGCCCGGTATTTAAGCCTAACTTGCTCCCAGTTCCAACGTCGGTAATTCTCCGCGCAGATCACCGCTTCTGGCTGGTTGTTGGCAACGGGGTGTGGAGAGGGGGAAGACATGATCTGGGCAAGGCTGGGGTTGTAATACGGAGAAACCTGATCAACCATCGGCCCTGGTCAGGATCATCATCCCCAAATTCGACTTTTTCATCATCGTCTTCTGTTAGCTCGACTTGGCTGCTAGACCCAACCATGTCGTCACTCCGTTTAGCCGTCTTCCAAACCTGATCTCCTGCATTCTGAGCATCATTTGTCCTGAATCGACAAACAAAGCCCTGACGCTAATTACGTACCGTCTCCACGGCCTCAATCAATTTTCACCAGTTGACACAGGATTGACAGGCCGCTGGGAATTACCCCACAAGTATCCCCAGACACGGCAATGAGCCGGGAAAAGGGCCGATAATGCCGTAGCACCACCGCTGCTACGCCACAAGGCACCAGGAGAATCAGGCAATGGAGGAGAGCGAACTTGTAATAAGAAGGAGTAGCTAATGCATGCAAAGGCCTAGTTTCGGTGAACAGTGACATGCTATTGTAGCTGGCCGTTGTGAAAGTCTGGTCATAAGTCAAGGCACCACGGCTCGCTATCCGTGTTCTCGTCGGTGAGGCCGCGGCAAAAGTTCCGTCCTCGAGGCACGCGCTCGCTGGATCTTAGCCCACAGCCATACCGAGATTGCCGGGTTTGGGACACTAGAAACGCAGTGTACTCGTGGAAGCATTTGCAACCCCTTGTGTAGGCGAAATGCGAGTGTGTACATGGTATTTGTATCCTATTAATGTGATCGGCAGTAATGCTTCGAGATCATTCGATGCGGAGAGTGAGCGAACTCTTCTGCTGGTAAATGGCGGGGCCAGAAGCATCCCTAAAGTTGTCAACGCACGCTTACTCCATTGTAAAATGCCTGATTGCCAGACATGGAGTGGAGAGAGCCCCAGAAAATTCGCGGCAGATGGTGACCGAAGTCTAGAATCTCAACGTCGATGCAGGTAAATTTTCCTGTTCTCCAGTTCCGCGCATCAGCCCCTATCCATGCCGGCCCGACTACATCGTCACTTGGCTGTTATAGTCAATGGGGACGCCAGTTGAGGCTTACTTCGTTCTATACGAGTACATACTTCGGTCGGCTGTTCCGAGTTGATGGATCATTCAGCTCAACGTCTTGGCTATGCGGCTATTTTACTTAGTTGATGGATTTGGTTAGCATCTCTGCTTTGCTTATCAACATTGTCAGCTGTAGAGTAATGGAATCGCGTTCAGTAGATAGAAGAGTTGAGGAGTGAGCATTTAAATGAGCATGGAAACTAGGCGCAGCGAGTCATTCGAAAACCGATCCCGCTCTTGGAGCTGATGGCAAGTCTTGGCTCTTTTTATTGAATAATCATTAGTTATCTCATTATTAACGTCCATTAAGAAAGCCACTTACATGTACAGAGTGATGACAGTATAATATAGGCGTACACTCCCATTGTCGTAACATTAATAAAACCGAGCAATCTGCGGGTAGTGTAGATGTCTACATTCTGATATATTACTCTCGCTTTCATCTCTTGAATTTGGCCGTCTCAATACTGAAATAAACGGATTCACGAGGCCTCATAGCCATATAGACTTATAATGTCGTGTGATGTGGGAAATGTACATCGCCCGCGTTTCCTCTATCTCTGGCAAAGATATCGTTCATATGATCTTGTTAGTCTTATTTGATTCCAGATATTACGCACTGCTGCTAGCATCATGATAGAAAGCATTGGAAAACTTGAGCAACAACCATATTGTTAGTTGTTCAAAGTAAAGTAACATAATATCTTGCCTATACAGATATTGTTAATGCCACGCTATCAATAAGTTCTGATGCATTCTGGGTAAATCATTAATCTTTGATGATAGAGTTGGGTGCGCATCGAAGAGATGGGCCCTTTTTCTTTGCACTCATTCGTGAGAGTTGCATGTGCACGCATGACGGTTTGGTGACCGGATGTTGCACGTAATGAAGATTTTGATGAGCAACTGTAATGAAACATTTCTGATAATCTCAGGTCATGTAAACCTTTGCGACCGAATTAAAAAAGAGGATAAGAATTCCAATACGACACTCTAGGTAGCGCCAGGCAGAGAGAGTGAACGTGACGCGCCTCCGTTCTCTCCTGTTCATCCATTTCAAGAGTTCTTATCGTCGCATGAAAAGCCTTGTAGTTGGAATCTCACATCGCTAAGCCTCGCCCTGCTGACACGTTAAACTGCCTTGAATCACCGTGGGCTTGGCAGTTGTCATATTTTGCCCTAAGATGAGTCATATATCATGGCTACTAGAGATTCAGACCACCACAGCCAAATCTAGTAATAATTGAAACTCTATTCGAAATTGCCTTTTGAGCGCGCAAATCCTGTCCAGCAGAATAAAAGTTTCCGAGAGTGACACATGCGCTACTGAAGTTAATATCAACGCACCTTGTCGCCCGAGTCACTCGGCATCTCCTGCTTAATACCAGGCTTGGACCTACCTGAGCAGATGAGCAGGGAAGCTGTCATCACGCGCTTGATGTTTATAAAACTTGTGCTGCTCATCCGCATGTTCAACAATGCCATAGCCAACAACGCCATCATTCTTCTTTAATCGATATATTCAGCTAGCTAGCCAGGCATCGACGCAGAAAAGCAGAATGGAGCTCAAAGTAGTCGATTATCAGCAAGTCCTGCAGGATCTGGACAAGGGTGTCCCGGTCAATTTTAATACCAACTTCCATACCGCTGCGGATGCACCAGATCTTCCGATCCCGTCTAATAAACCGTACAGCTATGAAATCTGGCTGCCGTTGGTATTGAAGTCTCGGGGAATATCGATTTCCGACCTTCAAGTTGTCTCGCTCTCTCGTGCGCGAATGAAGATCCTGGTCGAGGCTGCTGCCGCATCCATTCATACGCGTGTGCTCAATCGATCCTACGCCGAGGACCTCGAAGATGATGTCTACCCTGCCTTTCAGGGCCTTAAGTTTCCGCCTGAGGGGCTCTGGATGCGCTTTGGAGCCTGCTCTCCCAAGGATGGTGCCCAGTTAAACCCAGGGCAGCGGTCGATTCATTCCGTTGAGGACATTATACTTCGCATCACCACGTCGCTGAGAACTTGGAGCGCTCTTACGAATATTCTTAACAGTGATGATGAAGTGGGCCTCGTCTATTTTCTCCCATTTAATGACGGAATGAAGTCTGCAAGAGAATATCGCGTCTTTTGCGTTCCCAACTCGCTGGATATTTCCGCCGTCAGCCAATACGAATGGCATAAGCCATGGATCTTTGCGAACGAAGACAAAGATGTGATGACAAGGGCGGCTCAAAGGATTTTTAGGGGTATCCAAAAGGTCCATGCGGAAATTATTGCATTCATGAAAGCTCATGATGATAAGTCGCTGGAGAAATTTATTCGGAGTCAGGGTTTTACTTTCGATGTTCTCTATGACGAGGTTCCGGGACAGTGTATGCTGATTGAGCTCAACACTTTTGGTGTGAGGAGCGCATGCGGCTCTTGTCTCTTTCAGTGGTTGAAGGATCGTACTCAGTTATACGGAGAGACAGGTGAGGTGGAGTTTCGCGTGGCAGTGTGAGATTGACATCTGATGGACGTTGGGATCTGATGGATGTTGGGAGGGGAATATACATCTCACATCACGACACCACCGGCCGTGGTGAGGTTATCTTGGCTCGACTAGCCAGTTTACTTTCGTCGACAGCAGGGCTACCCGACTTTGATATGGCGAGGCTCATTGCAACACGACATGGATTTCGCGTGTTAACTTATGTATGATACCCTGGGCTTCAACATTGAATCCTTGACTGCTTTTAGTTCAATAAAATATCGATACTCGGATTAGATACTTTTCTAATCTATATAAACAAGCCTAATATTTTTTTTTCCGTGGGACTTTAATGCACTTACAAAAGTTGAACGGACTAAAAAGGTTGGGCAGCGTAAAAAGGGCCAATAGCTCAACTGTATACTAAGAAGATGAGCAGTATGGAACTGATGGGGTATTAACTAATCTGCAAGAGAAATGTCTTTAAATCCATTCTCAAATAATGTTCCATTCCAGCAATGCCAAAAGAGAAAATACCGATTCTGCTTCGACTTGTTTTCCTTCACGTTCAAGATGTTGGCCAGTGGCCAAATATTCCGCGAATATCCCGGACACATGACAATACTCCCATGCTTCGCCAAACCCGAAACCCTCCGCTTCGTTGACTCCTGCTTCATTTTCAGCATCCAGTTCTGCAATGTCTTCTTCTGTTATATCATTTTCTTCATCTTCTTCTGAGAGTTCAGAATCTACTCTATCACTAATATCGTCCTCATATTCATCAACCATTCTCAGAACTTCGAATCCATCATCCACGCTGGACCGTCTTGATCTCGACTTATTGCATTCATCAAGTATTACCTGGCGCATTACTGATTCCGCTTCGCTATATTTTGCCTGTGCATTCAAACATCTGCCCTAGAAAAGTATAACAGTATGTGTGTAGTCCCTGTCTGAGCCACAACAATTCCCAGAGCTTTTAGGGAATAAAGCGACAAGAATCTTTTCAGCTTCGGCATGCTTCCCTTGGTAGAACAAGACTCGAGCCAGCCATAACGTAGCTTCAAATGATATACCAAAGCTTTGTTCTGGGGGAACCTTGAATCCTGATTGAAGAATGTCCTCTGCGTCTTTGAATTTGCGCTGTGAGCAGAGTGATAACCTCAATAGCAATGGATTTGTCAGAATATATGTATCATTCCCCCCGAGGTTCTTTTGCTCTATTATCAATTGACTGCGGCGGAATTGTTCTTCAGCCTTGGTATACCTTTTTTGAAGATAGAGTGCCTCTCCAAGGGCGGTTAGGCTGACCGCGGTTTCTCGATCATCACCAAGAACTGCCGCGTTTATAGCTGCAGCCCTGCGGAAGTGGCTTTCAGCTTCTGCATACTTGGCTTGGCTTAAAAGTGAGTATCCCAGCCAAAACAAGCTTCTCGCTGTTGATTTGTCTTTCTTTCCAAGAGTGGCTGCTCTCATAGAAGCGGCCTGACGAAAGTGGCCCTCAGCTTCAGAAAACTTCTGCTGCCTATAGAGAGAAAGTCCGATCCAATGCACGCTCATCGCCGTCTCTTTATCTTTATTCCCAGCCAATTTTCTGCGTACTGATGCGGCTTGGCGGAAGTGTTCCTCTGCTTCAGTATAATCGCCTTGTTGATAGCGCGAAGACCCTAGCCAATAAATGGTAGTTGCTGTATCCTCATGTTTCAGCCCATGAAGCTCTTTACGTAGCGATAGAGTTTGACGTAGATACTGCTCTGCTTCAGCATATTTTTTCTGCTTATAACACGCATATCCCATCCAATGCACACTATTCGCTGTCTTCCTGTGCTTGGGTCCAAGTAAACTGTGGCGTCCAATCCAAGCGATTTGGTGCGCATGAAAAGCTGCCTCGTAGTCATGAATATCGCCATTGGTATAGCCGATGAGTTCCCAGACTTGGTACTTCATTTTTTCATCGTCATCACCCAGCCTAGTCAGGACCATGTTGAATATCTCAAGGGCATTCTCAGGCCGTTTGAGCGGCCTGCACAGTCCGCCAAATCCGATAAGGACAATGGTTGGAAAACTATTCATCTTGCTCTTGAATAGACGAAACAGCATGTCAAATGGACTCAATAACTCTTTTATGTATCCATGTCTGCGAAATATTTGCCCAAGCTGGGACATCAAGTCGGATTGTTTCGACAATGGTAGTGTGTGATGATCTGCTAACAACTGAATAACTTGAGACAGATTGTCTTGTGTTAACTGCTGAACTTTTCTGTTCACAATTTTGCCTTTTTGTTTATGGTTGGCCGCCGAGCGAGAAGCGTTCGAATCGTCTTCTTCGACAAAACTGAAGAATTCGCCCAAAAGGCGCACTCGTTGAAACTGCCAGTAATTCCCAGCATGTGCTTGGTATATCATCCGAAACTGTTCTTTCATAGTGCCCAACGAGATTATGACATTGAATGGGTCATCAGTAAGCCAGTCAACAGCTTCCCAAAATTCTTGCATCGTCACGGCCATGGACCCATCCATGAAGCAGGCGACGATGAGCATTTCGAACCAGGAAACAAGGTGCGAAGTAGCAAATTGCTTGATTCGAGATATGGTCTCTGGGCTGGGATCCTTCATCCTGTTGAAATGATATGTAATGAACCTGAATGCGTAGGAGAAAAGCGGTGGGTAGTCGAGATCCTTCGACATAAATAGGCCTTCTCGTTTGTGAAACCACTCAAATCCGTTGTTATTGATGCTCTCGACACATATATTGCCAAATAACTCGTGGGACTCTGACAACTCGATTCGTAATATTGAAATTTGTGAATTCCACAGTGTCGCGGCTCTTGTCAAATACTCCTTTGCTGTCAAATGGACAAGCCTGATCTTGCCATTGTCAATGTCAATCAATCCTCGACAGGCTCGTAAAAACATTTTCTCAGGATTGGGACCTTTGTATGCGTCTAGATCATCTCTTTCATACTCAGGTCGGCGCATTCGAGATGCAATGGCATACGCGTGCTGAAGCTCTTTCAGCTCTAAAGTCCTCCCAGAGGCAACAAGAAGTCCTAAGATATTTTTGGTGGGCTCTAGTCCCGTTTCCCCATTTGATATAATAATCTCGTGTAAAATCCGGTCATATGTATTTTCAATCCCGGATGGTAATCGCTGTAGTATCCGCTTGATGTCATCCAGACTGTATGCCCTACACAGCTCATTAATTGATAACTGTGCCCAAAGAAACATGCCGTCAGCCTTCTCTAGAAGTCCATCTATGATCATTTTCTGAATGTTTGGTTGTTTTAAAAGCTCATTCTTTTGTGTTTCGGTTGTGATGAAGGCTTTGAGATCTGCATGGAGGAGCTCATTGGTGACGCGAATCCAATGAGTTGAAGTCTTTTCTTCAAACACATGGGATCTGCCGAGTAAAACAATCTTAAGGTAAATAGAACGGCTTATGATATCATGAAGGCGCGCGAATAGGTCCCCAATCGAATCCCGGCATTCATCAATTCCGTCAATCACGAGGTACATCGATGTTTCAGATTCGGCCATGATGGTGCCAAATGCTCCCCAAAGATCAAGTGACGTGGGATCGCCCTTCGAAAAGAGAGATTTTATATTACTTTGCACTGTTTCATCCGATGTCAGCCGCAGGGCATCGAGTAAATACCATCGCACCAGATTATCAGCATCCTGTTGACTTCTTTCAAGGCCAGAGAAGTAAAAGTACATCGTTTGCTTTCCTTGTCGCTTCAACGCTTCAGTAATAGAGGACGCAAGAATGCTTTTACCACATCCGCTTTTTCCTGAAATGAATAGGAAGCGGTCAGCCGCATCTTTGCTTTCAGACGTATCCCACTGAACAAAGATGGGATGTGAAAGTATCCATTCACAGGTATTTGGCACTTTGGCTTGGAGCTTTCTCTGATGCGCTTCCCTCATGTTTGCCGCTCCGAGGGAGCTGATTATCCTTAGTCGCTCTTGTTCCCGGCGATACTCTATAAGAACTATTAGTAGTAGAAATCAGTGAGTTAACACGATTAAGCATGTACCGTCTTGTTTAGCAAGTTCAATAGCAACAGCAGTATTGTGCACGCCTTGAATATGAGACTTCAGCTGGTCAATAGACCTCTGAAAGCTTTCTTTTGGAGGGCTAGTCATCAGTTTCCATACTCGAACTTGTCGCTCACATTAGCAAGTTAGTCCGATAGCGGTGCTCTATTGACTTCAGCACGTCTACGTACCCGAAGTGCGGCGTTGGAAGAATGCAAGAGATTCGACACAAAAACCTGCCACATCATTAAAGATTTGAAGCAATTCTGTTTGCATGTTTGGATCTCTCTGCAAGTTCTGGTAAAGCTCCATGCGCGACATATTCTCTGTCAAAACTTCCACCATGGCTATGATGTGATGCACAACATGTGAGTGGGATTTAGATATCTGTCATTTTGCCGTCACATTAGTACATGCATTCTCACCATAACAAATATTCATCCCATCGCCAGGCTCTCTTACCTGGAGAATAAGCTTCACTGGAGCCCATAGTGGACAAAAACAATCTGCTTTGACCTGTACTGCAAGTTCTATTATAGAAGAGAGCGACTGAAGCCCTTCTGTATTTCGCTGGAATTGCTCTAGCAGCCTTGATGAAGCCTTGTTCTTGTGTTTGTGCTGCTCTTCATCAACGTATTTTATGAGCTGAGAGATGCTTGTTGTCTGGCTAACACAGCTTTGGAACAACTGGTCTCCATTGTTTAGCTGCTCGAAAAGCGATTTGGCATTGGTGATTGCTTTTTGTTCAGGAGTCATCGCTTGAAGATGGCTGGTTGTCGCCATTTTTACATGCATTTAATGAGAGATGTCGAGCGCAGTCTACCGCGACTTTCGTGAGAATAGCTCGTGGAATGTGTGGCTCGCCCATCCGTGGCTGCAGCATCAAAGGTTCAACAAAATAATCTTGGGTGCGCGCCAAATATCCCATTTACATCAGAAGATCAACCTTGGATGATTTTTGGTAGTATTGAGTTTGAAAATGCTCGCCACGCGTTTGTCCGGTCTCTGCATACATGTAGCTTTCAGGCTGCCTTTCGAGGTGATGGGCTAGCGCCAAGATTTCATCGTCACTCGCTGGAAGGATCACTTCGCCTCCGCATTTATCAGCCATTCATGGGAGTTTGCCTCGCAAGGCATTTTTCGGCAAAGATGCGGCTTTTAAGTATGATGTGCCTAGCTACGACAGTGCTATAGTTGACACGAGAGAGCGAAGCGCAATCATACAAGTTTGAGATAGAACATTTAAGTACTGTAGCCTGCATTTAACCGCATCTGCACTGAACTCATTTACTACTCTACTTGATCGCTTGAATACTCTTGCACAGTTATATTGAGAAGTTGCAACTGACTTTTGAAAAACATAATGCCACTAGGTAACCTTTTTCTCTACAAACTGCCATCCCCTTCCTGCTGCCTCAAATTGGACATACAATTTGTCGGCTTCTGCCGCCATTTCGTCCATGAACCAGAGGTCTTTGAAAGATGCTTCAGGATCCCTAAAAGCAATCCCATGAAACATTAAAGGCAGAATAGATGTTTTGTAGTCCTGGCCGTTAACTTCAAGTGTCGCTCGGGTCATGATTATCGCCCCGATGAAAAAGACGATCACTCCAAATGATGCTGTTGCTAAATACGAGATCCATTGCCATTGGATCCGTATGCAAGTCGTGTTTCGGTACGATGTTCCGTTCCAGAAGCTATCTCCTATTCCGCCCTCGCTTGAATCGATAGGATTACTTCTTCCAAAGGTTGTCATGCCCTTGACCAGTCCGTCAAACGCTCGCTGAACGTCGGCAAATTCCAGTACCCCTCGATTCCATATGGCCTGCCATTGTATTTCTCCGTAGAGAAAATATCCAGCTGGTGAAACCAGCGTAGATACTTCTGTGTTTATGAAGGCATCGTTGTAAAGCAGTGCGCTCATCGCGCCTAACTGTTGCTCGTCAATCATATAAACACATTTCGGGCGTACGATTGAATCGTTCACAACTATGTAGGAATTATTTTGTCTGTAGTAAGACACGTTGTAAGCCAGCCATTGAGTATCCGGGCCGATGTGAAACCCGGCATGTTGTAAAGCGTTTCGTTCCGTCGTATTGACGCATGATACATCGACAGAGCCCATGTACTTGTTGTCGTTCTCATCACCGGATGACCAGACCTCGGAGGTATTCAAAACTTCCTCTTTGAGAGTGCCTATCTTTACCTCTCCAGTGTAACTGATAACGCAAGGGTTTATTTCGCACACCGCAGCACCGTAGGTCCGGCAACGCCATGGGGTAGTGGAGTTGTCTTTACATTGTGTGAGCTGAGACGCCATGACTTGTACTGAAGCAACCGGAGAAACTGAAGGTATATTTTCGGCTACCAGTTTGAGGACACCTGAGTTGCCACTGACATACTGTGAACCTGTGTTGACTGAGAGAGTAATGTTTGCGGCCTTCCAATACCAAGTAGATTCGTTGGTTTTCACCACTTGGTCAGAGACGTCTTTACACTTTGAGCAGAAGCCGGAAGAGTGATATGGATTTGGATAGGTGCAGTTTCCTGTCGGGCAATCGAATGTTACAGGTGGGATCAGACTCTCATTGAGCATTCCTATCATCATTGGGCCCATAGCACCGCCGTTGAGGGTATGCACGTTCGAAGGATCGGGATCCAAAAGATTGGCGTGATGCGCGGTCGCAATTGTGCTTCTGACAGAAGGGTCGACTACGGTACAGTCCTCAAGTTGGACCAATGCTTGTCTAAATGCTTGGTTAGCGCAAGCTATACAAATGTGAAGAATTATTTTCCTACCCGAAAGGATCGACTAGAGTAAGAATAATCGTGAGAATCGCCCCTAGGACTGGTACCAGTCGCCTACAAAGCCATGAATCAGCGAACGTCCCAAATTAGACGATAAAATCTTTATACCTTCCATTTCGATGCGTCCACAAGAGGCCAAGGGATCCAACCACTCCTCGCGAGGCACTATCGTATTGTTGTAAATCCCCAAGGGGGCGAGGTTTTCTATACCAAACCCACTTCAGCTGACCGATGCCTTGAAAGTGTCAACACATCGCCGTTGTCATCAGTGTTTGTATCGGATATTTTATAGAGCCGTACCATTAGACACTATCAGTGCCAAAGAAATCTTGATCAAGAGCGTACATATTGCCACAAAGGTATTGATGGTGATCATAAGAGGCCAAGACGACAGTACTTTTCCTTGATATGGACGCAGCCCCAAGATGAGTCCAAGGAACACGCCGATAGCAAATATGCAGGATAGCAGCTCAGGCCACCATCTGCTGAACGTGGACAAACTGTGTGCTTTGATCGATTTCTTCTCATTCGTCGCCCACACCTTTTCCCACTCCAATTCTGGTTCTGAGAGTCGTGATGAATGGATCTCCGCCTGCTTTTCGTGTTCTCGGATGAGCGAAGAGGCACTAGATTGCTGAGGGGAAATCTGGTCGAAGTCGTGTGACGACATCTTGGGAAAGATTTGCCAAACAACACTTGATGATTTAGTTCGCTTCTCGTCCTAACATTACTGTAGGCGCATTTGAGGCTTAAAACGTTGTTAAACATAAATGAAGAGGAACCTTGGTTTCAAGTTCCGACATCTTTTGGTCACCTGATGGTTGCGCCCTATTGGCATTCTTCTTGCCTATTAATAGCATTCGGGTCACACCTATGCGAGTTCCGATCAGCAACAATAGTGCCCCAGATCGCTCGCTGACATTGATTGACATCGAAATACTACAGTAACATCCTTGCGCTCTATGACTCAAAGCATAGTTTAAGATAAAGTGTTTTCGGAAACACTTGTATTGCAAAATACAGTGTCTTTACGCGCAAGAGATTATGAACCTCCCGTTCCTGTTGGTTTCTGTTGAAACAAGACTTCTTCGGGTAGTTTCGAAAACCACTTGGGCTGGGTAAAATTAATTTGTCGCAACCACCTGTATTTACGATAGGTTTAGCACTCCTGTAGGATTCAACATTTTACACAAGTGCTCTTTGCGGGGGCAGGCTGAAATGCCGATATGCCGAAATGGTTGCCTGTTACACCACCTCTAAATGGGAGAGGCAATAGGAAACTTGACAATAAACGATGACTATTAATAGCTAACAGAACGTAAATATAATGGAAGTTGCGAAAGAGCGCACAGTGGCTCTCGTAGTTTGCTGGATTATGTAGTCCAAAACTATTCAAAGCCTGAGAGCTACAGAAGATTGCATGAAGCTTCTCTGGGTCTCTTGTCTGTTCATCAACATTCAGTGAGGGCCTGTTGCGAGATAGGTAGGAAATGGCCCAGCCCCGCTCTCACGCACAGTGATTACTCTGTATGGAGTAAAGGATTTTTACGTGCTGACCATCCTGCCTACAGATGGCGTGGCCGACATAGACCCCAGTTCGAAAAAAAAATGCAACGGCAATTGCTGCATGGGTGGTTCTGTAATGCTGCATGCAGAGCCTCATTTGTTTTGGAGCGGCTAAGACCACGAGTTAAATGCCCTCCTGTGGATGGATATATACCACAAGACTGAGCAGATGGACTAAACATTCGTGATGCAACTAAACACAGAATTATTAAGCCCTGCAACTGCTCAGATGTAAACGAAAGAAGGGCTCGAGGTTGTTGTGCAAATTATGCTGGGGAGAGTAAAAACAACATGCATGCGGGAACTCAATGCGTCTCTCACTTCCACTGCTTACCGACAAGGATACTGGAAAATAGGCTCCATATATCGACAGACGATCACAAATCGTATATAATCCTTCATACGTATGTCTGATTCTCATTTTATCTGAATTTAGGGTAGGCTGTCATGACGGGGAAGTGGAGCAAAGAAATCGCAATGAAGGTTCGCTAGGGCAAATCCATTGCCAGGACGGGGTCGATGGAATAACTGGGAACATGGTTAAGCATCTTTATCTGTTTGTAGTCGTATAGCGAGACAGAAAGTTTTGTCAGTTGCTTACGGTTAGTAGCCGTGCCCGTGGTATTGTCAAGAAGGGAGCAACGGGCCTAGAGGCACCAGCAAGTAATCCCAGTTTCCCCAATGGGCCGAGCCGCTGCTATAAAGACAACGCTATAGCTCCGCAAACACCTGACGACTCTGAAAACGGAGGATATAGTCCGCGGAAATGAATCCAAACTTGCTCCACCTAAAGCATGCGTACATTGAGTGGTTTACATTGTTCGATACGTGTACAAATATCCACAAACATACAGGGCTATATATGCGAGGAGCTGCTACTAGCACCACTAGTCTTGATATTCGCCACGATCTATTTCCAATGGTTGTGGCGTTCTAGGCTCCTTAGTGTCTTTCCGGCTTAATTTTTACCTCTCATGATCCAGTAACTGGGACCACAGTGTAATGGCCCTAAGCTGTAAAGCATAGGTAGTAATAACAACACCACCACCAGTTGGGCATTCAACACCAGTTGGGCATTGAAGAAAATGTTGGTTGGGAGTAAATAAAGCCATAGGCTTCTCAAAGTAGCTGCATATGTGCATGGGCCGCAGATGGCTTTGGCTAAAGGTTTAACGATGCAAGTTTCAGTTGCCCATATCTGCCTTGTGTGTTACCTGTCAACCAAGTTTGGTGATTGTGATTGTCACAGTGATTCCGCCTCTCGATCTTGTCGATGCAAATTGTGTCCGGGGAGGTAAATCGCCAAGGGCAGCCAAGAGTTATATTATCGACATTATACCCGGCACTATAAAGTGCCGGTCCGGCTTTAAAAGAAACGCTCCCGAGATACTTGACCGTTCCCAATGATGGGCGCAATCGTCAAGAAAGATTGCCCCTGGGCGCTACCCGCATTTTACACCGCACAGACGAAATTTCTGTGGAGGAGCAGGATCTAGAGTCAATAGCTTCACCTGAAGAAGACGCTAACAGGTCTTTCAGCTGCTCCAAAAACTCGGCTATTGGCGTAAACACCGCAATAGTTTGGCGGTCGATTTCCCAATTTTGAGTGAGGCTGAGCTGGACCTGCATTAATCAGGCAACCTAGATTCAGCAGCCAGGGGTGAACCATGGAGCGGCGGTTAGCATGATGAAGCTATCTATGGGGTTCATGGGGAGAGTGAGAGAGAGGGAGGCAAAATCATAACAATGGCGACGACTATGGATCTATTAGACTCATGGAGTAAATAAATAAATAGTTTTGCGTGTAGACTATCTGATCCCTTTTGCTCTTGATCTCCTCTGCAACCTGGTTCAACGTAGCAGCTTTCCATATTCGTCAAGATGGTCAAGATCAACTCCGTCGTTTCCCTCCTGGCTCTGAGCTCCAATGCTTTTGCATTCGGCCAGCCCAACCGCCACCCCCTCCCCGTCGTCGAGGAGTTTGTGACCTGTACCACTGAGCTGGGACACCAGGTCAACCGCCATGTCCCGACGCACTGGAACTACAAGACGAGGACTGTGACTTACACCGAGAAGTTCACGACAACTCCTCACCCAACCGTGACGCCGACCAAGACCAAGACGAAGACTGTTACTTCCTTCGTCAGGACGGTGACCACGGAGCCTGCCGAGACTGATATCGCCACCATCACGTCCACCGGTGAGTATAAGCAATTCGTTGTCTATAAGGGTCTGAAAATACTGATTGACGGATAAAAAGGCACCGCTTTCTTCACTACGACAAACACCGTGACTGAGACCGATACCGAGACTGACACGACCACCGTCACCACTACTCCTACCACCACCATTCCTGCTCCCGCAGACTTCACCCCTATCTCCCAGGAGCCCGGCTTCGTCCCCAGGATCAAGGGCCGTTCCGCCAACAGCCTCGTCGAGCGCGGCAACACTCTCCAGTGCAAGGGCGGCCGAGGTGGCCCATCATTCTACCCTCCCCTGCACCCTCAGTCCGTCACTTGCACAAAGATCATCGAGCCCATCGTCATCAAGCGTGTCACCGTCACTGCCAAGGCTTGCACCAGGACTGCCCGTCCCGTCACCAAGACCGCCACGACCACCGTCTTGAAGACTTTCACTCACACCGAGTGGCCTTGTGAGGTTACCAGCACGGTTACCGCCACTGCAACCACCACCATCACCTCGTCGGTTGACTCGACTACCACCACCACCACCACTTCTACCTGTAAGTTGATTCTCATTAACACATCCACATACTCCAACCATCCAAAGACAAGATCAGGCAAAACTAACATCCTTACCAGCCACTGAATCAACCGTCGCTCCCCAGCAGACTCTCCAAGCAGTCTGTGGCCCTGCCAACATCATCAGCACTGCCAACGGCGGCGAGGGCATCTTCAGTGTCAGCACTTCTGGATCAGGCGATTTCGTCCCCGTCAGCGGCGCCACGACCCCATACAGCTGCTGCCTGGCCTGCTTCAACAGCGCCACACCCTGCCGAGGCTCTCTTTCTTTCAGCACCGGCTCATGCTTCCTTGTCGTCGGAACGGACGGCGTTTGCCACGCAAACCAGTTCACTGGCATCGATTCTTATGAAACTCAACAGGGAGCCTCTACCGCGAGCGTTAGCAACGGCCCCTGTGGTATGTTGGCTAATGGCGGCAGCGTCAACTAAATTGATGGGTGAATGACTCTGGGGGTGATTATGAAAGTATCAGTTGCTACGAGTACATTACTAGACGAGCAGGTGAAAGACAAACTAAATAGGGACGTCTTTCGTATTACATCTATTTCGATTATAGAGTACATATTTTAATGACCATATTGGATTTGTATAGCGGTGCATAGTCATGGAGTTTAATGCCTTTTATCTGAGTTAATTAGTTTCACCATGAGAGAATACAGAGTTGGCTCACTACGTGTGCGTGATAGTGATGTTCTATTATAAATGTTTTGTGCTAGGCAGACTAGCTGAGCGAAGTGAAAATATGCCATCCGATTGACATGATTAAAACTATATATGTTGTGAAAAGTTATGACCGATCACCAGTCCAATGTCTCGAATCAATGAATAGCTTGCTGAACCCTTGGATAGACCCTGACCATCTCTTGATATAGCTCGGGGTGGTCTCTTATCATGACCTGAGGATCCCAGCCCGCGGCAACAAAGATGGTGTCAATACCACTGCCAAGAGGGGTCGTGAAGACGTGCCCGATCTGGAAGCCAATCAAGAACGCGTAGGCCATAACAACGGCAGTGAAGCCTCCATTGCTATTATATGGGGGGTCGGTCTCGAGGAGGTACAAATAGGCAAAGAGGGCGCACGCATAGCCGATGAAGATGGCGCCGAAAGAGAGAACCGGGCCGACAAGACAGTCCTACTGTTTGTTAGCGATGGCTGCCTGACGGGATGCGATTGTGTGACTTACGTTGACTAGAGCATCAATGCCGCGATCCTTAATCATTCTCCAGGTGTCCTTGGCTGACGCAATGTAAGCTTTGCCATAGAGGGCAATGTGACAAAATGCGTATCGATTGACAAATTGCACAGCCCATTCGATGATGGCTAATATGCAGCTCAGGACGCAGAAAATAGCATAGGCAGCCCAGCCGCCAACACCGCCCTCCTTAGCACCCTGAGATCGAGCAACACTGCATAATTGCTTCAGAAACTGGATAAAGGCTACTATGAGACTGCCAAAGCAGATGGAGCCAAAGCTGTAGGTGAGCGCTCTTTTGGCAGCACCGCGTGTCGCTTTCTTGGGAAAGTTATGAGGAGAGAAATACCAAGATCCATAAACACCAGCGATGATGGTATGGATGGTACTCTTTAACCACTCGGAGATCCAGAACATGGCGAATGTCACATAGACGACCAGGCCAATCACCTTTCCATGGCTACAGTTGTTTCCCGAGACAGAGCATCGTGGGTTGTCGGGCGAGGGTTCGTAAGAGACGTAAATTGCAACAAGCGTAACCGAAAACCAAGCAGCCAATGCTGTGGCGAAGAGACCTCCGATAAGACTGACAAGGTAGACATGGCCGTATTTCTTACTTACGTCAATACTCGTCTTGAGCATTAGGGCTGAGAAGGGAATCCGGCCAATCCAGGTCCAGAAAGCGAATATGAGGAAGACTGCAAAGATGAGGAACACTATACCCGCAGACCAGTATCCCCTAATCAAATAGTATATGGCTGTACCGAGTGCCCATGCAAGATTGAGGATGCCAGTGATCCAGATGAATGCTTTAGGGAAGAGGCGCGCCAGCCAGACGTATCCGTACGAGAAGACGAAGGCGATGACCAAGCAAAAGGCGAATAGTATAATGGTATTGCTATTCAACGAAAAACTGTTTATATCATCGTAGATGCCGTGGCCATTGAAGCCCTTTGTGTAGCCGTGAATCGCGAGACCCGAGATGGCCACATATCCTGCGAAAGCAAGGATGAACTGTGACACAAGTACTCCGGTTAGCTAATACGACATGTCTAGAGGACGCGATTTAGCGAAAGAAAACGTACAAGAAGTCCTGCCCACCAATCATTGTACTTTGGCTTTTCAAGCTTAAAGGCGTCGTTGAACGAGTATTTCTCGTCGTGGACTTGTGGAGGATTGAAGCTGTAAGGCGGAGGCGGTCCATACGGATGATCTTGGTAGCCGTTGGCAGGCTGCTGGTTGCTGTTGTATGCTGGATTATAGGCGGCGTTATTGTTGTTGTTATTGTTGTATCCCTGGTTCTGATATTGATTCTGGCCTTGATCCTGGTACTGCGGATGTTGCTGCTGTTGTTGCTGCTGCTGCTGCTGGGGATCGCCCTGCAGGTACTTGTCCGCCTCACCCATTGTGGCGCATCAAATTGGACTTTTGCTGCTGATGGCGGCGAGAGGAAAGGCTGGCCTGTACAGTCGCGGAACTTGAATGGTAATAAAACAGGAGGGGTGAAGAAGGGAAGAGACCGAGACGGCACAGAGCATCGAAAGGGAGTGATCCATTCTCCCAAGGAGCTGCAAACAGCTGTAGGTTCCCGCTCTAAGTGCATGAGGTCATGGCGCCACAGAGGCTCGGTTAGTGGCTTCCGATCGTGAAGCGAGTGGCCCCCATTCGCTGGATTACAGCGCATCGGGGGATCTCCATTCACTGCACGATCGGGCCATTTTAGCGCTAACAGCGATGTGGCGATCTGCACACAATCGCACGGTCGCATACTCGGCACTCTCTTATCTTGGCTATCGATTAAAGCACGTGCTTGAGCGCGCATCTCCTGCTTTTTCTCGAAAGTTTAATCTTTAAGGAGGAGAGGGCATGTGATTCGTTCTCCAGGGCTTCAAGATTCCCTCTTTTTTTTTTTATTCTATGCAGACACTCGTACTGTGCGGCTTATAAATGTCATGAAGATGCCTAAGACTCAACACGTTGCTTTGTTCATCAATGGCTAGCTCGTCATCACTTTATACATGTATTTACTTAGAAGATGCCACGCTTTCCCACGACAAAACCGGTTTAATCACCTACATGCCAACGATTAGTCACTTTAAAATCATGGAATATGTATTCTCTTCCCCGTAGAGCTATGTACAATGAAAACATTCATCTTACCTTTCCAGTCTTCAGATCCTCCAAAGCTTGATCCAATTGTTCGGCTGGATAGACCTTGGACAGTTTGTCTACAGGAAATTTGCTCTGCTTGTATAGCTCAACAAGCCGCGGAATCATCTGTGCCGAAAGTGTCAGTTAGAGCTGCTTACATGTACCCAGGTTGATGTTTCATACCTCGTGAGGATTTGAAGATCCTTCAATAACGCCTACAATTTTCTTGCAGGAAGTCAACACGTCTAGTCCGTTGATCTTAATGTCAGCTTCTGGGGGTAGCGCGCCAACAAGAGCCAACGTTCCCCCATGGGCCAGCGCTTTCACTGATGCTTCTGCGAGAATGGCTATTCCTGTTGCCTCGACTATCATGTCAACGCCATCTGGGAAGATACTTCGGATGCCCTCGTTGATGTCCTGGAATGCTCTGGAGTTGATGGTATGAGTGGCTCCAAGGCTAATCGCCATTTGAAGCTTTTCATCAACAATATCGACAGCTATAATCTGCGCGACTCCAAGCGCTCGAGCCGCCATCAAAGCAGCAAATCCCACAGCACCCATACCAACGACTGCAATTGTGTCAGATTGCTTCGGTTGCAATGCATTAAATACCGTCCCTGCTCCAGTCAGATAGCCGCATGATAACGATGGCAAGCAGGAGAGGTTGTCTTCAAGACACAACCCGGCTTTCACTACAGAGCTCTCTGGAACTATCATCAACTTGCTCAAAGATGACTGTCCAAAAAATTGCGCAAATACCGGCGTCCCATCTGGAAGAGAGGCTGGCGAGTTCATTCCAGGACCATCCCGGCCGGTTCTGATGAAGTTGACCTCTGTCATACGGGTACAACTTCCAAGCTTCCCCTCTCGGCAATATCGACACTGTTGGCATGCATGGAACGATAGGATGACGATGTCACCAGGGAGTAAACTCCGATTAGAAACACTCAATCCAATTTTGCGCACCACTCCAACACCTTCGTGACCTAGAATGGCAGGATAGCCACCAACGGGCATGCCACCATGTTGAACTACGATATCCTAACGAAAATGAGTATACAGACGCGCGAAAATAGGCGGTAATACGGACCGTATGGCATAGGCCAGTATACAAGATCTCCACAAGAACCTCATGGCTCTGTATCTCGTCTAGTAAAATATCTTGGAGAACAAACGGGGCGCCTTTCTTCTCAACAACGTAAGCCTTTGTCGGAATGCTCTTGAGGTCATGCATATTGAGTCAAATGTGAAAATACGATATTGATTGGTCAATTCAATTCTTAAGACTGTAAAGCATTCCGAAACTCAAAAATTCGAGATGGCTTTATAAGAACATATTATAGGTGCTCTCAATAACGAATTAACTCATCATAATGCAAACAGGAGATCATTCACGTTACCCCGACATCTCCCACTGATATCATGAGACTGAACGGCAGTTCGGGTCGGGTGTTGCGTCAACAGGGACCGGTTACGGACGTCGGATACGATCTTGGGGTAACAGGGGTTTCACATGCGATCCAAGGCTTTGTCAAACGCGCTATCTTTGACTTATGCGCCCTTAACTTGCAAATTAAAAATCGTTTGGTGAATTAGCCGAGCGACCTAACTCTTTTCATGTACATACATGTAGATAGTTTAGATTCTGAGGTAGGCTTCGTAGTGATTTTTAACTAACTCAGCTGCGTGCATCTTTCAGTGGCTTATTGCGGACCGCCTACGGACCGAGCCAAATATTGGATCTAAGAAGGAAAACCGGCAGATATCTCGTGCTGAGATATACCTACACAATTCGATTAAATATGAATTACGCATGCTCCGTATTAATCTCTGGTATTTACCTCTGAATAGCTATATCTGGTCCATCACGCTAGATCTCGTGCAATTCATCACACCAAAAGAAGACAATTAGAAGATTGGCTAAGAAAGTCATTCTCAACTTAATTCTCGAGCTTTCTATTCCAAAGTTGTACACTATGCCGAGGAACTGGGCGTAATTACAAAAGATTCCGCCGACACACACCCATCCGTTGCTATAAGTCCGATACCTCCCGATGCATACTGACTATCGGCGATCTGTAATTCCACATTCCCAACACGAACTCGGATCAAGTCATCACAAGCCGTTAGTATCACTTTGTACTTTTGATCCAGCTCCCACGGAAACGCCTCGCTTGCGAGTTCAATTCTCCGTGCGTCCAGCGCCTTGACCAAGGTAATTCTCTTGTCCTCAGTGAAGAATACAGCGTAGTAGCGATTGAGACCTTGAACTCTTATGGCTACACCAGCCGGAGCACCAAATTTGATCATAAAGTTGGGAACCGTGATACTGTAGTTATCCCACTCTCGTGTACCGTAGGTGATAATGCCCTCACCCTGCCCTTGGGCAATGATGAATGATGATGTGCTGAAGTTATCGGCACCATTGACCCAGGCTCGACGCCAAAATTCGCATGGTTCCTGTAGGGGTTTACGAACTACCATGTTCGGCACACCTGTCCAGGAGAGGCTATCAAGCCAAACGGTACCTCTATAGGAAGTTGCCGTGCTGGGACTTAGGGCAATACCGATTTTCTGGATAGGCTGGCTATCCATTTCGTCCGGGATTGTCCAAGTCAATAAGGATTCTTCTCCCGGTTTCAGTGTAGCGGAAGGTCCATCCATTGTAACCAATTCGTCATTCCGACTGTATACTTTCAGTCTCAGCCCAACGACGACCTGACCATTTCCCTCGCTGCTGGCTCTTACTTTGGCTGTAATTGTCTGTCCAGGATACACCAGTGGTGATGCCATCAACTCATATGTCTTCATGTATAAAACCTCTTTGGGGGTAAAGGTTTGAGTAAAGACTTCAAGCTGGTCTTGTTCCTGGCCAAAGTTTTCCACATCGATGGCTAGTCCTGGACCATGCTGGCCGTCAACTCTTTGCTGCAGCGTAGCCGAGATGCTCTGCTGTGAACCAGACGGTCGTGAAAGTTGAAAACCCTGGGTGCTTCCTGGGAGGCTAAAATGGAATTGGGCACCACCCTTTGGAGGCTCAAGTGTTTTATAACCAGCCAGACGTCGGCCAATGTTTGCAATATCGTATGAGATGCGGACAGCATTGTTGATAGAGTACCCACCATCCGCGCTTGAGATGAGAGCACGATCTGCCAAAGGGCCTCGCCAGTCATACGGTCCCTGGAATGCAGAAAGTCCGAGCATCGTGGCAACAAGACAGCCCACGTTACCAGAGTTGCAATCCGTGTCCCAGCCGCAAGTATTAATAATGTGCATAGCCTCGTCGAAATCGGTACTGGCGTAGAGTACAGCCATTATCATAATGGCATGATTAGGAATGACGTGGCACACCCCATGAAACTTATCATACCCGTGTGAATCCTCTATCCGCTGGCGAGTCTTCATCCAATCTCCATCTTCTGCGACCCATTCTCGAACTTTGCCTATCACACGGGCAATGAGAGAATCTCTAGGAATGACAGAGAGGCCAACATCCAGAAGATGATTGATATCCTTTGATACAAAAGCTTCTGCTTCCATTGCAGCCCACAGCTGAGCCGCATATACAGACTCCCCGTCATGGCTTACTGAACCAGCAGCGCGCGCAAGTTTGGCTGCTAGTTGAGGATTGCCAGGAGCAACCAATGCCCAACCATCGATGAAGATCTGTGCGCCTATCTGTTCGGCGACGGTTTTGCCGTTTGTTTTGATAGAGCCGCTAAGTGGTGCAGGTATTCCTCGCTTCAAGTTCAAAAACGCTGTGTGTTCTGTTGACATGCCTCGGCCTCCCCACCAGAATATTGTTCGATGTTCAATAACATTATTCAACCATGTTTTGCCAATGTCTTCTGATGAGATATCGGGAGAATAGCCATGCTCCTCTAGTGCTCTGACGAACTGAAATGTGCCCGAGACATCGTCATCCGTGACAACAAGAGGATCGCCGACTTTTTCATGAACATAACCCCGAATGTGGCCAAGTTCTTCAATTATCCTCTGGTGTGTCCAGCCTTCAAAAGGTCGTCCGACATATACACCGATGAGCTTGCCGAGTACTCCAGCATAAACCCTCTCCAGGTAATCTTGTGGTATGTTCGACATGATAAGTGTAGCTCTCAAATGTAACTCTTTGGAAAGGTTTCAGGTCATCAACACATATAGCGTAAAGTACGCCTAAACTCCTTACTGCAACGGTCTTTCTCTCACACTTATGGCTTCAATAAACGCGAATAGAACACACTTAATTGCGAGAGCAAGCCGGGATCGGAGACCGGAGATCATCTTTGTCTCGGGACCGTCATCTCAAGAGCATGGCAGCGCCTTCTCCGCATTTAATGCTCGAGGCTTCCCCGCAGGCCCAATCTCCATGATTAATCCCGGGGAGAGGAGGGGCGCCAAACTGTATCCAATGAGGTGATGGACCGAAAGTTGTATTACCCAATTACCCCAGATTCGTCGTATTCTGGTGTGTCGTAGTCTGATACAACAAGAAATTAGATACAATGCTTCAATAAATTTCAATTGTCATGAGAGTCTCATGTTAATGTCGTTTTGGCTGAGGTTTCTGGTATCTTGATGTTGTAAAAATCCGACAGCCGTACATACTCTTTGCTAGGCTTTTGGTTTGTGATTCTTCTTGACAAAGGCGCTCTCTTGGTGGATTGTCCCATCAAGCTGGCGTCTTGTGAAACCGCTACATCAGACAGAATATGCAACTACTGTTCGTATTTTAACCCCTCAGCTGCTTGATCGGCACGCCATTGTGCACATGTGGGTTAGATTACATATCGATTAATTGACGAGAAGGTAGACTTTAGCCGAACTATGGTTCGATAGTCGTGTTTACACATTTCTCATCCCCACGGATATCGATCACGCAGCTCTTTCAAATACTAACTTGAACTTGATGACCCCCAACTTAGCTGCCGAAGTCATTACCGACTTGTAGTTGTTCACTTGTATCAAGTCCGACGGCGTGATGTCCGCTTTCATCAACGAACTAATGTGACGGTGGCATTTATACGCGTGGCAGGTGATACACCCACTGAGTGGGTATTCAGATACAGAGATAATGTTTATTTGCTACTGTAACTGAGTCAAACTGATGTAATTCTGTACATAAAATCACTGAGTAGATGAAAACGTCTTGGAATTACGATTACGCGTATATATCTGGATGAGATCTAGCATGAGGCTTCTCTGAATACCGAATGCATTCATCTATCGTATCTATACAAATCAAGGGCGACATGTAAGCACTTAATAACTGGTAAAAGCTTAATTGGCGTGCCATTTAACCAGCCGAATTTCCGTCCAATATCCAAGCCTTTGGCGATACCGGAACCCTTCTTCGGACCTGATTCCCGTAGCATAGATCTGAAGTTTTGCGGGGGGGGGGGGGTTTAGGCTTCCCCATGGGGAATCTGGGGAACCTCACATGGGATCATCTTCTCCGGCATTCCCATAGACTAATCTTTGTAGACTAAATCGGTATAGATGCAGGTAGACAGGGTACCATCCAAAACTTGGTATAAAACCTACAATATTCTACATGTGATACGCGAGAATTCTCCTCTCCATTCCTTGAACGGCCACTATCTCTTATGGAAGAACATTTTCAAGTATTTTTCATTGACTGAATCATCATGGCTGTCACACCGGAGCTTGAAGATACTCTCAATGAATACGTGGACATCGACCCAGCGGCAGCCATCGCGACAGACGATGAGCACTCATTGTCCATCAAAGAGGCTTTCAAGCGCTACCCGTCATCAGTGTTTTGGGCCATTGCCATGTCTCTGACCATTGTGATGGAAGGCTACGACACAATTCTCATTGGCAGCTTATTTGCGTACCCCTCATTTGTCGATAAATACGGCGTCTATGAGTCGAATCTAGGGCAGAAAAGCATCACTGGAGCTTGGCAGGCAGGACTCGTCAACGCTTCTTCTTGTGGTGCTATCATAGGCCTCGTCATCAACGGCTACGTGACGGAAAAATTCGGTCATCGTATTGTTACAATGATTGCTCTTGTTGTAATGTCGGCCTTCATCTTTATCACTTTCTTTGCTCCGTCCATCCAGGTTCTCACAGCTGGTCAAGTCTTGGTCGGCATCCCGTGGGGTATATTTGCGATAATGGGATCTGCATATTCCTCAGAAGTGTGTCCTTTGGCTCTGAGAGGCTATCTGACTTCTTTTGTCAATATTTGCTGGGTTATTGGCCAGTTTGTGGCTGCTGGAGTCCTTCAAGGTCTAGTTAACAATAACACGGTGTGGTCATTCAGGATTCCGTTCGCCATTCAATGGGCGTGGCCGATTCCTCTATTCATTCTTGCTCTTCTAGCTCCAGACTCGCCGTGGTGGCTTGTCCGCAAAGGTCGGCTGGCTGATGCAGAAAAGTCCATCCGCAAGCTGTCATCTGGATTGACAGATACGCAAGTCAAGCAGAAACTTGCCATGATGGTCCATACCGACAAGTTTGAAAAGGCAGTTCAGGCTGAGTCGAGCTATCGCGACTGTTTCAAGGGCACCAACCTTCGTCGAACTGAAATCGCCTGCATGATACTCTCAGCACAGACACTTCCTGGAGAGGCAATGTGTTACAGCGCATCTTATTTCTTCACTCAGGCAGGGCTACCCTCTGCTGATGCGTACAAACTAAACCTCGGAAGCATTGCGCTTGCATTCATCGCTACCTGCTTGTCATGGGTCCTCATGACTTTCTTTGGGCGTCGAACACTTTTAATCACTGGCCTGGGCCTCCTAACGCTGGACTTACTTGTCATCGGCTGCCTATCGTACGCGGCGGGATCATCAGCTCAATGGGCTCAATCAGCCCTTGCTATGCTTTGGCTGGGAATTTATTCGGCCACTCTTGGCCCTCAGTCATTTGCCTTGGCTGCTGAAATCTCTGCTACGCGTTTGCGATCGCAAACAATTTCTCTGGCTCGAAACGCTTACAACGTTGTAAACATTGTTGACAATACTGTGGAGTCTTATCTCATTAATCCCACGGAAGCCAATTTAAAAGGAAAGACGGCATTCTTCTGGTTCGGCCTTGGGGTCCTTACAACAACGTGGGCAGTATTCAGGCTCCCGGAGACCAAAAATCGGACATACGAAGAACTAGACGTATTATTCGAAAGACATGTTCCAGCATGGAAATTTTCGTCTGCTCAAATCGACGTTGTGGCAGAAACTGAGATTATACAGGCAGGCGAAAAGGGCGATAAAGCACAACAGATCGAGTTTGCAGAAGCAGTTTAAGATAGATTATTATACGACAAATATGTTGGGATTAGCTCTCAAGCACTCAGTGTCTCGGTCAGGTCTGGCGTATTCTTAGTAAACAGGTTCAAGGGATCAAGTCGGTCTTTAACTGCCTTGATGCGAGTCAGTCCCTGCGCTCCGTAATAGCCAAATCCGTCGCCCTTCAGGGGATGAGTGAAGTTGATGTAGCGAGTTGGCATAGCAAGTCCTGCTTTTGTAACATTTTCAATCAATCTGTATGCCCATGCTCTGGATTTCTCTAGCCCCTCTTGATCATTTGGGGGTGCTGATGCGAAGAACCCGAACATCAAATGCGGCTCACGGTTTGAAAAGACAGCGCTGTCCACGGCAGAGCCAGACGCACGTGTTCCAGCACCGTGACTGTCATGCATAATGATTATTGATGAAGGAGTTGGCATTGGCTCTGATATGATGCGCCCCAGCTCTTCTGACCAGCTGGGTACTGAAGCTGTCAGTCGAAAATGTATGAGATCGCCGTAAAGTGGAGGTTGGGGAATTGACACTAGAAATTGGTGAGGGGTTGCTATTCTTTTGTCAGTACTCCCTATAGAACCTATCGGGAATGGGTAGCAAACTTGAACTCACTCTCTGCGGCCGTATTGGCTATAACGGTTCCAAACTTGAGAACACGCTCAAGGTAATCTTTTGCTTCCTCGAGGTCGCTGCGGTCCTCCTCCAGAGCCCAGAAGAATAGAAAGGAAAATATAGCGCCGCCTCCAGTTGGATCGATGACAGCAACATCGCCCGCAAACTTGGGAGGTTTCTTCCATGCGTATAGTTCATTCAGTTGCCGGGCGATTTGAGGCGCTTCTGTCAACGGAAAGATGATATTCCCCGCCAAACAATCGGGGCGGCGGTACACACGAACACGAAGCGATGTGACCACTCCGAGAAGACCAGCGCCGCCACCACGAAGCGCCCACAGTAGATCGGGGTCAGAGCCGGCATCGTCTGTGTCCATGATTCTCCCATCTGCCAATACAACTCTTCCACCAAGGATGTTATCCACACCCAAACCCATTATACCGTTCAACGAGCTATAACCACCGCCACAAGCCCAACCAACGTAGCCAACCGCGGAAGAAAAGGCCGTGGGCGTCGTGAGGCCATGATCGTCTAGAAACTTGAGCAACTTCCCGCCTATCACACCTCCTTCAATAGTCGCTTCGCGCCTATCTGCAGAAAGGACTATCTTGTCCAGTGAGCGAACATCGAGCGAGACATCTTTAGGTCCAAAGGCAAGATTCCGGCCGCCTTGATCTACACCTGAGTTTCGAATAGCCAAAGCCAGGCCATTCTGCGAGATGTACCGCACCGTTGTGGAAACTTCCTTTTCATTTGTCGGGCGCACAGCAGCTACAGGGAGAGTCGTGACAGCTCTATCGTTGACTCTGTTTAGGCCCTCATAGTCCGCAGTGGATGCTGTGTAGATGTGGAGTTGGGGAATTTCGTGATGCAATCCAAGGAGGGCTGGTGCATCTTGTGCAATTATTGGCGCTGAAGAGAAGCCCGGGGGAGGTGCATCATGAAACTCGGGGCCAGCGGTGATGGATGCCATTGTTCAACGCAGATATGATGGACCGTAGAGAGAACGAGTTGTTTTCTTCAATGTTGAAACGATGTCTAGAGTTTTTGAGATATAGACAACCGGAATGACGAATGACGACACGTCGGTCTTTATACCACTTTGAAGGGACATAAAGAGTCGATATGAGCAGATATCAGGCGGTTACACGGCATTGAAAGGGCGTAAATAGTAGACACGATCAGATGTCAGCCAATATACCGCTTTGAAAGGGCGTCGATGCCCAAAACTTCGAGTACTATTGACACCAATTCCCCATTATAGTCTAGTATCAATAAGCTGACAACCAAACTATGCAGCCAAGCTCCGGAGATACAGAGAAGAAGCTGAGACAGATTCCGCCAATAAAACTTCCAGGTACGTAAGCAATTCTGCAATTGGTTAGAAAGGCTATCCTTGATTGCGAAATCTGCCATTAACTATGGAGTAGAAAGGTGTTAATGCGTTGTTTCTGCTGACTATAGTTGATTCCGAAATAGGCACAGCGAATTGGATGTTTTAGCGAGACAAGTTCCGAGGTCTATAATCCCTAACCAGCTATACAGCTCATACACGTGAGTTCAAAATTCGCTCAATTAGACAAGTTGATGTTCAAAATCCGAGGTACACGGCTAAATGTTTAATTATACTCCGTACAATGCTAACCAATGTCAAACGCCGCCACCAAAGCTTTGAAGGGGAGAATCTTACATGAGTCTTAAGCTAAACAATATGCTCTCGGATTTAACTTAAGGTTGAGGTGACAGGAAACCAATATTGTAACCTTCCGGACTTAACTTAAATTTGAGATGGCCGAAAACCAATATTGCAGCCTTCCGGATTTAACAAGAGCCGTCAACAGCGATTTTGATCACAAATCGCCTTCAAAACATAAATAGTAGTGAGTTTTTGTTCACGAGAAATGGAATGACATAAAGCGCTAGCGTTGGTGGCACAGATTCTCATTATTTCACTCCTAAAACTAGCAATATGCCTGTTATCTCAATACAAATATCATTTATAGAGAATAATTGAATTCCGGGTTCTCCTTATCCGTCATGTCAAGGAATTCTTGATTCTCAATCCTGTTATAAGACGGATCCGCCCGCAAGAGACTCTTTTTGAGATTCTGTCGACGATAGTACCACCAAATGAACACAAGATCCACAAGGCAGGCCGCCCAGCACACCAGGATGGTAATCTCGGCTGGTCGATACTCGGGTGCATCCGATGGGCGGAAGGTTTGGGGTCCTAGATAGAAGTCAATAAGAGTAAGCAATAAAACATTTGATGCACGGCTTTTTACCGATAATGTTTCCGACACAGTATGCAACTAGATACATTGCTGCTACGGTTGTCTTTTTAGTCCACCCTGTTCATGTATTAGCATGCAGATGAGAAGCTTCGGATACCATGAGACTCACCAGCGACATTGGTGGATATCAACGATAACAGCGCAACAAACGGAGTCGGGCTCGCCTAATAATCATCAGTCACCTGTTAAGAATCACCTTCATCTTGCCTGATTACTTACCTGAGTGAGATAGTATCCGGCCAGTCGACCAGCAGGCTTATCCAGTGGAATGGCAACAATCATAATCACTCCAATCATGGCCACGACAAGACCTGACATGCACACCAAGATACGGCTTCCCAGACGATCACCCAAATATCCGCAGAGCAACAGGGAGACAACCTCGACAGCTCCGCCAGGAGTTCCATAGAGTAGACTCTGCTGGGGCGTATAGCCAAATGAGACAATAAGTTGGCTGAAGAAGTTGGAGATGCCGCCGTTCGGAATGTCGGCGACGAGAGCATAGAAAACAAAACCCCAGATGGCGGGATCTAGCAGGGCTTCCTTGACTTGATACCACTTGAAGTGTTTGTTTCCAATTCCCTGCTCGTTAACCTTGATTCGTTGAATAGCCAATACTCGCTCTTCTTTGGTAAGGAATCTAGCGTTGAGCTGATTATCAGGCATGATGAAGAGGAAGATTATTCCAACGGTGCTGGTCAACACTCCGGTAAAGACGAAAATTGCCTTCCACGGGGCGATTGAGAAGCCATAGGTCGAGGCGCCGTGAGCGAAGCCATACGCTACCAAACCACCAAAGATCTGAGCCTATAATGGGATCAGCATTTTTTGCCTTGTCGAATGCGATAAGCCAACATACCCAGCCATTGAAACTGAACCAGATGCCGGTTCGAAGGCCTTGTTCCTTTTTAGTATACCACTAGAAAATAAAATTAGTACTTATCATTTTCTTGGATTGAGCGACTTGACATTATCACTTACTTGGGATACAAACAAAGCGAACCCAGGAGTCACAGCAGCCTCAAATATTCCCAAAAAGAGGCGAATGACAACAGCTCCTCCGAAATTCTCTGTAGTGGCAAAAAGAGAAAGGACAATTCCCCACATGATGATGTTGAAGGCGGAGTATTTGGCCAAAGGAAGTCGTTGCAATAGGCGATTTGTGGGAAATTCCCAACCAAGATACCCTTCATGTCGCATAAGTCAACTTGTTCCTCAAAAAGAAAGAAGATGGTCTGCTTACCGAAGTAGAACAAACTTGACAGCCACTGATAGTTATCGCCAACAAGTTTGAGGTCATCTTTCAGACCCATGATGCTCGCGTACGACAGTGTGGTTTCTATCAAAGGTCAGATGCTGCCTCCCGTTCTTCAAGCAAGGTAGGCAGGCATTACTATCAAGGTAGTTGAGGCCGTAAACAATACACATGAGCTGCGATATGTATGTAATTAATATACTGGTGTAAAATGAACTCCAGATATATGACACTGCTACTCACAGGCATGAGATTCCAGTCAATCTTGCGCAACAAACGCCGCTCCGTCTCCTCATCAATTTGCAAGGCGGCCGTATCCAAGCCGGCAACGGCATTGAGAGCTTCATCGGCATCAATCTCAACAATCTCTCCCTTCTCAGCTACCCCCAGCGTTGGGGTTTGCTCCAGGCCGAGATTCTCTTTCTTTTCCACCGTTTCACCAGTCATTTTGGAGCTTGCGATGAGGAGATGTAAAGAACATAGATTGGATTCCTACTACGGAAATTCGGAACTTAAGAGTAGAGAAGGGAAGGCCTATGAGAAGGTTGGCCGATCTATCCTACTTCCTATCTGATACATTGTCTTGCATCTGTGCCGAACCCCGCCCTCTCCTCACAGATACACCCCTGTACTTATCAAGGATGGTGGTTGATCTCGCAGCAAGAAGATAAGACATGGCAAGATGGGCTTTGCGTGCTACTGATAGATGCACAGCAAGTCACACGACAACGAATGGCAATCAGGCAATTAACGGTGGCATTAGCGCACTGCACTACAACCGAAGAGGGGACTTCGCAAGGCAATCTTGATTTGTCTATTGGATGTCGGGTTGATTCAATGAGGAGAAGGCGTGGGACGTCGAACAAGCGTACGGGAAACATGTTCGCCCCCGCGTATCACAAAGTGTGGGGAGAGAGGGAGGGCATGTATGTACATAACGGCAGAAATAACTGCAGATACTCGTACTGTAGATATGCAGGGATAACGATACAGAAATACCCGGTGACGGAGAGATCGTCATGTGTCCTACACGGTCGTCTCGCCGCTATGAGTGCCGTCGGAAACAGCTATTGCACAATTGCCGGGATTAACGGGTCGTATCTCGGGTTATGTTGATTCCCGTTTTATCCACGTACCCCCACAGTTGTTTAGATAGCACGACAAATTCACGGAAGAGCTGAAAAGATCCGGTTTGCGCTACTCCGATTCGAGAATACCGGCGAGGCTGGCTGTTGAGAGCTCAAACAAGGGAGAGCATCTCGAGGGATCTGCTCTCGTGCAATACTTAGCCCTACGATCATGGTAGTGTATATGAATTAAAGTCTTGTACCTGCATAGACAGGGAGTGCATCACTCCCGAAGGTAACCCTAGACGAAGCTACCTATGTGTGAATATGTAATCAACTTCGAGTCCAGACCAGAAGGCGACTCTTGATTCCTCAACCTGAGGCAAATTCAGCTTGTTATGACTCAATTTTATGAAAATTGGCATACACGTATAAAAGAAATGCCAGGTGACGCCACGTCAGCATCACCCTGACGCGATAGTTTAAAAACCAATTCTAGTTTTCCAGTCTTCTTCATGTACCTGGTTCTATAATTGTCAATTGCTTTATCGTAACTTGGCGGTTGCGATTGCTTGTTCCGAAGTTCAAAATAGTTGCTAGTGCCTCTATGCGACACATGCCGAACCCACGCGTATTCACATGCTCGCTATGCCGGGCCAAGCCCGGTAGAGGCCAGAAACGTCTTCCCCAAATCATCAATGGCTGTTATAGCAGCTTATCAAAGTCGAATAAAGGTGGCTCACTCCCAGGGGGGATAGCTCTAGTTCTTCGAGAACTTCATAATCTTTACTAACGCTGGTTTCATCGCAGACGCTAGGAGGCAGCGGGTTGTGATATTGGGCTCCGGATGGGCAGGATATACCTTTTCTCGCACCCTCGACCCGTCCAAGTACGAGCGGATTGTCATCTCACCTCGTAGTTACTTTGTCTTCACGCCGCTGCTGGCTTCGACATCAGTTGGTACCCTGGAATTCCGAGCCGTCCTTGAACCTGTCCGCCGTCTACCAGGAGGCGTACGCTTCCATCAAGGATGGGCCGACGAGGTGGACTTTTCTCGCAAAGTTGTTCGTGTCGAGGCTAATGCTGTTGACCCTCTTCCGGATGCTATGCCACCCTCGACATCACCAAATCCAAGCCAGCCGCTTCGAGGGGAGTTATTCGACGTCGAATACGACAAGCTCGTCATTGCAGTCGGCGCCTATAGTCAGACTTTTGGTATCCAAGGCGTTCGAGAACACGCACACTTCCTGCGCGATGTAGGTGATGCGCGACGCATCCGGCTTCGGGTGCTCTCTCTCTTCGAGCAATGCTCGTATCCGTCTCGTCTGGACAACAAAGACGGCAGTGGAGCGACGAACCCGCTCTCTGAGGAAGACAAACGATCCCTACTTCACTTCGTCATCGTGGGTGGCGGCCCAACAGGAATTGAGTTCGCTGCAGAGCTACACGACCTGATACATGAGGACCTGAAAGCTATGTATCCAGAGCTGATACCGCTAGTGCGTATCACTGTTTATGATATCGCGCCTAAAGTGCTACCCATGTTCGATCAAGCGCTGGCAAACTATGCCATGGAACATTTTGCACGACAGGGAATCCAAGTCCGGACAGAGCACCATCTCGAGCGTGTAAGAGTCGCTGACGGAGATCTTGGACGAGCACACGGCGGTCTCAGCATCAAGATCAAAGAGTATGGCGACGAAGAGGTCAACGCCGGATTAGTGGTCTGGAGTACCGGGTTGATGCAGAACCCATTTGTCGAGCAGGTGGTGGGAAAAGAGTTTGCCATCCACGACGGCTCTGAGTCGGGGCAAGGCAAAGCCGAGCAACACCGTCTCCTCAAGGATCAAAAGACGGGCGGCATCGTCACAGACCGTTATCTTCGTGCTCGTATAACCAATGACCACGATAGTTCCATTAAAACAGCAGATGCCGTCCTACCGGATGTCTTTGTAATTGGCGATTGCGCCGTGATGGACAATGACCGGTCACTGCCCAAAACAGCACAAGTAGCCTCTCAGCAAGCAGGACATCTCGCAAAGCAACTCAACAAAAGCATCCAAACTTCTCCGACCCCTACCGACGTCAGCAACACTTGGAAACCCTTCAAGTTCCGCAACTGGGGCACGTTGACGTACCTCGGCGGGTGGAAGGCGATACACCAGAGCTCTGCCGACGAGCTACGCGGATGGGTTGCCTGGATTGTATGGCGAGGAGCCTATCTGACGAGAAGCATGAGTGTGCGGAATAAGCTGATGGTGCCTGTGTACTGGTTCGTGTCTTGGGTGTTTGGGCGAGACATTTCACGATTTTGATGGTGAGCACATGGATGGGCATGCGTGCTTATTGTACGCCATTTTTTTGCTCCAAAACACATATGTACATATGCTGTTTCCATGGAGCCTGTAACTGTATATGGTCACAAATCAACTGCCGATGCCATACGGGCATCCCACAAACTAACCAATATCAGCCGCGTACGCTGTCATGTTTATACGGCGAATCCAGACCCTTGAAGATGCAGTAAAGGAACAATTGCACTCTAGCCGAGCTAGTGGGGCTACAGTACAGTTTTTTCGTCCATGAATCGCGCACTTCAAGGGCCATGATCTCTTTCGCCCTTCTTGAGTCTCGATACTCATTTTTTGTGTATATTAGCAATAGAACAACTTCCCTCTTCATAGATAGACGTCTGCTTATGTAAAAGTCTCAATTCATTCAGCCCAATGGCGCACAAGCTTCTGGGTAGGGTAATAAGCGGGACTTGGCGGACCGCATTGGCCTCATCATGACGCCGAGATGACAATGCAGCAAGGAGGTGCCACATGCAGTCTCATCCAAAATACAAGTAACTATGAAATAGATGGCACTCAGATGGGAACCAGACCGATTAAATATCGACAGAGGTCGTAGGGCGATTAGCACTCCGCTTAGGTTCTTACAGCGCGGCTATATGCAGTATGACATTGATTACTGACGTTAGTATCAAGCGCTGGCCATGGGCTTCCTTGCTCCGGAAGTTAATGAAGAAGCTATCGCTCGTGCGGAGAAAACTTGAACGGAGGTTTACGGTTTATACGACAATAACAGATACTCCATACCGATAGTAAACAAATATTCGGCAACGGTATTAGTTGGCCGTAACCCCTCAATGAGTTGTGCCATTTTCAGCCGAGTTGCCGAAAGTAGGCCGCGATTTGTAAACTAACTGACCTATTGTGTTCTGACAACTTAATAATGTCTTCGACCTTGTCATTTGTCATCGTCTATTTCTGTGCACCGTCCATTATTCATCGCCGAAGAGAACTCAACCGCATTATCAACCCCAAATTTGGTCTTTAGTCTCGAGAGTCCAAGTTATCTCCGCCTGGGCGTTCCTAGCATCGGTCATACGATCTTTCAATGCATAATAGAGCTCTCGGCATTTAGTCATGTTGTTAGCGCCATCTTCTTATTGGTTGAGTCGAGTTTACCCAATTGAGACAGCGGTCCGATCAACGCCGATCAAAGGGTCTAGAGGTCCCATCATGTTGGTCGTTCTCAATGCTGCGTGTCCAGTATAGAGTTTTTGGCTTCCTAATCGTGCTAGCCCTTCGCTTCCTCGGCGCTTAGAAATGCAGACTACGTTTTATTTTTGCCCTCTAACTAACGGTGACGCAATCAACACTTGTCCAATGTTGTTTGAACAAGTAGTATTAGTGATCCACCGCAAAAGTCAGCATGCATTTCTTCAACGGGACTATCCGCACACACTACTGGATCTATAAGTACAACCGCATTGCATAACCCTTCGAGAAACAATCATCTGTCAGCACTTCCCGTCATACTCATTTTATCAATCTCTCTTCCTGCTGTATTGCATATTACATCAATCGCCTTACTCATCTCGCAATGGCTCTTCCTCAGACTGCTAGGGCTGTGGTGAAACAAGACACTGGCGTCGCCGTTATCGACGAGGTGCCGCTTCCCAAGCTTCGAGACGGCCATGTGCTAGTCAAAACAAAGGCCGTTGCCATCAATCCCACGGACTGGAAGTACATCGACACCGATGACTCCAAGACTAACGGTGTAAGGACTGGATGCGACTATTCGGGCGAAGTTGTGGCTGTTGGTGCCGGAGTTACCAACTTCAAGGTTGGCGATCGCATTGCTGGATTTGTTCCCGGAGCGTAAGCTTTTTTCCAACATTCAATTCTTCCCATGTTGGGAAGCTCTTTTTTCTTCAATGGTCTGGATTACCTAACGCTCTACTCTCAGGAACATTCTTGAAAAGGAAGATGGTGCCTTTGGCGAGTATGTCATCGCCCAGGCAGATGTCCAATTTCACAACCCTTTGAGCGATGAGGAGGGAGCGTCCCTTGGAGTATCAATCTTCACAGTCGTAAGTTAAGACATGGTGACACGACTTGTCATCACACGTTGCTAATGTCTTCCGACTTCTTTAGGGCCAAGGTCTGTTCCAGAACCTAGGCCTTCAGCTTCCATCAGATCCCGTCGCGACGCCCGAACCAATTCTCATCTACGGCGGCAGCACCGCGTCGGGTCTTCTAGGAATCCAGTTCGCCAAGCTGGCCGGATACAAAGTCATCACCACATCCAGCCCCCACAACTTCGACTACCTCAAGTCTCTGGGAGCTGACGCCGTCTTCGACTACAAATCACCCACCGTTGTCGACGACATTATCGCTGCTGCCGGCGGCGAGCTGACACACGCCTGGGACTGCATCTCTCTCGAACCCTCAGCCAAGATCTGCGCAGCGGCCATCTCAGACAAGGGCGGAAAGCTAGGCTTGCTCCTCCCCGTGGACCCGGATGTCATCAACCGCATTAACCCCAAGATCGAGTCGTCCAGCACTCTCGCCTATTCAATCACGGGACAGCCCCTCAACAGATACGGCAAAGAATTTCCCGGTAGCCAGGAAGATAACGAGTTCGCAAAGGAGTGGAGAGACTTATCTGAGCAACTCTTCAGAGAGGGCAAGGCCAAGCCGGCCAAGATTGATGTTAACCGCGGTGGCAGCGGCCTCGAGGGAGTTTTGGTGGGCTTGAACGAGTTGCGCAACGACAAGGTTAGCGGAGCGAAGCTTATTTACACAATTTAGGAAGTGTTGTCGTAGCACATTGTATGTAAGAATTTAAAAAAAAAAAAAGGGGAACAAAAACATTGTGTGCATTACTCAAGTTCCAAAGCATTCTAATGTTCGTAGTGTCCTATTGCATTCTAAGAATGCATTCATATGTAGATGCGTATCTCACAGATTCTGTATGAACATGCGCATGCGCGCATTCTAATGGTCCGCCCGGGTATCTTTTCCGTTTCCTTGTCTCCCTTTTTTTTATATATCTCAAACCCGTATCCTACACGTTCCCCTACTTGTCGTCCTTAAGCCCACTTACCCAGCAGGGCCATGATGATGATTCCGAGGTAGAGAGAGACCAGCATGAATGTCAGTCGCTTCTTATCCTGCGTGCGGTGAGGGTTGAAGAGGAAGTCGCGCGCAATCATCTCGACGAAACCGGTGTAGATGAGGATACCGGCAGAAATAGCGTCGAGGACACCAGACACGACATTGGCAGTGAAGGAACCACTGTTGTAGGTAGTTCGCACACCGAGGCCAATGGCAATAGCGATAGGGGTTGTCAAGCCGTAGGCCAGGCAGAGAGCCCAGGGCATCCATCTGAAGCGCTTGGGGAAGGGAATGACACTCAGGCGGGCGCCAATACCCAGACCCTCGAAGGCTTGGTGGAAGACGATGACAGGGTACAAGGTCTTGAACTCTTCGCCGACGACGCCGAGGTTGAGACCAATGATGACACTGTGGAAGATGACACCGAATTCGAGAATCAAGAATGCAGCGATCTGAGACTCGAAGCCCATGACGGATTCCTTAGACTCGCCATCAATGTGCTTGAGCTCTTCCACATCGAGATTATCGCTGGAAGGGAACTTATCGCTAGAAGCGTGGCTGTGCTCTTCAGGCTTCTGGTTGAGAGGAGGAATTGGGCCGTCCTGGTCAGCCGAGTGAAGTCCTTGATGTCCTTGATGACTATGAGGAACAGTAGGATCCGACGTAATTGTGCCCTCGACTTCGACATGTGCCAGCTTGTACTTCCTCTCGACGTAGTACTCGGCCAAGAAATCCAGCAGGAAGATGAGCATGGCCGAAGTCAGAGCCAGTGCAGGGGGCCAGGTGTATTCAGCCCAGCCACTAGTCAGGCCGACGCAGCTAGCCGGTCCAATCTCCTCATAGGCAGGGTCGAGGAGATGGATGAAGGCAGTAGCAATGATGACTCCGGAGCCAAAGTATCGGGCAAAGAGATAGACATAGAGAGGGATTCGTAGACGTCGGACACGAGTGGCCAGGACGGGGAACAGGGTGGCTGCCGACGAAATGACAAGGATGACGAATAGAGCCGAAACACGTGCACCAAGCTGTCCATTGTAGTCGTTGTCGCCAGCATTGAGAAAGCAGATGATGTCTCTAATGTCTCCATCTTCAGCAACAATAGCTGTGAGGTTGACAGAGTCAGGATTGAAATCTGCGTCCGCCATGATGCTGGTTGCTAGCATTTGAAGTGCTAAACCAATATGGTGAGTCTTGAAAGATTCTTGACAAGGAGAGTGAGAGAACAGGGGAGGAAAGATGGTGGGATGCAAGAGTATTTGAAGGCAGCCACAATGTGAACCACCCAACACGTTCCAGCGGATCCTCATCCAGACAACGAGCGGATCAGTAGCAAGAATCAAAAATTCAACCTGAGCAGACCCTCCGAGTCCTGCATACCAGCGACGAGGCTGGCCGACAAACGGGCCTCAGCCGAAAAAGCTTCGAGTCCCCCTGTCAGATGTGGATTCCTTTGGGATTCTCCAAGACACTATTGGAGGCGCACGGATGGTTGGATGCCGAATTTTGCTTGATTCTTATGTAGCACGAGAACCATGATGGCCAGTGGTTGGCCGAACTAGGACACACCGAAGACCATCACAGACCTCCTCTTGAACGTGTTGGGCGGTAGGGAGTCGGTAGGGAGTCGGGCTAAGCAAATGCAAGGAGAATTTTGCAGTGAGAAACAAATCAAACGTACCTGAGTGAGACACTTGTCTGAGTTGTTGGATCCTTTGACTTTGGCTGTTCTATTTTGATTTTTTTCAAGACGAGTTGGCGGCTGTCTCCGCTGTTAAACTGAGACACAACGTGCAGAGATAAGAGACTTGAACACACGCGAGAGTGGGATTTTGATTGAATTCTCCACTGCAAATTGCGTGCTGTGATGCTATGATGGAAATGGAATCTCCTCTTTTTTTACCCTCTTCATTGACTTTCTTCTCTATGGTCGGCATTTGCGGCTGAGAACCTTGATGGTTACGCAAAAGTCCAAAGCTGAGGTGGTGAGAACCTTGATGGCCACATGGGGGCTGACATGAAATGCACGAATCCACCAATGAGAGGACGGGAGAATCACATCCTGTAGGTACTGCTAGGCTGAGAAGGTCAATTTTGAGGCATAAATTTAAATATTCGACATTTTGTGTGATGAGGGTTGGCCTCATGTACGCTTGGACCGCGCCGGCCCCTTAGCTGGAGGATCATCCCTTTCGATGTTTGTGTTGGTGGCACGTACCTTTTATTCTGCATGCAGCCGCTCCTCGTGGCCAAAGCGTACATGTGCTCGTACCAGATAATTATGGGTATGAGATGAAAAGCTGTGCCATGTTAATCAGAATTGTCAGATTATAAATAGGACTTCAAGGGTTTTCGGTACGCTGCAGGTCAAAGGGGCTGCTGCTGTGAGGGTATGTGCATAATCTCCAAATGCACTGCTAGGGTGACAACAGGACACACTGGCTGGTCGCACATACGTCCATGTTGGTAGTAGTACTCCGTAGTACAAATAGAAACATCACATGGGATGATAGTCTTATCATTAGTGTTGGATTTGGTTGTGGGGAGGTGTGTGATAGAGCAGACTGTCTCGATGTTGTGAACCGAATCCTTGAATTCCCTCACATGATCCTCCATTGCTTCGATAAACATTTCATTGTGTCCTCTTCAGTACTTGACTGCTTTCCCAGAGCAAAACCCTGTGAGGGCTTTTGTAGCGGTTCTAAAGCGAGGCGAGGAATATTGGTAGCTCAACTTTTATTAGACCAACACTTGTCCGGAAACTCGTCGTCACATTTCTCCTGGCGTATGTTCAAAAAGATTTTTCAGATAATCTGTCAGATACCGTTGATGATGTAAGTAGCACGCTTGGTTACGCGGACTGAAGTTTTATTCCGGATCCCTCGTGTCAGCTAACGGCCCCTGCTCATTTGGCTATGCAAAGGTTAGCAACGTCGGCCATATTACCGCCCAGATTGGATCTATTCTCAAAACAATGGGATGTTAGTAAGACCATGCTTGTAATAAAATGACCTTTATCATCCCTTACTATGCCAAACCTCATATCTTTGGATTGGTTGGTGCATCTGTTGTTGCAGGGTATCCCTGACCGATCTGTCTGTGGATCTCGTAGATTGTGATATATAGGAAGTCCGGCCCCCGACGTTTTGATAGATAACTGAGACCTTTCACCAATACAATATTACGCCCAACTACACATCGCAACGACATCTTCCTTTCTCAGCTAAGTCTGGTTTAGAGACAGGCTTAACATCATGCCTTCAAGTTAACACTACCGCATTAACCTATACTGTTGCTTCTCAAATCTTGGTACACCATTCTTTGCAAATTGCCGCCATTTTCATTGCTTTGCTTCACGTAGCACATGATGACAAATGAAGCTCAAATCATGCCATAAAGGGCGTCATTGACACTTGCTTATAATCACATCTCTCACGCTTTTCATCCCTTATATCATGCCTATAATCAGATACTTGATGATGGTGATCCCGTAATAATGGCCCAAAGCAAACATTTAACCTTTCTTTCATCGTCACATTGTCTTTTTAAAAGATGAACCCTTTCTTCGGACCATCGGCCACCAATAGTCAGCTCGTGGGTCTCAACCCCAGGTTTGCGGAAGCCACCCGCTCGATCCACCACATGACGCCATTCCCGGATCCAGCCAATACTGTCTACGTCGCGCTAACTCACGCCCATCGGCTAATTGCCATCACCAGGGTCAGAGCAAAGGGCGTCATTATCATGAGGTTAAAACAACTTCATTCCAATTCTAAACAGCTTGTTGTTTTACTAGATATCAACTGCATGAGAAGATGAGCAGCGAAAGGCAACGTTCTATCGGTACTTTTTTTGACATGTTGTCCCATAGCCACTATCCCAAGTCTCGACATACCCTGTGACTGCATCGAGAGGTATGTCTTCCGAAGGGCGTAAAGCTAAGTGCTTCAACTGTCACGGCGCGTGGTATTCTCTATTGTTTTTCTTTCTTCAAGATCTGGCTCACGAGAACTTCCCGATACCCTCATATGATACGCTTAACACTTATGGGGCCATCTGAGAAAACGAAGGTATATGCCAAGTCTATCAAACCTCGAATACGAGACATTGTAAGCTTTACTTACCGTAATACACAAAGACGGTGAACAAACCTCTCCAATGAAAATGATGAAACGCATTGCAAATATTGAAATAGTTCCACTCTTCAGCGCTCGGTCCAAGGCATGTTTCCTGGGACCACTTCATTCTGGATCGTCCTGAGGGCCAGGCCAGCACCATCAACTCAGTTTGCCCGTCCGTTGAATTCCAACGCACGGATAAAGCTTCCATTTTGATCAAGTTTACAAGGGCCTTGAGCACTGGCCATCAACACATGTCATCTAGGTCAATCCAAGCTGCGATACCTCGGCATTCCCATCGGTCGATAGATTACATATCTCAAAAGCTTAGAAGGCTCAGAGGGAAAGTTTGTGAAATAGTGCTTTATCTGCTGTGACCATCACGTAACTACATGTAATCGCAACCAAATAGTCACGACTAGACATTGGAAACGCATAGACCAACCACTTCCTCCACCGTCTTACACGAATCATGACTCAGTAGAGACTCTGTGTGTGAGTACAGACAGTGCACACCGACTACGGAGGGCGTTGCAATGCCATCTAGCGTCCGTCTCCACACCCGACTTCTCGAGTGTCAGCTCATCGCTTCCAGCGGCCCAAATGGAACTTCCGAATGTAAGATTGCATTAACCTCCGATTCGGGCCTGTAAACAGCCCAATCAGCCCACCCAAGGGCCGGCTTTCCTCGGTGCTGCCAGTTCCAATGATATGCATACGGAGTACTGTAAGACACCAGCAAAAAAGTGGCAAGCCCAAAAAGAGGTGGTGCCTCACGAGGTCAGTCAGCACCTAATACCACATTAGAAACCGAACATCCTCGCCCGGTGTCCATTTCTCTTGGTAACAATATCCACAAGCCGATGCATCTCAGCCCCGGGATGAGCGCAATGTGGAGAGGAAGCACATGTATATCCTTGATGCGTGCTCGATCACCGGTTGCAGACCTGGGGAAAGGGAAGGACTGCCCATGGGGAGACGAGTTCAGTACGTAATAGTTGCGCCGGATAGAGGGCGTATCAGCTATCGCGTTTCGTTATTTGGTCGACAGGCGGGAGCGGAGTGGACCTGGTGTGTGGAGTTGCGACCTGATTCATACGGATGGCCATTTGATGCTCTCTGTTCGTATGGTATGTCCAGTCTTACTATTCCTCTACTACGACTACGACTATGACCCGGCTAGTGTCTGATATCACGTCCGTAGTGCTACACCAGTCAGTCGTAATCACGTCGTAGCGTAAACCAAGTAGCCAGGATGTTTTGTCCCTCTGGCCAAGTTTGCCATGCGTATCACCTGTTATTAATGAACACATGTATCCCCCATGGCTTGCGTCGGCGCAGAAACACAGAATGGAGCAACACCCCCGTCGACTCAGCGTCACATCGCCCGCAGTCGGAGCCTCAATGCTTGCTAGCCGCTGCAAGAAGGAGAAAAAACAGTCTTGATTATCGTTACCTACGGAGTCATATGGAGTATACGGAGTAGCCAAGTGTTAGCCAAGTGTTAGCCATACGGGTAGCCGTCCCTCGTATGTACGGTGTCCTCCGGCGGGCGTCCGCATCGAGGAACAAGATTAGTTCCATCAAACCACCAAAGACGCCGAGATCTCTCCCGTTGTCCCGCCTCTTGGTTTTTTTTTTTTTCTCCCCTAGCGAGTGGTGGCTAATAAGCAAGAAACCAAGGAAGATGGAAAGAAAAAATTTCCCATTCGCCTCCCAAGAAATCTTGCCCCGATTTTACGCTTCGTCGCGGCCAGCGATTGGACCTGGGTCGCATTTCCGCGGCAATGCCGACCGAGATGCGCGTCTTTTCGCAGCCACAAAGTGAAGGCCAAGCGCTAGAGAAAGCCGCTAGAAGGATGCACAGAAAGTCGTAGCTCGCTCAGGGATTCAGCTTCTGCGCCCTTTGGATTACACCTCCTTTGTTAGGCTCGTCGGATGTTTTGATGAGACGAGGCAGCTCGAGGATGGACGGCGTCGAGGCCGGATATGGCGATTTGCCTCAACCTTTGGGGGGGTCAAAGAGCGCCTTGGAAATGACGCAGTTCAAAGGCCCTTTTAATTCTACACTCAGTCAGGTTGTTTTCCCTCTGGCTATCACGGCGTTACCTGTGCCGAGACTGGTTTAGCCCCATCAAACTCTTCATCAGTTGATGGGTCTTATATGGGGCAAAAGTGAGGGTCTCGCCAGAATGATAAGCTGGACGGCGGTAGTGTAGTGTAGCAGTAGTAACGTTGATGTGTCGAGTTTGGAAACGCCAAATACGACCTTCTAAGACAATAAAGTTCAGCCTGCCCGACCTTGTTTTCACTCCCCCTTGTCTGCTGTCTGCTTCCCTTGTGTGGTGTTGTGATATATACAAGCGGGTGTGGCTCTTCCTGTGTCCCCTTCGCCTTCGCTCTTGTTCCCGCCATACCTCTCTGATCGATCTTCAGTGCTCCGCCTCTGACTCAATTCCCATCTTTTTTTTGCTCCCTTCCGGCTTCTGGAGCAAAGAAAAGAAACGAAAAGATGGCCGCTGGCGATGCGACCGCGACTACTTCTCCCGTGGGCCCGCTCATGACCGACGAGAAATACATCCAGGGCATCAACGACAAAAGCTCAGGCGATGTTCCGGGCACCGACCTCGCGACGGGCCAGTCCGATGAGGGCCTGAAGCGTGAGCTGCACTCTCGCCACCTGCAGTTCATCGCTATTGGTGCTGCTCTTGGAACTGGTCTGTTCCTGGGTATTGGCGGTGCCCTGTCCAAGGCTGGACCTGGTTCTCTCTTCATCTCCTTCTTGTTCCTCGGATCAGTCGTGTACTCCATCATGGTCGCGCTGGGAGAGATGGCGTCATACATCCCCGTCACGGGTGCCTTTACCGTGTATGCTTCGCGCTTCATGGATCCTACTCTTGGTTTTGCCATGGGTTGGATCTATTGGTTCAGTTGGGTCATCACCATCGGCCTCGAACTGACTGCCAGTGGTCTCATCATCCAGTACTGGACCGAGTCCGTCAGCATTGGTGTCTGGATCGCCATTTTCTGGGTTGTCTTTACCGCCGCCCAGTTCCTGCCAACGTTTGTCTTTGGAGAGATGGAGGCATACCTGTCTAGCATCAAGGTCATTACCATTATCGGCTTCGTCATCTTTGGCATCTGCGTCAACGCCGGTGTTGGTGACCAGGGCTACATTGGCTTCAAGTACTGGAGAGAGCCCGGTGCGTTTGCTCCGTACTTGGTCGATGGCAAGATTGGCCAGTTTGTCGGATTCTGGACGGTGCTCGTCACGGCCGGCTTCAGTTTCCAGGGCACGGAGCTGGTCGTCATTGGAGCCGGTGAGACGGCTGACCCGCGCAAGGCCATCCCCACGGCCATCCGCTGGACCTTTTGGGCCGTCTTCCTGCTCTTCAACTGCACCGTCTTCTTCGTCGGCATCAACGTGCCCTATGACAACCCCGACCTCCAAAACGGATCGACCAACGCCTCTGCCTCGCCTCTCGTCATTGTTGCCAAACTCGCCGGCATCCAGGCGCTCCCTTCCATCATCAACGCCGTTCTGCTGACTGCCGTCTTGTCTGCTGCCAACTCTGACATCTACTCCAGCAGCCGTATCTTGGTCGCCATGGCTGGAGAGGGCCACGCGCCCGCCTTCTTCAAGCGCGTCAACAAGTATGGAACCCCTTACTACGCTGTTGCGGCCTGCTCTGCTTTTGGTCTGCTGGCCTTCCTCAACCTGTCCAACAACGGAACGACCGTGTTCAACTGGCTGCTGAACATCACGGCCGTTGCCGGCTTCATCAGCTGGGCGCTCATCAACCTGTGCCACATCCGCTTCATGAATGTGCTCAAGTACCAAAACATCCCCCGTGACGAGCTCCCGTACAAGGCTCCTTTCCAGCCTTACCTTTCATGGTTTGGCTTCTTCTTCAACGTCCTGATCCTGTTCACCAACGGCTTCACCGTCTTCATCGACTGGGACACTAGCTCCTTCTTTGCGGCCTACGTCAGTCTCATCCTCTTCATTGTTCTCTATGTCGGACACAAGATTGTCTACAGGACCAAGTGGATACCAGTGTCCGAGGTGGACATTTCCAAGGGCCGATCTGATGCGTAAGCTGATGATGATGATGGAAGAGGAGTTGGTTGGGTCGTTCGGAGTAAACTATGCGTGTGTGAAAATAAGCGGTTAATTGTTGTATTTTTATTTATTTTGTCTTGTACGAGTGTCATGATCTAGTCTAGGTAGTAATTGATACCCCATTTTCTGCAACGTCATGTCATCTTGGTATTGTGAAGCTGTGGACGATGCGCAAATGAATCGAGTCTTTTGACTGACCTGACTTCAACTCTCATGTATGAATTGTATGCATGTGTTGAAGACGCACATATGGACGTGGCTCATCTTCATCACACTGGCTAAACGTTTGATGGGATTGAATCGCAGAAACAGAAAAATGCGAGATTAAATATGCCAAGCTTCCAATCAGTCTCTTGCGGAATATTAATGCTTCATGCTTCCCCACGCTTGCCCGCAATCACATGTCAGAGCCTTTCGCGTTCGTATTGTGTTTTGTTGGGCAATCAAACAAAGTGTTGAAAGGACACAGAGCTAAACTCAAGACGGTATACCCCACGCTTTGACCCAGATGTAACATCTCACAAGTGCTTCACATTTTCATGTCGTTCAAATAAGGAGAAGAGCGGCAGATGATAAGGCTTTGAATAAGCATGGCTGCTTAGAACAGCACACAGCAAAACTCTCAATAAAAGTTCACTAAGCATGATATTACCTACCCGTCATTCTACAGCCACTGATAAGAAAAACGTGAGAAAAGAAGACAACCTCTAGAAAAGCAAAAGGCACGCGACCCCGAGCCGTCTGTGGATTCACGCAGCTAAACTTGATGTGGAACAACAACTCCAGGCATTTTTCACATGTCAGACCAATCACAGCATCGCATCCAGAGATCGCCAGCTCGATAAGGCCCCACGACAAGAGATTTAGCTTGTGGAATTGACCAGCTGTTGAGTGAATACAGCCTATTGAACAAGGTCAGCACAGTTTGCCGGCTATAGCCTCAGTCCCTTTTGTTTCTTTCTGCTTTTTGGCTTTTTTCCTCGCACCGCAGACGTTGCACCGCCTCTCCCTCGCCTATCACAGTTTCATTGCATACTGCAAGCTAATCTTTCAAGGTCGAGACCGGAGAAAACTCGCCACGCTAGGGACATTCAAGTGGGCCAAAAGACTGAAATCCCACCTCCAGCATTGAAACCCCCAATTGCGCCCAATTTGGCCTGCTGGGCGGCAACACATACGCGAATTGAAGGGCCAATTGATACTTAAGAAGCGTTTCATGATATTTTGAGCATACAGACGGAAAGACTTTTGGCTGTTCATTTCTCAGACCACCGTTTGGACTCTGTGTCAACACTTGTGAAGCATTGGCGCCGTTTCTCTTCATCAGCCTTTCGCCAAACTTCCAAGATGAGCATCATTGACACAACGAAGGATCTGGCGGCCTTGTTCGAGCAACAGGCTCAAGCTACGCCAGATGCCATCGCCCTGGAGGACGAGAGCCGGACTCTCACCTATGCGGAACTCGATAGCCTGACCTGGTCTTTGGCTGATCGCCTGCGCCAGTATGGAGTTGGCCGTGATGATCTAGTTGGCGTGTTGATGGGACGAAGCGCAGACAATGTCATTGCGTCTCTTGCTGCTCTCCGAGCTGGAGGAGCCTTTCTCGTGCTGGAGTTGGCCTATCCCACGGGCCTCCTCAACGATGTCATCGACGATGCTAAGCCAACTGTCATCATAACACAAAAGGCTCATGCTGCCAGCATCAAGCCTGGTGTTGCTACAATTATCATCGACCAACCTGAGCCAACCACCAACGGACATGCCGCCCCTGTCGTGGTCGAGACGAGGGAGCCTCTGCCTGCAAGTGACGACTTGGATCGCCTGGCCTTTGTGTCGTACTCATCAGGAACCACTGGCAAGCCCAAGGGAATTGCAAACCCTCACAGAGCTCCTGTTCTCAGCTACGACTTGAGATTCCGCACAAGTGATCTCCAACCAGGAGACCGTGTTGCATGCAACGTGTTCTTCGTCTGGGAAATGCTGCGCCCCTTGATCCGAGGTGCCACAACAGTTGCCGTTCCCGACAACGCAAGCTACGACCCCATCGGCCTCGTCGAGTTTCTTGCTGCCAGACGTATCACAGACACCCTCATGACCCCCACCCTGCTGACCACCGTCCTCTCACGACATCCAAACCTTGGTGAGAAGCTTCCTGAGCTGAGGTCATTGTGGCTGAACGGCGAGGTGGTCACGACAGATCTCGTTCGTCGAGCCTGCAACGCTCTCCCCAACACTCGCCTCCTCAACGTCTACAGCGCCAGCGAGACACACGAAATAGCCGTGGGCGACATCAAGACATTTGTCGACTACGAATCTCGCGTCTGTCCCGTCGGACCGCCTGTAGACCCTGAGCACATTTACATCTTGGACGAGGCTGGAAACAGGTTGGACGCAGGTGTCAGCGGCGAGCTCTTTGTTGGTGGCGATTTGTTAGCTAGAGAGTACCTCAACCTCCCAGAAACCACTGCCATTGCTTTCCAGATGGATCCGTTTGAGAAGAAAGAGGGTGCTCGGATGTACCGCACGGGAGACATGGCGCGGATGCTTCCATCTGGCCTCCTTGAGATCACCGGCCGAGTGGGTGGCATGATCAAGACCCGCGGCTACACCGTTCAGCCAGGAGCCGTCGAGACTACCATTGTGAAGCACCTAGCCGTACGAGATTGTGCCGTCGTCGCCCATGGAGAAGGCCTGCAGAAACAGCTCGTGGCTTACATCGTCCCGGACACTGAACAGAATCCAGGCCGGACGATTGTTGTCATTGACGAGGCCGGCCACAGCCCAGTTGCTCGACGAGCGCTCTCAGCCCATCTTGCACATTACATGATTCCCCCTCTGTGGGTTGAGCTTAAGGAGCTGCCTACGCATGCCGTCTCTGGCAAGACCAATCTCAAAGCTCTGCCACCTCCTCCTAGGCCGAAAACTCCCGTACAAACAGCAAAGACGGAGAGAAACGTCACTATCAAGATGGATACGATTATTAAGATATGGGCTGCGGCTCTCAATCTCCCTATCTCAAGCATCACGCCCAAGCACGACTTCTTCGATCTGGGCGGCCACTCTCTGATTCTGGCAGACCTTGCCAGCAGACTCACCAAAGCATTTGGGTTCCCCGTTCCCTTGGGTCCGTTGGCAGGTACTCCCACTCTAGAGGGACACCTAGAAGCTGTCAAAGCTGCTCGCGATGGCCACACCGAAGAAGTTCAAGCAGAACTACCAGCTGTCCTTCGAGCTGACGCTGTGCTTCCAGAGGATATTCAAGCTATTCCAGGCACGCAAATGCAGCGCCTCAGTGACGCTGAAACAATCCTCCTCACTGGATCTACCGGTTACCTTGGAGCATTCCTTCTCAAATATCTCATTGAACACACCTCGGCAACTATCCTGTGCATGGTGCGATTCACAGAGCCCAACGAAGACTGCCGTCCAGCCGGCACAGCACGAATCCGCAAGAACCTCATCGACCTAGGCATCTGGAGCGACTCCATGCTAGACCGTATGGAGATTGTCCCAGGAAACCTGGCTAGAAGCCGTCTTGGTCTGTCACCAGAGGCCTTTGAAGAGCTCGCAGCTCGTCCTCAAGTGATTGTCCACGCTGCAGCCACTGTCAACTTGGTCTACCCTTATGCCGCTCTGAGGACTGCCAACGTGGGTGGCACGAGGGAGATTCTTCGCCTTGCCGCGCGTGGCGGTGCTACTCTTCACCACATTTCGACTAACGGCGTGCTGCCACCATCAATCGAGGGCTGGTCCGAGGATGCCATGATTGACTTTGATGACGTGCCCACCAAGCTTCAAGACGGCTACGGTCAGACTAAATGGGTTGCAGAGAAGCTCGTGATGGAAGCCAGCAAGAGAGGCATCCCGGTCAAGATCTACCGGCCTGGAACCATCAGCGGCCACAGTGTCACCGGTGCTGCCAACACTTATGATCTCCTCAATGCCCTCTTTATCGAATCACTTCAGCTTGGCCAAGCCCCAGATGTCGCCAACTGGGTCGTTGAAATGACTCCCGTCGACTTTGTGAGCAATGCCATCATCACATTAGCCGATCACACGCAAGGAGATCAACTCGTGTATCATCTTGGTGATCCCAGCCCGATCAAAGCCGCAAATCTCTTCGATTCACTCGCTGAACTAGGTTACGAAACGGGTCGCCTCCCATGGGACGAATGGGTAGAACTCTGGAACGAGAAGCGAGGGTCTCGCGGAGGAGACGAGCCCTTCACTGTTGATATTCTACGCGGAGGAATGCCCACCGCCGATTCACTGCAAGGCGCCATTGTTCTCAAGGACGGTGCTACGCAACCTACACTAGACTTGTACGGAATCGAGCGGATTAAGATCAACGCGGCCCTTCTCGAGACGTATACACGGCACTTTTACGCCAGGGGCTGGCTTCCCAAGCCTCCTCGTCGACTCAAAACCAACGGAGCAGTCTCTAACATCAAAAAGGGGCGTCTCGCCGGCAAGGTTGCCATCGTCACAGGTGCCTCTTCAGGTATCGGGGCCGCAGTCGCCGCTGGTCTAGCTATGGAGGGTGCATCAGTAGCTCTTGCAGCGCGACGCACCGAAGCCCTCGAGAGTATCAAGGCCAAGATCCTCAGCAACAGCCGCGGTAAAGTCCTGATCCACAAGACGGACGTTGCAAAGAAAGACCAAGTCGATGCCCTCGTCCGTGAAACCACGGAGAAGCTCGGCCCCGTCGACATCATCGTGTGCTGCGCCGGCGTCATGTACTACACCATGATGGCCAACGTCCAGACGGATCAATGGGAGCGCACTGTCGACGTCAACTGCAAGGGCATCCTGAACTGCCTCGCCGCCACGGTACCCGGCATGCTGGAGAGAAAGGTCGGCCACGTCGTCGCCATTTCTTCAGATGCAGGCCGCAAGGTGTTCCCCGGACTCGGCGTGTACTCGGCCAGCAAGTTCTTCGTCGAAGCTACGCTGCAAGCTCTGCGCGTCGAGACGGCCGGGTCTGGTCTCCGCGTGACTTCGATCCAGCCCGGTAACACTGCCACGGATCTTCTCGGCATGTCGACTGATGCCGAGGCTGTCAAGAAGTACGGCGAGCCGTCGGGGGCAAAGATTCTTGATCCGGAGGATGTGGCGCGGTCGATTGTGTATGCTGTGTGCCAGCCGGAGCACGTTGCCGTCAATGAGATTCTAATTGAACCTCGAGATGAACCCATTTAACTTTTATAACAATACCACGATGAATAATCTCTGGCCTTAAGTGGGGGGAAACATTGGGAATGGTGGTTAAAAAGGGGAATAGGGAGATATATACACGCATCTCACGACTCACATCGTTTATATAATGGTTTATATAGTAACCTTGTAATGAATTGTTCAATACATGTTTAATCCAGCTCATTTTCTTAGCCATCTGGTTCTCAGTACAAGCCTTCGGAATATCGCTTCTAGGCAACGGATCGTCGGGGGCGAAGAAATTGCCTGCAACGTCCACGCAAGCGGCGACCCACTGCGGAGCCGAGCAGCTCCGATACTTCGGCTTCATTTTTTTTTTTTTTTTTTTGTGCATTACCTATCTATAATTTACAGGCAAAAGGCATTTTCTGCTGTACTGTTAATATTGGAAAAGAAACATTAAATAAATCCTCCATTTAACAGGTTGATCAAAGGTGAAGGAGTCTTTGTAGCTATTTCTAGTCTCCTGTCGTTGGGCGTGATGGGCATTTGGAGATCAGCATCGCTCTCCTTGGGAACCCTGACAACTGAGACTGGTACATCCATCCATCTTATCCAGAAGCCATCTGCAGTCTATAGGAAATAGTATAGCGATTCAGCCTGAAAACAAACTGCATCTTTTCCACGTAAAACATCCCTATCATCAATCTAGAACTTCCATCCATTCCGCGGCTCATCGGCACCTCGCCAAAATACCAACCCATGTCTTGTTTCAGACCAGACCGATCGTCAACGCCCATCGTCTTGGCAATTCTCATCTTCATTCAACATGCTACTAGTAATCATCCTCATTCGCTCATCCATTGCATATATAATCTTCTTTCCCAGCCTTCCAAGGCCGCTTAACCAAGATCAACAGCCACCCAATATCTCGACCTTCCACATCTCGATCCAGTTCCGTGAAAGATCACCCGCGTAGAAAACGGTCCATGAAATAGCTGAATAGCGTCTGTTGAGCTTTCTCTATACTGATAAGCCCACTACTTTTGTTCTTCAACATCTGCTATTTTTTGGTGCGTGTAAATGTCGATCATTGATGGAGCAGAGCCAGAAGTTGAAGCAAGTGGATTCAAAAAGGGGCCGTGGCCGCGTATGACGATTTGCGACTACACGGTTCCAATATTTTTAAACAAATCGATTCGCTCAATTAGATAGTCTGTATTCCAATTATAATAATTTTCTTTCTCATCCTATTTCGTTGTTAATTTCGTTGTCATTCCGTGTTTTGTCTGGCCTCACCCTTTACGCTTTCTAAAAAGCTTCGAATAATCCAACTACAGCCCTTCTTTAGCAACACTATTGCAATGAGTTCCTTTTCTGAGACCAATTGCCTATCGTTACTGTAAAAACGCCATATCGTTTCGATACTCTTTCATCTACCGGCATTCACGCCTTATACAATGCACTTTTCTTCAATTATCAGCGCAACTGCGCTTCTCTTCGCTCACTCTACTCTGGCCGACGTCCCACTCATCACCAATGCCACCGACTTTACAACACTTGCCGACACAGACAAAGGTTTTCCTAGCCAAACATTCCGCTCTTCTGACATCATTGCTCCGGTCTTTCTTGTAAACAAATGGGAGCAGGATCAAGTCGACAATGCATCCTTCATCTTCTTCGGAACAGTCTACGGGGAGAACAAAGCCGGCCCCATGATTTTCGATGCCCGTGATATGAGTCTCGTATATGCCGATCAGAAATATGAGAATACGTATACTTCAAACGTACATGTTATTAATGGCACTCGTTATTTTGCTTTTTGGGAGGGCGGCCATACCCGTGGCCACGCCAATGGAAACTGTCTCTTCTTCGATGAAAACTACAATCTCAAGTACAACGTCACTGCCCAAGGACTCAACGACGCCCGTGCCGATATGCATGAACTCAGCGTCACCCAAAGCGGAACCATCATCTTCTCAACATACTTTAATATCCCTTTCGACTGCCGCTCTGTGGGAGGTCCTGAAAATGCGCTCCTCATGGACAGCGGCTTCCAGGAAGTTGATGCAGCAACGAATGAGTTAATCTTCGACTGGCAAGCTTCAAAGTTCTTCAATATTGATAGTTCATATGCTTCATACAACGCAGATTACGGCGTTAGCGAAGATTCTGGCTTCGATTTTTTCCACATCAACTCAATCGAAAAGGCAAGCTAGATACCCATCTTCCTCAGCAAACACCCATCGCTAACAACACTCACTTTTAGACTCAAGACGGCAACTATCTCGTCTCCAGCCGCCACATGTCCATCCTCACCCTCATCCACGGCAAGGACGGCCACCCAATCTGGATCCTCGGCGGCAGACAAAACCAATTCACCGACCTCTCCAACGGCGCAGCCACAAACATCAGCTGGCAGCACGACGCCCGCATCATTCCATCATACAACATCACAGACGAGACTCACATCACCCTCTTCGACAACCATGGCGAATACAGCGGTCCTTGTCAAGGGAAATGCCAAACCCGTGCTCTCCGCATCGCCGTCAACCAAGTCCTCCGCACTGCAAGGGTAGTCAGCGAATTCTTCCATCCGGAAAACATCGACTCCGGCGCCATGGGAGGCTATCAAACTCTGGACAGTGGAAACATCATGACGGGATGGGGATACTACCCCGGCTTTGTCGAATACACCAGCGACGGCACACCGGTTATGGACTTCCAGAGAGGCGCAATCGGCGGAGAGCCATTGCCGGACATGTTTGCCTACAGAGTCAATAAAGGAGATTGGAAAGGGAACCCTTCATGGCCACCAAGTGTGGCCGCTGATGCACCGAATAACAGCACCCTCAATGCCACCGTCTACGTTTCGTGGAATGGTGCAACAGAAGTTGCCTCATGGGCTATAGTAAGCATCTCTCTTATCCTTCAAATACTGTATTCAGTCTTATACAAAATGCTAACTCCAATAGTTTGCTTCGAATGATCACAGCAGCATCAACAGCCACACAAACCTCATTGCCGAATCTCCCCGCGATGGCTTCGAAACCGCCATCTCCCTATCAAGCCAAAACACTACTCGTCGATACGTCGGTGCAGCCGCTGTGTCATCTTCCGGCGATGTCCTCGGTTCAACCATTGTCATCGATCTCCAAAACGGAGGCAAACCTGCCACTGTAGAAAGCGGTATAATCACCCTAAAGCCTCCGTCTCCATCCCCGCCACCATCATCAACATCGGGGAGTCGAAGCACAAGTACTAGCTCGGTAGGTGTCATGGGCGGATCGATATTTGGTGCTGCAGGCGTCTTTTATGCAGGAGTATATTACTGGCGAAGGAGAGCAAGGGCACGACGTGGCCATGGAGAAGAGGGTTACAGGATGGTAAACTTGAGAGATTAAGAGGATAGCTCAGGTCATGTTAGTACAATGATGTTAATATTAGGTAGGGTATGTATTAAACATTGAATATTATAGCATCCGAGTCATAGCCAACGTCATGATTCGATAGAGATGAGCTAGCAGCTTGTGCAATGGTGACAATGGCAGTGAGTGGCCTACATTTGCCTCTGCAAGGACATGGTGCCATCCATTCGCCAACTCGCATTCAGTAGCGTGTCTTTCACGTACTTTTCTGCCGCCTCTTCTGCTATATGCTTCATCCTGCCTTCGAGTTCGCTCTCTAGCAGCTCTATCCTCTCCTTTGCGTCATCATCTACTTGATTCAACATGCGATCAACCTCGTCTTTAACTTCTTCAATCACATCAGTTGACTGGATCCTTAGATCCGTTAGTTCGTCATCAACACGCGTTGCAACTTCTTCTAGCAATTCTTCTCTCTCTTCCGTTCCATAGCGGCAATGATTAGAGCCGGCGTCCACATCAAGCAACTTTTCTCCAAGCTGTCTAATGCTGTGCATGATACGTTTTTCCATGTCATTGAGAATGGCGTTAATGGGTGGCATGTCACTGTTCTTCGTAGAAGAGCCGTTTTCATCAGCTTGGGGTATATCAAGTTTGCGTTTTTCTTAAATTACCAGTTAGTAAGTCTAGAGTTATTAGATAGTTAAGTAGGGTGTGCGTACTGGAGACACGGTCGTTACTAGATGTAGGGATATAGGGCGGAGGGGACTCTGCTTGCACATGAGTGCTCGCAGCCGCTGTGCTTGCATTGGCCATTTGGCCCCCTTTACCAGTATACAGCCCACTGAGATCACCAAGCGCGGCATTCCAGCTCGGGCGAGGCGAAAAAATGGAAGCGATTTTCTTCAACTGGGCTGATGGAGTCGTATTGGAGCTGTTGAGACGGACGGTGAAACTTTTCACTTGAGAGAGTGCCACGATCGAATTCAATAAAGCTTTGCTCTTGGGCTTGGCAACAATGGGGTCCTTGGGCGTAACAAAGTCAGGTTCCAGTCCCAATGAGAAACCCAATGATCGTACATTGTTCTCGTTCTGATAGGTGATGGATTTGATGATCTCAGGGCGAATATACACATAGATAGCTCGCCTATTGGGAGGCTTGCTGGACTTGATGAAGACGTCGCCATACAACCGCAAAAAGGCTGTGTTGGCCGTGGTATCGATGTTTATCTCGAGATCCAGATGGTCAGTCTGGTGCACTTCATCGTCTTCATCCCTCCAAGTGACTGTGTTGTTTGAGCAGTGTATTTTGATTTCATCGGCCTTTGTCGTCTGTTTACTGGAGCTAGGTATCGTCGCGTTCGGTATGGCTGGTTCCTCGCTTTCACTCTTGTTGATTTTGCCTGCATTGCTCACATCGAAGTCATGGTTGTCATCGACATGTTGGGGTTGCCGCCCCGGTCTATAACGCGTCAGTTCACTACTCGAGAGGGAGGAAGCATCCACGTGTAGCCGGAATGCAGGACATTGAATCAAGATGATGAAGTTGCAAAGGCGTAGTGAAAAGCCCCTTCGCTCAGCACCGGATGACTACGCCTCACAGAGAGTCTTGCAAAACGGAGGCAAACAGAGGCAGGGCGCTTTCGCACGCTGTCCAACGTCGCGGCCAACAAGACCCCGATCCTGTCACCAGACCCTGCTGGCAACAGGCACCGAGATGGATCTTGCATGCAGTGAACCCTCTGCTGAAGCTCGCCATCCAGTAGAGCGGCACGGCTATCCACGTAGGCTGAGAGCCTAGTGGAATCACACAAGGGCTATCTCACTAACCCGGGCGGATGAGAATCTTGCGTCAGGTCCTCATGGTCGGTGTTGACGTTGGTGTCCTGAGTGTACGATGCAGGACTGTTGACCATGGCAGACGAGATGGATGGGGGGCGTTGCCCGGGGTGGAAGAATTCATGGTCCGTCGAGAGGAGAGGTGGCTGAGATGCGTTGGGAAAAGGGCGGTGCGTGAATTTAGGATTGCTGCTTGAGCTTGGTGGATGACTAATACACTAGTCGCCCATGGGTCTAACCATATTTGGATTCGGTCTGGCGCTAATCTTATTTAGGCTCGCGTAAAAATTGTCCCGCTTTTAAGCTCATCAACTTCGAGAAAACCTCACGTCCAAGTACCTATTCCTGCTATTAAATCACAGTATGAGCTGCAATTATCTTCATCCACAACTTAGAATCTACCATCTTTCTTCTTACAAGCGTAAAATTCATATATAAGATTGTCATATATAGTACAAATGATACTATACTATCATTATTCATAACAAAAAGACAGAAATAATATGGGCAGATCATATCGCCAATACGCTACCAATCAAAACCATCTTTCCAAGTCGATTCGATCCACGGGCTTGGTAATGACTTCTAAAAACCCAATTTTCGCCGCTTGCAATGATTTTCCAAATAAATAGAAAATAATCCTTCACCCTTGCTTCGCGAATCTTCTTTGTTAAACAGTCCTTATCGGAATCAAGCATCGTCAATAACGGTGCCGTTGTCGTCAAAGTCAAACACCTCCTCGAGTGCCACCGCGCTCTCCGAATCTCGAGCAGCCTCTCTCTGTAGCGTCAGAGACGTGATGAGCTTCTTGTCTGGTCGCAAGATACCCCACATCTCCGGTATCACCATGACCTTTGACGTCTCTCCCGGGACACGATGCGCCATCGCTTTAATGAAGCCTAGTTGTTTGCCCGCCATGTACCAGACGAATTTGTAACCATTGTTGTAATGGTTCTTGAATGTGGTCGAGGCTTTGAGGAGTTCCCAGTTGCTCATGGCCGAATTATTGTTAGAATCATGAACCAGCTCAGGAAATTCGCCGCTCGCGAGCAATTCTGCTGGTAGCTGTATATCAATCCATTTCTGGTATATGGCATCTGCCTTGGTGGCAAACTTGGAGTTGTCGGTACCATTTCGAGACTTGATGACACGCCACTCGTCTTGAAGCACATTAGTCTTGCCTCGCAGATATGTTAGAAGCTGCTTGCAGCCAGCAGAAGTTTTTGACCTCTCCTCATACATATTGCAGAGCTTTGTAAGGTCTTCATCATAGGGTATGGCGTTATTCGCTTTGACGGTCTCGTTGAAGCTGGTCAAGACTTCGTCAATAACCGTATCAGCGACATCGAATCTCAAGTAATCGAGTATATGTAATCGGCCCTTGGTATCAGGTCTTCGTGATCCCTTTTCTTTCGCATACTCTGGATCGGGAAGGAAGGTAGACTTCTTCCCAAGATGTTGAATGCAGAAACGCTTCCAATCTTCCTCAGTAAACTCAATACCTTGCTTGCTCTGATCAACCAAATAGCCAAGCAATTGGCTTAAATGTATGGCATCTCGATCTTGAACAGACTTCTGAAAATAGCAGAGCCTCTCTTTATACTTTGTACATCGACCGAGAAATGAGGGCTGTAGATTGAACAAAAATGCTCTAGATACGAACTCTACACAGGCATCCTGAAGGTGCGCAGGTCGGTTGTTCATATACTTCCTGTAGTTGTCTCTTCCAACCTGATCCAAAATGTCCTTGAATTGCGTAGTCACCTTGCGAAGATATCCGCTCTTGATGAAATCCAGCTTCGGAGGCAAGGAAGCATTGTCGAAATTTCTGACAATATTTTGATCCCAACATACCCACGCCATGTCGCCGTCATAGTCGCCGCCTGATAGCTTATCGGCAAGGGGTATACTTCCGTTAGTCGAAAAGATAATGACGTCCTTCAGCTTTCGAAGCTCTGGTCGAGATACTACCCTGACTTTCTGGATATCGCTAGGGAGATGGGCCGGGGCTCTTGCTACTAGAATAGACATGTTCTCAAGTAGCGTGTCGGAGAATCCCTCGGCCTGAAACTTCGTGGAAAAGGAGAGATGCACCTCGTCTTCTTCAAGCTTTGATGAAAAGTCCGCAGCCATGTAAATGTAGGCTGAACACGGAATGGTGATGTTCATCTTAGTTTTCAAAACCTCAGCCTTTTTCTTGCACATCTCCCAGACAAGTTCCCTGAGGTACTCCATTCTCCTCTGATCGAATCCTGAGTCGAGCAAAAATGCGACTTTATCCGCGTTATCATTGGGGAGACCAGCCAGAAATCCTGCAGACCCATCCAGCGACCGTTCATTCTTTGAAGGACCGGATTGGTGAATCCATAATCGGAGACTCATAGGTTCTTTCATGGCGGCAGCTTGCTCACCAAGGTCAGCGTGCAGGGCTCTCTGTAGGTGCTCGGAAACTACGCGTCGCATTGCGTCGGGTTGTGGTGATTGCGCCTCTAGTACGGGAATAAATTGCTGATTCAGAGACGCCGATCTCAATTCCGATGGCCAGTTTCGTATCTCGAGAGTTCGGTGATGAGGATCATCAAAATCGCATATCCATTTCCTTTGTGATGGATAAGTTTCAACCCAGTCTCTCTCGGAGTCTTCCTCGCTATCCACATCAATCAACCACATGCCCTTTGCACTCCCCAGTCTACCTTGAAAACAACTTGGGCAGTCAGACAACCCAAGAGCCACGGCAACTTTCTTGGCCAAACTTGGCGATATGCGGCCGATTCCATCATTCATTACCATGCCACCCGGCGCTAGATCTTCGGGCTTGTTGATGATCTGATGCTTCTCGAGGACAACAGTTGGCCACGTTCGGCTGAGACCTAATTCAATCTTGTCAGAAAGCACAGCCTCATATAAATTATTGGGGTAAAGTATCTCACTTAGTGCCAGACGAGAAAACAGTTTGGTAACTGGTTGTTCCGAGTTGCGTTCGTCGTCGATACCAATAGCCCATTTTAGCAGACCACTGAGCTTCATTTTCGTGCGGGCCTTTGTCTCCAACGCTTCCGCCAGCGGCGAGATGCCATTGGCTGAACTGGGGCGGAAATTATTAGCATCACAAGCAAAGAAATAGACTCTGTCTACTGCTGTGGTTCTGTTTGTCCCAGAAATCTTCTTGCCCTTGACACCGCGCACGAAGAATGGCTTCCAAGTCCGCCCAAGAAAATAATGCTCGGGCTTTGTAAGCCAATCTACAATCTTTTCAAGGCTCCTTGGATCCTTTTTAAGGACATTAGGCTCTTCATCCGTCGACGCCGACGGCGATGGAATGGTGATTTCCAAGAAGCGATCGGCACCGAATCGGCGCGCCAGTCGATGACCCAGCTCGAGTTTCAACGGATGTAATTGGAGACTATACAACGGCCCGGTCGAATCCTGGTTGTAAACCAAGTCTGCCGAGAGTGTAACGGTCTTAACTTTGGTCTGAAAGTCGCCCAGTGCTGTGTGCCACGCCACCGGATCGCTGGACGGAGGCAAGCTCTTGCCATGGAACAAGTGATGGTTTGAGATTGCATCTCTCAAACTGCTTTGATCATGCCAGCTATCATTCGGCTCATACAATAGGTCGAATTGGTCCAGTGAAACCTTGCAGTGAAGAGCGGCTCTTGTAATCTCCCAAATCACAGCCAAAGGTGCATGTGTTAACGCTGGGATTGGCAATTTAGCTATATCATCGCCACGGTCAGCAACAACACATGCATTCCATATCATTACGCATGCTTACGCCAAATATTAGCAAGTTTTTCATCAATCGTCTGGCTCACAGAGCCGACGCTATCTTGAGAAGAGCGGTCTAACAAAAGCAAAGGGCTTTTAAATCGCGAATCATCCAGGTACTCCAGCTGGTTGGTGGGTTTGTTTGGTCTACTAGGGAGAGAATTCCAATTTTGCTGCACGTCGTTTCGGCTTTGGCTCAATCCAAATGAATGTGAGAAAGATTCGGCTGATGTTTGTTGTGAGTATGGATAGCGATTTGACTTGTCATGATATCCAGAGTCGACGGTCGTCTGGCTAATGAAGGATACTTCTTGCGTATTCTTTGAGGAAAAGACTTCAGACGGGAAAGAAGCTCGGCTTGAACCAAAAGTCTGATCAAAAGATGGCTGCTGAGCAAGTGGTTGAATAACTTCTCCGAGAGATCGATGACTTCCAGAGGCTAGTGAGACACCACTGTCCGCAAATGAACCGCTTGAGCGGACAGGGAGAGCATCCACTGCATCATGGTGTTCGTACCTGTGAGGCGGCTGGCCTTTGGGCCGCTTCTGAGAGTGATTTGCAGTCACTTCAGATATTCTCTTGCTCAATTGTTTTGATTCCAGGCTGTTGACATCACGAAGGATTTTCAAGAGCCGCTCTTGGAGCAGGGCTCGAAGACTGGTAGAGAGATACCGGGTAGGACTGAGTGACTCTGCATCAGACAAGATCAACCGCCCTTGTACCTGAAAGAGCCCTAGACAGTCAGCTAACCGGCTGCCTCCTCGATAATGCAACTGTTGGATTTTCTGGTAAATGTCGTCGATCCGGGCCTCCTCATCACTCCGCTGCCGTTCGCGGTATTTGCGAGGAGAGAGCGTTACATCCGGCTTGTGAAGTTGTAGTCCAAAGTCATCGTTGAGCCTGCTAATGATGCGATCCAGCTCCAGCGTAGACCGATCCTGTCCTTGAGACCCCAAAGGGCTAGACATTGTACGAGTACCGTCTAGCAGCCAACAGCCGGCAACCAGCAGCGAAAGCTTATCCACCTGCTCGTCCGTATAAGTGAGACTGTTGCAATAAGCCCTTGCCGTGGTGGATGCCAGCCCAAGGCTAAACTTGTGCCATTCCCGCGATTGCGGGGAATCGCCGAGCCGCCACTGTTGGAGACTTGGAGAAGCTGCACGTGTGAGATCACAGGGATGTGGTCACGTGCAACCCAAACGCGACATCGTCATATCCAGCTCCGGACCGCCAGTTGATCCGCCTTCTGCCCAGCATTTCCGGATCCTCCACCACTTGCGCTCGTGGAGATGCTCGGTGTTCGGCGTTG